CAGAAGCACGATGTGAACTGGTCGCCGGGGCTTCCAAGTCGCAGAATCCAGCTCGACCCAGTTTCCCGTCTCCAATACGATGTGCCGACCTGGTACCACCGGTAGGAACTTCTGCGATCCTTCGACGGTCTTCCACAGTGTCTGCAGCTGAACGTTCCACATGCTCTCCAGATTGGCAACGGAACTGCGATTGTTTCGCTTGGTGATGCGTTCGTCCAACGTCGGAGACATGGGATTTGAAGTGTTGCCAACAGTCGCGGTTTGCCCCAAAGCTGTTGTGAGCTCTGCCATGAGAGTGCGGAGAGTGCGCATCTCTCCCTTGAGTTTCTCCGCTTCTTTGCTGATCTTGATGAATTGCGTGCGATTCTGGTAGACATTTTGCTGGAGGTCGGTGGATGTCCTATTCTTCACCTTCTTTAAGCTTCTCTGATACTCTTCGATCTCTTCCTCGGTTGCATTGGCTAGGAGGTTGGCGACGTCTGATAGGCACGACCAGGTTAGCAAGACTATACCAATGTCTATGGAGGATTCATGACTGTGAAACTTACATCTATCAACTGGTAGACTAGGGTCGCGCAAAGCATTCAGATCCACTTGTGGCGGACCCGAGGTCTCTGTCGAGGGCCGTCTGCTGGTTGACTGAGGTGGACTTAGCGCCGTATACTGTGTCGGAACTTTAGGCACCCCGGGCACCGGGGGTGCATTCGCGGCGTCAAGATCGGGAGCTTGATTGAACCGGGTGGAATATCTCCTCTTCACCAAATCGGAGGTTGCATCTTTTTGAGCAGCGCGTTCGCGTGAAGTGGACGTTGACGTAGCAGTCCTGGGGTCGACGGCCTTACTACCGGGAGGGAGAGGTCCGGAGATCGGTTTCGGCGCACTGATCTGGGGCCGGGGACGGCGGGATTTGCTGCGGAGAGTCAATCCGCGGCTTTCCATATTGTCTGGATCACGAAGCCCGACGGGAACGGTTCAGATTCATGGGGAAGAGGAATGACGACGTGGAGGTATTGGATGGGGAGCTTGCTTGAACTCCCCCCGAGCGGGACAGAAACCCCGAGGCGGAAGAACAATGATCCTCCGCTTTCAAAATTGTCAGAACATGAGAAAAGCGTCACTTCCCCAGTCATGTCCCCATAGACCAAATAAACATCCCTTTCTTCGGTTCGGTCGGACTCGCCTGAGGCACTGGACTTATTCTACCTCTGTGCTTTCTTTTATCTTTCTTTAATAAATAATTACACGTTATCTCCCGTGACACCATGAGGACGTCAACTTTGGTCGCTGCTTCGGCCGGCACGGTCCTTACCGGCCTGCTGGGTAAGAACATAACATCAAAAATCAACCGATCATGAAAGCCAAACTAATCAATCTATTTTTATTCGGGATTTAGCTTACGCTATTTACTTCGATCACAAGAGACAGACCGACCCTGAGTTCCGCAAGTCGTTGAAGAGAAACAACCGTCGTCTGGCGAGAGCTGTGAAGGAGGAAGCCGAGGCTCAAGGAGCCCAGGAACGGGAATCCATCAAGAAGTCTGTCCAGCAGGCTCAGGATGAGGGTTTCCCGACCGAACTTGAAGAGAAGGAGGCTTACTTCATGGGCCAGGTTGCCCGGGGAGAGTCTCTCTGCGCTGAAGGTATGTTTCTGCTGCGGTCACGCCATCCGCCTTCCCTCCCCCAACAGAATCATAGACGAGATTCCATTTGAAAGTAGCGGCGGTTCACATATAACCCTAGGCTCAGACAAGGTTGAAGCCGCCCTGTGCTTCTACAAGGCCCTTAAGGTTTACCCTCAGCCTAAGGATCTGATCTCTATATATGACAAGACTGTCCCCAAGGAAGTCCTGGAAATTCTGGCCGAGATGGTCGCCATGGACGCCGGTTTGAAGCTGGGCACATTCACTGGCGAAGGTGGCAGTGCTGAGTCAAGCCATGGTGTCGAGTAAAATAACAGACGTGACGCATTCATTGGATCCGGACTCGCGCCCTCGGCATTGTCAATCATCCAACCCCCTTCCGTATAAAAATAAGAACTTTGCTTGGCCTGTGATCTGGCTTTCTCAGGTCGTCGGGTCACGCTGGGCCGTGGTCCGGACCCGTTTTCTCTTGCATTTGGGCTCCTAATTGATGCGAAAAGGTTGATCGATCTCTGTGAAGGTCGACTCTTTTCGACGTTTACGCCTTGCGATGTCACACTCTCACCCTCTCCGCTTATTATTTGTTACCTTTTTTCCTCCTGTTCCCTGTATATTTGCATCATTGCCCATGTCTTGGCCGCCGGCGTGGCGGACTCTCTTGGTATTTCTCGGCGCCATGACTTTTTGTTTCTCATTTTTCTCCTTCGGTTATTCACCCCCTATTTCACCAGTCTTGGGGGTTTCTTGGGACGTGGACAATTCTTGGGTTACAGGCGCCAACGTTTCCTTTTCCCCAAGTGCTTCTCCTGACGGGTAACATTTGGGACTGTATTTTAGAGAGGCAGTAGTGTATCAACAGTGAGCCATTAAACGTGGATTGAGATGCAACAATGATGTATTCCTGATTAGGTGATCTGCAACCCTATCCCTGATCCATATCAAACAGCTATTATGAGCTCAAATGACCGGGGAACCGTTTCACCTCTATCTACCGATATTGCCTCCCTTGGGAAGGACTTAAATTAAAATAAAAAAAATAAAAAAAATACCATCGCCTAGTTTCAACTTTGAAGACCCTCCGCGCCAAGGGTCTTGTCGGTAAAGGGGATTGGTTCTAGTGAACTACTAGTCGGGAGTGGAGTCTCATAGTGCTGGAGTATACCCTTTAATGAAACTAAATTGCTGGGCATCAGTTGGTTCGGAGGGGGCCAAGGGCTCGCTTTCACTCAGTCCTTTCTTTTATTCAAAAAGCCTTCTGCCGGGTCGACTCGCGACTCTTCTCTCTCCCTCCTTCCATTCATTCCCCGTCGCTGTGCTTTTTTTGTTCTACCCACACTCGCTACTTCCCTCTCGGGTTGTGTTTGATCTTTGTGCGCCTTTGCGCTCGTCACTCGTTCTCTTTCTACTTTGGAACTTCCTGTGGAAGCACCTCCGTCCGATCCTTTGACTCCTTGTGCTTGTTTTCTCAGCGAGAGAGATATAGAAAATGCCTTCGGTCGGTTCACTTCCTTCCCCTATCAAAATTCGATATCCACATTGATATAGATCCACCGATTACCCAAAAAGGAATATTGGCTGACTAACGGCCGAGTGTATAGATGTACACTCGTCTTTTTGCTGCGCTTTGCGCTCTTGCGACCACTGCGAATGCCGTCACCACCATTGAGGTGAAGGGCAAGGACTTTGTCAACAGCAAGACCGGTGATCGTTTCCAGATCCTGGGTGTCGAGTACGTTCCTGTTCTGATCTACCTTCTGTTCACTCTCTATGATCGCCTTGCGATCCATGATATTCGATCGCGTTACCTCGTGGGGAAAGCGGTGGTGTTGATCATCATGTCATATCTACAGTTACCAACCCGGCGGTTCTTCCGGCTTCAAGAAGGACAAGGACCCTCTCAGCGACAAGGACGCATGCTTGCGTGATGCCGCTCTCATGCAGCGCTTGGGTGTGAACACCATCCGTGTCTACAACTTGGCGCCCAGCCTCAACCATGACGACTGTGCTTCCATCTTCAACGCAGCCGGCATCTACATGATCCTGGATGTCAACTCCCCTCTGTACGGCAGTTACATTGACCGTACCGCCCCCAAGAGCAGCTACAACGCCGTCTACTACGAACAGGTCTTCGGTGTGATCGAGGCCTTCAAGAACTACCCCAACACCCTCGGTTTCTTCGCCGGTAACGAGGTGATCAACGAGCAGAGTGTCAAGGAGGTTGCCGCTTACATCCGTGCCGTCCAGCGTGACATGAAGGACTATATCAAGAAGAACGTTGACCGCTCCATCCCTGTGGGTTACTCCGCCGCTGATATCCGTCCCTGGTTGATGGATACTCTGAACTACTTCATGTGCGAGGACTCGGACTCGCCCAGCTCCCAGTCTGACTTCTTCGGTCTCAACTCCTACTCGTGGTGCGGTGACTCGTCCTACACCAAGTCCGGTTACGACGTCCTGACCGAGGACTTCAAGAACGCCTCCCTGCCCGTCTTCTTCTCCGAGTACGGCTGCAACGAAGTGACTCCTCGTGTCTTCACCGAGGTGCAGGCTATCTACGGCGAGGAGATGACCCAGGCCTTCTCCGGTGGTCTGGTCTACGAGTACACCCAGGAGGCCAACAACTACGGCCTCGTCAAGCTCAACGACAGCGACACTGCCACTTTGCTCGTCGACTTTGAGAATCTGCAGAAGCAGTATGCTAAGCTCGACATGAAGCGTATCCAGGCCTCCAACTCGACCCAGACTTCCTTCAAGGCCCCCAAGTGCAGCTCTGACCTGATCAAGAACGGTACCTTCCTGAGCAAGTTCGACCTGCCTTCCCGTCCCTCCAAGGTCCAGGACATGATCGACAACGGTCTGTCCAAGGCCAACACCGGCAAGTTAGTTGAAGTCTCCACAACCTCCATCCCTCAGAAGATCTACGACCATACTGGCAAGGAGGTCACCGGCATCCAGCTGAAGGCCCTTTCCAGCGGCGAGTCCAACACCCCAAGCACCTCCGGAAGCTCCAGCTCCGACAGCGACTCTGACAACACCAAGGAAAGCGCAGCGGGCAAGATGACCGCTTCCTTCATGGGTCTGGTGGTCGGTGCCGTTGTGGCCGCGGTCTCCGTGCTGTAATTAATTGACTTCGTTGTGCTATATTTCACATTGCGTGCGTTGAATTAACTTCATGTATTGTCTTTTTCTTCGTGACCGAGATGACTCTGGGAGGGTCAGCAAGTTTATGATACCAGTTCTGGGACACTGGGACAACTGACCCACTGGAGATGTTATTTTAGAATGGAGTCTTTTCGCTTCTCATCGGTAGAACGATTTCCTTAACAGTTTAATTTGAAGAATGCTCATAAGAAGGGAATATGATCGTCCCACTATTTACCTACACGAACCGACCACATACAGAGCGTCATTTGCCCCACAGATAAAACTAATCTACTGCTATACGCTTAGACCGTCAGCACTAGAATAACTGAGAGTGATCCTGGCCAACATAACATGTATGCCCGAAGTATAAAAATCCATACACACCACATGAACTTCCCCCCAGTCTTCCAAAGAACAAATAGAGATCCAAACAAAAACCCCAGTGAAATAAAATCAACATGTCCCCCAAGCCAACCATCCTTCTCATCCACGGCGCCTGGCACACCCCAGCCCACTACGAGCCCTACACCACAGCCCTGCAGAACGCAGGCTTCGAAGTCCACTGTCCACACCTCCCAACCTGCACGGGCCAGTCCCCCCCAACAGCCACCTTCGCCGACGACGTCGCCCTAATCCGCCAAACCCTGCACTCCCTCACCTCCGCCGGGAAACAAATCCTCCTCATCATGCACTCCTACGGCGGCTGCGTCGGCACCGACGCCGCCCAAGACTTCCTCCACCCATCCCCAAACAACAAGAACCAACCTCCAAAAGGAGGACAAGGAAGCATAATCCACCTCCTCTACCTCTGCGCCTACATCCTCCCCCCCGGCTCATCCATCCAAACCATCATGGACCAGGCCGGCGTAGACGAAACCCTCTGGGCGCAGTTCATGGACGACGATGAAGCCGGACTCACCCTGCCCCGGGACCCCGGGCTGTGGTTCTACGAAGACCTGGAGCCGGAGACGGTGCAGAGGTGCATGCAGGGGCTCGTGAGGTTTCCGGTGAGCGTGCTCCGGGAGAAGACGAGCGGCGATGCGTGGCGCCGGTGTCCGGTTACCTATGTGAAGACCGAGAGGGACCGTGCTGTGCCTGGGCTGTTTCAGGATTTGATGCTCGATGCGGTGAAGAAGGAGGGCGTCGAGATTAGGGTTTTGGGGTTCGAGGCTTGCCATAGTGTTTTTTTGGAGAATGTTGGGGGTTTGGTGGGGGTTGTTCGGGATATAGAGGCTGGGGTTTGTTGAATGGGGGGTTTTGGCTGGGTGGTCAAGTTGTTTGTGTCCCCTTTCTTGGGAGTAGGTAGATAGGACTGGATTATATTATATTGATAGTGCCCTGCACTGAAAATCATATCTATCACCAAGGTGGGGGATCCTCTTTACACACATGCTCGTATGGTTATAGTTCCCCTTGCCACTCGCCTGATTGCAGCTTGTAAGTGAAGTTACATTTCCTCTCATGAGTTAGGGAATTGGTCGTGACTGAGTGGTAGTGCATGTCTGTGGCTCAGTGATACCGAGAAACCATGGCAATATGCGGCACATCTAAGTGCACAGATTCATCTGACGAGCTCCAGGGAGTTCTCAGCAGTAGCGATGGCAGTCAAATTATAGTTGCAACGGCCTTACAAGTAGTCATTTTCGGTAATACTCTAACAGATCCTCACATCGATACATAAATCCCGAATTGTATATTAAATGACATGATAACATGATCGAAACACAGACATAATAAATGAACCGAAAGCAAATGTACAAAGTACGGAATTACAAAGCTCGACCCTTCCCCTTGCCCTTGCCAGACTCACCCCACGAGAGCGATGGGAACTCGTCTCTTTGCTCCGGTGGCTGACTATCGGCAAGACTGAGTTGGATGGCAAGCTCCAAATCATCCATTTCTTGTTGGTGGCTGCTTTCAGCGACGACTTCTGATGGGGAGAGATTGTGAGAGCTAGATTGAGACCCCTTCGCGTACTTGATGGGAATGTCAGGATACTGCTCAAAAGACCCAGGCCCCTCGTCAAGAAGACTCAGGCGGATCGCTTCAGCGATGTCAGGGGCAAGATCGTCGTCAACAGGCTGCTCGTATGGAGACGAGGAGGATGAAAATTCGTCTGCTGCGACTGAGCTATCGTTCCGACCGATAGTGTCGCTAGAGGCGGAGCTAGCCATGGAGCTAGGCACGGCATCGCCCCGTTTTTGCGCTTCACTAGCGAAGGCCTCCTCACTCAGGAGTTGCGCATAAGCGAGAAGCTGCTCTTCGTCCACATCGGGTCCCAGCAGATCGATGCCGAATCGGTTGCTGAGGTGCGCCTTTTCCTTGCGATCGGCTTTTTCTTGTCGCACCATCTCCGCCTGCTCATCCTCGATGAAGTCTTGGAGCGCTCCTCGGCCGCTGCTGTTGAAGCGTTGGCCCTCGGGAGTAGAATTGCTGCCCCGACGGCCGCGGCGGAACCGGCGCTTGCTCGTCTTATACTGATCGGCGGCGCCAGAGCTGTAGGACCAGTAGCGCAAGTGGGACCCGAGGGCAACCATTCCCCTTAAGACCGTAGGATCAGGGTCTAGGCATATAGCTCCACTGGCATAGAAATTGTTTCCAACTCCCTGAATAGAAGCCTCCGCCTGAACTAGTCGACGACGCGCGCGGGAAGAAAAGCGTGAGTTGATGGTTCGGATAGGTCGAGTTGAAGATGCAAGAGGATCCCAAGCCTGCACAAGCCCGTCATTACCGCCGTGCACAACGTACAGCGACGTAACAGCAACACAGGACACTTGAGGAGAGTCAGTCTGGATGATGCGGATCGGATTGACGGAGTTGATGATATCCGAGTTCTTCGCCGTAGGAGCGCGTATGTCCCAGACAAAGACCCCTCCGGTAGCCGTTCCAATAGCCATGTAGCGCCCCCGTTGACCAGGAATTTCTGGGTCTGAGGGCTGCTTCATGTGCGGCATTGGCGACGACATACCGGAGGAAAGTGTCGAGCTTCCGGACATCCCAAGAAGAGGATCCTCGTCAGGAGTCAGTACAGCATATGTCGAAAGGTCCATTGCGCTTGTTGTGATTTCGATTGACTTGTGATCGCCGAAAACAAAATCTGAGATCCGCCATTCAGTATTTGCGGCAGAGCACACTATTTCGCCGAGGCGACTGGAGGCTCGCGAAGGCGGCACACTGGGCGTATTGACGGCTGAAGACAGAGACGAAAATTCAATAGGCCCACCGAATATAGATGAAGCCATAGCTTCGCCCGTTTGATACGTTCCAAGATGCGACGATAGCATTTCGACCTGCGTCAATTTTCTGGTGTATCTGCGAATCGAGGCCTTCTCATCTTCTTCAATACCACGAGCAATGACGATAACGGACTCACCGGCTCCGTGGCTATCGTCACCAGCGAAGTCGACTTGCATTTCGCGTCGCATGTCCCAACCCTCGCAAACCTTCCGGAAGTGTTTCGGCTTAAATGACATAAACTGCTCAATTTCCTTGGTCTCAGCAGCAAGCTGATTCTCATCAAGCTTCATCGAGTCCGACGACGACCTCGGACTATAGCTGCCGTCGACAAGCTCTCGACTGTATGGGTCGGGCCTGGCCGTGCGGCGACTCAACTCCAGAAGCTCCCAACGAACACTCCTGCCGGTCTTCCACGCCAGAGTATCAATTTGCTCAGGGCTCATCTTAGCCGACGGAAGTTCAGGCTGGCGTGGCAAGTCTGAAAGATAGAAAACTTCACCCAAGGCATTGAGAACGGTTGCCCAGATGCGTCGACGGGCGTGACGCTTGACAGAATAATCGTTGTCGACTGCAATCGCAATGATGGGGACTCCCGGACAGAGAACCCATCGGGCAGTCACTTGGCCTCTTTCGAATCGCTGTTCATACGTGGGATGAGGCCCGAGTGCATAGGCTGTAAGAACCCCAGAAGAGGCACCGGACATCATTGCGACCAATCCTCCAGTCATTTTCAGGACATTGGAGGACTTGGCAATCCACACCGCGGTGACCGCATTCGTGATCAGATTCAGAGTAGGAATGCCCAACTGCGGCTGTGAGATGGACTCAGTAAGGCCCAAGAATCGCCCGCGTTGCTCCAAGGTTGAGATGAAATAGCTGCGTCCTTGAGGGCAACCCTCACCGTAGATCATCCCGTAAGGCTGGCTAACATCCATGCGATTCGGCAGGCCGACCATGTTTCCAGAGCCAAGACCGTACTCGGCTTCACCAGGGAATATATCCGCGAAATGGCGGAACAGCTGATGGTCAGACAAACCCCATGTCCCAACCTTGACCGAGGAGGGATCGCTAGCAGATGCGATTCCCTGCTCTGACGCCCCATGGATGAAAAGAGGCTGCTTCTTGGTCACCTCGGTCCCAAAGGATGCAGCGAGATGATTGACAGGATACAAAAGCTGGGAAGTGTACGTGACAACGGCACTGCCATTGCGCATATTTACAGAGCGAACTGTACCGCTCTTTTTGGCAGGGTCGAATTGCGCCGGCTTACCTCGCGCAAGTGACCTCAGCAAGCGGGTCCGCAGAATATACTCGGACCTCCATGACGCTAACGCAGTGAGCCGGGAAAAGAAGCGCTTATCCGAGGTGACCCTCCCAGGTGTGTTAGCCTCAGACAGGTGAATGCCATTTTCCGAGACATAAGGCCCTGGAAAGTAGCGCGAAAATGCGATTCTCCAGGCGTGGGGCGTTGTGACAAGAGTGTGAAACCGGCGCGACACTAATGCCATAGATGACAGAGCTGGTGGTGGCAGGTGCGAGAGGATGTGCGTTAAAACCTCTGGCAAGCCATAGTGTTAGCAGGTCATTGTCTGAGGAAGATTACCAACGGTGACATACCATTTGGGAATGCGTCCAGCGACAGATGCGACTCAGTAGACGGGGGTGTTACTCTGAAGCTCAGATCGGTTCGTCTCCAAGGCGACTGCGCTATCACATTCTCGTACTGAGTGACACGGTCGGCAACCGGCGATGCGGGGGCTGAATCGTCAGACCTCGCCTGGTTCAAGGGCGCCAGGCGAGGTGAGTCAGAGACGCCTTCAATGTCTCTGGCCTCATGGGGAGGTCCAGAGACTTGATGGTCGCCATCGAGAACATGTCCATGCTGGGTATTGTGAAAGGACTCTCTGGGGGGCGAATCTGTAGGAGAAGTGCGCTCAGAAACTGCAGCAGGCTCGGATTGCATAAAAAGGTCTCGCGGGGTTAACGGGATCAACGGAGGCGACTGAACCAGGCCAGATACTGGGTCAGTCGGGCAATACAAGGACGGAAGAAGGAAAAGAGTTGATGGCGCGAGAACGACGCTCTATGCGGTGGAGGATGCGAAGGATAAGAAAAAGAAATCTATACAGTCCGAAAGGGAGAAGGAGAGATAAAGATGAATGGAGATGGGGCGTAGTTCAGGCAAAACGAGGGACTGACGAGAATCGACGTTCGGATTTCGGAGGGGAATGTGTCACGGGCCAGCCCTGTGATTCGTCACGGCCTTTTCGCGTCCCTCTCACGTGAAGACGCGCCGCGGAGGCAAATCAGATTGGATATCGACTTGTTAGTAATATTACCAAATATCTTCTATTTGATGGCATTTCTTCAGATCTAGTTAACTAACTACTACGTACTGTGGATTAATTAAGCATGCATCGCGGCACCCTGCACAAAGGCCGTGCATAATCCCCTGCCATTGGTCCTATTCAACGGCTTGTTTTTCCAGGCAACACCCTCACATTACAGCCTGACGGAGTCCCCATTTAATAGTGGCCCGTTCGCATCACAATACCCACCATCCTCGACACTTTCACCTCAGGCGGACTGGAGTGATTTGTTATAATGCCCGAGCTTGGTGGTAAGTACGCAATTCTTGTTTTATTGTTCTCGAGAAATCTTAGTAACAGGACCAGACGCGGAAACGATCCGCATCCTCGTTGCAACCGACAACCATGTCGGGTACAACGAACGAGACCCGATCAGGGGTGATGACAGCTGGAAGAGTTTCCACGAGGTGATGTGCCTGGCCCGCGAGCGTGACGTTGACATGGTGCTGCTCGCGGGCGATCTCTTTCACGAGAACAAGCCTTCCCGAAAATCCATGTACCAAGTAATGCGCTCGATCCGGATGAACTGTCTGGGCGATAAGCCCTGTGAGCTGGAAATGCTCAGTGATGCCAGTGAAAACTTCCAAGGGGCGTTCAACCATGTGAATTACGAAGATCTCGACATCAATGTGGCAATCCCCATTTTCTCTATCCATGGCAACCATGATGACCCCTCCGGAGAGGGTCATTTGGCGGCGTTGGACTTACTCCAGGTTTCCGGACTACTCAACTATTACGGACGGACGCCTGAGTCTGATAACATTCAGATAAAGCCGGTCCTGCTTCAGAAAGGCCGGACCAAATTAGCACTATATGGTATGAGTAACGTCCGAGATGAACGACTATTCCGTACATTTCGCGACGGAAAGGTCAAGTTCTACCAGCCTTCGATTCAGAAAGAGGACTGGTTCAACTTGATATGTGTCCACCAGAATCACCACGCTTATACGGAAACTGGATACCTCCCCGAAAACTTCCTCCCGGAGTTTCTTGATCTCGTGATCTGGGGCCACGAACATGAGTGCTTGATTGATCCGAAATTGAACCCTGAGACCAAATTTCACGTTATGCAGCCAGGGTCCTCTGTGGCAACATCACTTGTCCCCGGAGAGGCAGTAACAAAACAAGTGTCTATCGTCAGTATCACCGGACGTAGCTTTAAATGCGAGCCGATCCCACTGAAGACTGTGCGACCGTTTGTCATGAGAGAAATTGTCCTCTCCGAGGAGAAGGGAGCTCAAAAGTTGGCTCGGAAAGAAAACAACCGGACTGAAGTCACCCGTTTTCTGATGGCAATCGTTGAGGAGCTCATTGAGCAAGCGAAAAATGAATGGCTGGCGATGCAGGAAGATGTTGAAGAAGATGAGGAGTTAGAGGCGCCCTTGCCACTAGTGAGACTGCGTGTGGAGATCTCCACACCGGAAGGAGGTAGCTATGATTGTGAGAACCCTCAGCGGTTCTCTAATCGCTTCGTAGGAAAGGTGGCAAATGTGAATGATGTTGTACAGTTCTACCGGAAGAAAAAGAACGCAGCAGCCCGCAAGAAAGATGATGACTTCGATGCAACAGCAGTCTCCCACCTCTCAACGCTGGACACGGTGAAGGTGGAACAGTTGGTGCGTGAATTCCTCTCTGCCCAATCGTTGAGTATCCTTCCACAGAATTCATTTGGGGATGCTGTGGCCCAATTCATCGACAAAGACGACAAGCATGCCATGGAGATGTTCGTGAACGAATCATTAGAAAGTCAAATCAAACACCTCATGGCCCTGGATCGTGACAACGATATCATGGACGATGAAGAAGAGGCGCAGAGCTCGCTACAGCAGGCAATGGAGAAGTATCGAAATCAAATGGAAGACATGTTCTCTCGAGGCGTCAAGAAGAGTTCGCGAGGGAAGAGGCGCTTTAAGCCTAAACCAGATGGCTGGGATACTGAATTCGACGGCGTCTGGGAAGACCAACCTGGGGCGCTTATACATTCAGATAATGAGGGTGATCCCAATGAAGAGGATGCTGCAGAGGATGGCACAACACCTGCTGCCACGAAAGGAACGTCAACTCGTGGTCGGGGCCGAGGCCGTGGGGGAAGAACGACCGTTTCTGCAACTACTCGCAAAGCAACTACCACCGCGAAGACCACATCCACGGCACCCAAGAAAACGGCACCCAAGAAACCTACTAGGGGACGGAAGAAAGCCGTATCAGACGACGATGATGAGGAAGAAGATGTCATCATGCTGGACGATGATGACGAAGATGTAACCCCTCCCGCAGCTCAAGCCCTCTCTGACGATGAAGACGATGATTCCCAATCTCTATTTGTTAAGCAACCTTCAACCCGAAGCCGCAAAGCAGCGCCCTCGACGACCACCACCCAACGTCGAGGACGGACCGCGCCATCCCCGGCACCATCGTCGAATACCATAGGAGGAACCGCTACGCGTAGGTCTGCAACGACACGAGGCAAACAAACCCAGATGACGTTGGATTTTACCGGCTCCCAAATCAGTGCTCGTGAGAGCCAGACCACCTCCAGGTCGACGAGACCGAGTCGGAAGACTCGGGCTACGAGTGTGTTGAGCGAGGAAATTGATGATGACAGTGATGCCTTCGAGTCTGCGCCACCCCCCAGAAGGAGGTAGACTTCCTCGTCAATAGGTTCGAAGGAGGAGGTTCCATGCCTTTCATCCGTGGGCACTTCCGGCAGATTATGACACTTGCATTCATGGCGTTTTATGTACAGTATGGGACAATTTCAATCAATGTGATGAAAACTCAATGCCAAGAAAAGCATCTTTCCTAGATTATCCGCAAGAGGGACATCTGTGATTTAATATACCTAGCTATTGACACAAAGAAAGCTATAGCTGCAGATAGCGACGGGCAATTACAGCTTGCCACGGTTTAAAAACTTGACAGGTAAATCCACCCATTTTGCCCGCAGATACTCGGCAACATTCTTCCCCAGAAAGTCGACTGTAGTTGTCGCGCCAACGCCACGGTCGAGGAGGTTTCGGAACAAAAAGTGTACACCACGGAGGTTTGGAAGCTCGAATCGCTCGATCTGTAGCTGAGGGTTCGACCGATATTCCTCTCCTAGAAGCTCCTGCGCCTTTGGAATGGAGAGCAGTGAGCGCAGCCAAAGGTACTCATCGTTGTGGCGAACCCAGAACCCGCAGTTCGCATCGGGTCCTTTGTCGCCCGATCGAGCATGGACAATCCACCCTAGGGGGCCTCGAGTTGTAGGCCCGAAGTCTAGGTCGCGGTTGGCAGGGGATTCGGTAATCGCCTGTGAAGGCTGACGAGGCGGGAACTCTTGGGTCGTGGGCGGTGGAGGAATGTCCAGCACTTGATTCTTCCACGGGAGGTGCACACGGTGCTTCACATCTGCTTGGGGCAGAAGACTAACATAATACTCATATATGGGCTTTGGGAATCCCTGTCGTGCATCAAGGTGGAAAGTAGCGCCGGGATAGCCTTGCATGATATTATCGGTGATATGGCGGAGAAAGTTATTCGGGGCGATATCTTCTGCTTTACGAGCTTGGGCAACAATTCGCAAGGTGACAGTGGCGCTGTTTTGGTCTCGAGGGTCGTCTGGCGCTGAACCCAATGTAGAGAATTCGAGAGCTGTGTAGCTGGATGAATATGGGGCGAGAAGGTGGCGAATCTGCTCCTCCAGCATCCGTGCCTTCGCGTCGATGTCCAGCCCAACCAGAAACCATGAAGCCTCTGCTTGGAAACCGCCACGGGCCGTGATACCGACTTTGGTTGTTGGTGGAGGTGGTGCGGATCGGACGCCGTGCACGGCCACACGATTGGTACCGACTTGTTCGAAGTGGATGTCCGTTAGCACAGCAGTAACGTCTGAGTTGAAGTACCAAGGGCCCTGGATTTCGTATAAAAGCTGGGAGGAACAGGTATCGACAGTAACCGCGCCGCCAGGAGCAGAAGATTGCATTGTGATAACCACTTTCCCGTCTGTTGAAATTTCTGCAATAGGATAGCCGATATTACGCCAGCCATCACTGCCAACTTTCTCTAGCGTCTTGAAACCGGTGAAATTGCCTCCACATACATAGTTGCTACATTCGATAAGATGTCCAGCAACAAATGCATTGGCCAACTGATCGAGATCGCTGCGGTTCCACCCATGATACCAGTACGCGGCTCCAATAACAGGGGATGCATCTGACACTCGTCCGCACAAAACAATATCGGCCCCTTGAGACAAGGCTGCAGCAATTCCCAGGCCTCCAAGGTAACACTGAGCATATATTGGCTCGAAATTCCAGTCGGAAAGGGTCTCTCCTGTATAGACGTTTTTGAAGGTTGATTTCCCAGTGGACAAAGCTGTTTTCACTGTTGAGAGAACCTCGTCGCCAGAGACCCAAGCCACCTGGACTATATCAATACATGCAATGTGCAGAGTACTCTAACAATGGAATTACCTTTAGATTTAAGCCCTTGGCCTTGACCATTTTTGTTACCACTTTATACAGCCCTTCCGTGTCTGCATTTCCCGCGTTGACCGCTACTTTGATGCCATATTTGGCCAAATCATCTAGGGCTGGCTCCAGAGCCAAAAGAAATGCAAGCTCATATCCCGGTGCAGTTGTCGGCATCGCCGGGGCGTTATTACCAGCTACCTCCTGGGCTTTATCTTGATCTATCCGTCGTGCTGCCCCCGTGACCATGTTCGCCTCGCTCATGAAGTCGGCGATGATGACGTCGACGGGGTCTCGAGGGTAGTTACGAGCGAACTCGGTGATGGCATGTCGACGGTCAGACGTAGAGCCCGAAGCACCTGTCAATGGCTCAGTCAATATTGCCTCTCACGAGGAAGGGATGAATCTAGAAATTGCGACTGACCTGCAATGCGAACCGGACGAGAACTCATGATGTCTTTCAGTGATGTATCTATTTACTACGGGAGTAAGAGGTGAAGAATTTTCTCAACCGAGATACAATTGATGGGGAACTGGAATGCTTTAAGGGTCATCAAGTGGTCCATCTTCCCACTAGTGAATCTGGTTGTCGATCATCCAAACTATGTAATGGCCGAGGAGGACTTTCGGTTGTCGGTTCGCGGATGCGGGGTTCACTGGGCTGATGTATTAATCTGATGAATCAAGGACAGTGGAATAATGAAAGGTATAATTAGCAGACAATCAGCTCAATTGACGTATCTGAACTGAAGTATTACCGGACTGTGAAGAGTAATGAATGATGGTGGAGCTATTCAGCTTTTGCTTGTTGCGGTTTAGTCCATGAGATCACATGTGGATAACAGATTCGATTCGATGTGGGTCACGGGGGCAGGACAGCCCCCGAGTATGCTATGTACTGTGTACGCAGTATGTGCTCTGAAAAGCTTGTATCGGTCGAGAGTGTTGTTGGCTGGGAAATCCCATTCTTCTCTTTACATTTAATTCATTTGTAATAGTCTACAGGGATCATATCTGTATCACGTTATCGTGCTTACATGCAGACACTGAGTCACCATGTCGCTCGGAGTTAGACGTGGTTTCCGAGCCCCCACTTATGATATATTTAGTGCTAGGGATAGGGAGAGTAGCAATCTGATCACCTCTCACCGACATTACCACTAATAGCCCATTCCGATCCACCACAATGGTTCAATACTTCGAATCCATTTCAGATGATATTCGCGACTGGGCTTTACGCCAGAGCGTCTTCTTCGTGGCCTCGGCGCCTCTGCGTGGCCGCCACGTGAACCTGTCTCCGAAAGGCCTCCCAGACGCCTCTTTCGCCATTCTGGGCCCTAATGAAGCAGCTTACGTAGATGCGACAGGTTCTGGCAATGAGACGATTAGTCATTTGCGAGAAAATGGCCGTATTACTGTGATGTTCTGCTCTTTTGACAAGTCACCGCGCATTCTGCGACTGTTTTGCACGGGCTCAGTTGTTGAATGGACCGATCCCCAGTTTCCTCAATATTTGGAGCGCATGGCAGGAAAACATGTCACAGGCGCCCGTGCTATTATTCATCTGGACGTTTTTAAGGTTCGTTATTTGCCAGTGATACCTTTCCCGCTCTTACATTTATTGCCGCATACTTCATATCCTGTATGCTCATAGTTTGCAGGTCCAAACATCGTGTGGGTTCGGTGTGCCACAGCTAGCTTTGACTCATGACCCGGAGACCAACGAAGTGAAGCCATATCTCAAAGACCGCGAAACGATGGGCTATTGGGCTGGTAAAAAGGTGAGTGCAGGCCAGATGCGCGCGTATCAGCAAGAGTGGAACGTTAGTAGTCTAGACGGGCTTCCTGGTCTTCATTCCGCACTGAGAGATAATCACAAGAGTGTATGGTGGGCACAGTTGGAAGGTTGGATGAATCGCCATCGAGATGAGCTGGAAACGACGAAGACTTCAATCTTGCTTTTGTTTGTGGGTATGGCGATCCTGCAGTGGGCTGGGTATATATAGATAGATTGTATATGACAATGTATCTGCTGTATGCGAGAGATGATATGCTACTTCGTTGATGGTGTTGTCTTGATGGAATTTTTCTTGCTGTTAGATATATCTCTCTATCTTTTTTTCACTGAATGTGCAGCCTCGAGGGGGATCGACTTTGAGTATATAAACACAGCTATGCAGACTGAAACGACAATGAGCATCAGGAAGATCATGCGCCTTGTAGATCCCGTAGTGTTATTACGCGCAAGAGCCCTTCCAAAGCAACAATGCTATCTTACCGAAATACTAACAGCCCGGATATCTCCACAGTATCATCGATGCTGCCTTGGAGGTGCGGGGTTACCCCGTGAGACAAGCCGAAGACTTTTGACCAATGGAATATCAGAAACGTTGGGAAGCGTTTGGACGAGATATTTACGCGCGCATACAACTCCAAAGCTTGGGCCATACCGACAGCCGAGGTATGCATACTACCGAGCTTACAACATCCATCGTGGTCTTACTGAAATTATTTGGTCAGATGAGTGCTACGTATGCCCATCGCTTTGACCACCGGTATCCCACTTCCCGTCTGGAGCGCAACGTGCAATGGCCGATATCCTATACCACCTTCAAAAGAAGGACATTCTGTTTCGTGGCCACTTTGGATCATGGAAGTACGGGGCTGAATCACAGGTATGTGGATTATCCAACTTTGCAAGGGGAGATGGTGGGCTGAAAAGTCTCGAGTTTGATATTTGGTGCTGAGGCGGTTGAGCGGCCTTGATGACCTTATCGAACCCGAGCTTTATCAACTCTCGAGCCAACGCCGAGCGTCGTTCGGTGTCTACCATGGGTGTCCGCTAGTAAGTATATAGATACAGCTATGGATGACTGCGGAGGGATCGCTATCCACGGGCCAGTACTTGTATAATTGGGTGCGTCTCACCAATACTACTCAGCTTCAGCGCAGGCGTAACTATGTACATGAACTTTGTTATAGACCTTTTCTAGTCCTTGAATTTGATAAATACCTAAAATAAGCATAAACATAACACAATATTTCCTGTAGCTTCAGGGCATACGGACAAGCCGGTCTGTACAAGGGGAGAATACTGCCTCAGGAAAGAAACTGAAACCGTGATACCGACACAGCACACCAGCCAGGGTCATCCCGGCACTTCAGCTCTTCCAACAGACCTACTACAGAAGCCATCGAAGCATCGGATGGACGTATAAGGTCATATATAAAACCTGATTTCACTGCACGATTTCCTTTGTCGAATCCCGACCAAAGATTAATGGTTACTTGGATGAAAATGATTTGAAGACCTACTTCGGATATACAACGTGTACACTGTTCATGCGTATCAAACTCTGTGGTTCCGCTGTACGCGGATGGTCTGTTCTTTTTTAAGCTTTACAAGTCTCACCGGGACAAGTATGGGGTTGACGTGGGATGCGGGGGATAAGCCTTGTTTGTCGGCCAAATGGGAACGCCCTCCCAGCCACCCAGCATCAACACCAAATAAAAGTCGAGCCTCTCTTCGTGTTACAGTACCTATGCACGATGAGGTGAGAATTCAAATCCCGTCCGTTTGAGTACGAGCCGAATATCTGATAACTCCGGTAACCCGAGAATACGGCGGGATCGGATTGCGGGGATTAGAATCCTTCGAGACAAGTGTCCTGGTGGTCCGATCTGAGATGTGAACGCACCCGATGAAGATGTAAAAATGCGGACTTATCGCAGTTCATGACCTGTTGAGCACGATGGTTAAGGCTGGGTGGCATTCAAGGTACGGGAGCTTGTTTAGGGAGGGTTGCATATCGGGTGAACCTTGGTCCTCCAAGGTTTGAAGCTTAACGCTCCGTCATGTTACCTATTGTTAAATTTGTTACTTGCTGTTCCAGACCCTCCTTCCTCGCAAGCCTCGCAAGCCATGCTCTTCAATGGCGTACTATAGTTCCGATGCGGCCCGATTGAAACTCCCGAGTCAGCTGATTGGATGATCGCCAACTAGTCATCCATGCCGCGGCGAGGAGTTTGCGATTGATCGTCTACCATTTCTGTACAGGTCACGTGGTAACATACATAACAGGAACAGTACCTACTAATGCTAGATCCCGTCTGATGTACATACCAGTACATCTATGCGACCTGCAATGACCGAGGTCATTGATTGGACAGGGGGGACGTGGCTGGAAGTGTTTCATTGGACTGCACCTCCGTCCTGGAAATTTAGAGCAAAAATCCTAAAAGTCGCCGGCGGGAAGGAAGTTCGGCCGGTCCAGTGGAGACGGAGGGGACTTGGCACTCTCCCAGTCAAACACTATGTCTCATGACGGGGGTGCAGCCTGGTTACGATTATGCAGATGGACCAGTACCAGCCCGGGAATGTCAACTCACTATTTGGAATATCGATAGCATATTGTCCCAGAGGGCTCCGTCACCAAGATCATATTTTTCACTGATTCCACAATCGTTCAGTACCAAAGTACGGGCTACAGGTACTGGGAGACTACCTCCCAGACTACTTTGTTAGGTGCAGGAATTGCTAGTTTCTACTTCGACCTACCAAATGCAAGCAAAGGCTGCCAACAACCCCGGGTCTGGACCAATCTTTACCCCATTCAGTAAGACTTTCGCCCCATTGATTTGTCGTGATTAGTGAGATGCGTTCTGGAGACGCTTGTTGGAGACCAAGACCAGAGCTAGTTGCCAGTAGGGGATACCGAATGAGGAGAATGGATAGAGTGATTAGCAACTATTGACTCCGTACTTCAGACGTCTGCATAGAAGTAATTTGCTGTATTTGTTTGCCACGTTGGGATTGTTGAAAATGCGTTGGCGGGGGTACTAGGCTACTGACGATATAGCGGGGCAGCATTTCCCCTGTATCAACCCTAATTCCTCCGCGACCATGCGAGTAACTTGCGGACTTGCTTAAAAACTTGTTTTCAACACCATACAGAACCCCCACGTGGATCTTTTATAGCAGAGTTTTATGAACCGCGCAAGGTGCACCGGGGGAACCAGACAGAAAGACAAAAAAAAAATAAATAATTTGGAGAGATGATGCAATTTCACGGAGAGCGGAAGTACTCCTGGTGCGTCAGAGCTGGTGGGAATCCATGGACTGGGAGGGTCAGACTAACACGAAGACGTTGTATCAAAACGGATAGGGTGCCAAATTTCCAGAGACCGGAAGTGGACCGGCCAGGCCGGGGATAAGCGCTGACTGGCCTGAGGAACCCCGCACGATCGTCTGGAAAGACAGCTACGGTGGGGTACCGGTGGATCCCCTATCATCAATACAGCCTCGGGCCCTGGCCCCTCAGCCAACCGGGGCCCGGGATGACAGTGGGATTACTGAGCCTGACCGGTAAAATTACGGGCCTCGCTAACTTAGGAAGTGATGGACCGTACAGGCTTCCCCTCCTTCTTCGGTGTTATCACTGAGCTTCTCCAGTCAACGGTCGATGATTCCCCCTCCTTGCTTTGTTTTTTGGGTAAGTTTAGTTCTTTTTGTGATTTTCTTTTTATTTTCATTTCTAATCAATTCATTTCTTATTTTTCTTTTTTGTTTCCGCTTCCCACCTTTTCCCCTCCTGACCCCCCCCATTCGGTCCTGTCCATTCGCCATACAATTGAAAGGTATTAATACCGTGGGATCTCCCCCTCCTTTGCCTGACACCGTTGTTTCTTCTCCTCATCTCCCCTCCTCTAAACACCTCTCTCTATACCAACACCCCACTCCTTCCAGTGATACCCCCTTTCTCGTTTCTTCATCTCCTCCCTCACCATGGCCGACCTTTTCACCACCATCGAGACCCCTTCGGGCAAATACGAGCAACCCTTGGGCCTGTATGTCATCCCGCCACCCTTGCCATTCTCGCTCAGGGAGTCCTTGCTAACATAAGGTTGCCGCTTAGGTTCATCAACAATGAGTTCGTCAAGGCCAAGAGTGGCCGCACGTTCGAGACCATCAACCCCACCAACGAGAAGCCAATTGTAGCCGTCCAGGAGGCGGACGAGAATGATGTCGAAGATGCCGTCAAGGCTGCCCGTGCTGCCTTCGAGGGCGATTGGAGGAAGGTGACTCCCTCGGAACGTGGCCGCCTGCTCACCAAGCTGGCCGACCTCTTCGAGCGTGATATCGACATCCTGGCTGCTATCGAATCCCTTGACAACGGCAAGGCCTTCACCATGGCTAAGGGTGACGTTGGCGCCGCCGCCGGCTGCCTTCGCTACTACGGTGGCTGGGCTGATAAGATTCACGGCCAAACCATTGATACCAACCCAGAGTCTCTTACCTACACCCGCCACGAGCCCATTGGTGTCTGTGGTCAGATCATCCCTTGGAACTTCCCTCTTCTGATGTGGTCCTGGAAGATTGGACCTGCCGTCGCTGCCGGTAACGTCGTCGTCCTCAAGACCGCTGAGCAGACTCCCCTGTCTGGTCTCTATGCCGCCAAGCTCATCAAGGAAGCTGGCTTCCCTGCTGGTGTCGTTAACATCATCTCTGGTTTCGGCCGTGTTGCCGGTGCTGCCATCTCCAGCCACATGGATATTGATAAGATTGCCTTCACTGGTTCGACTCTGGTTGGTCGTATGATTCTCCAGGCCGCCGCCAAGAGCAACCTGAAGAAGGTCACTCTGGAGTTGGGTGGCAAGTCCCCTAACATTGTCTTCGACGATGCCGACATCGACAACGCCATCTCTTGGTCCAACTTCGGTATCTTCTTCAACCACGGCCAGTGCTGCTGCGCTGGTTCCCGTATCCTGGTCCAGGAGGGCATCCACGACAAGTTCGTTGCCCGCTTCAAGGAGCGCGCCGCTGCCAACAAGCTCGGCAACCCCTTCACGGCCGACACCTTCCAGGGCCCTCAGGTCTCGCAGCTGCAGTTCGACCGCATCATGGAGTACATCGACCACGGCAAGAAGGAGGGTGCTACCGTTGCCACCGGTGGTGAGCGTCACGGAACCGAGGGTTACTTCATCCAGCCTACCGTCTTCACCGATGTCCACAGCGACATGAAGATTGCCAAGGAGGAGATCTTCGGCCCCGTCGTCACCGTGCAGAAGTTCAAGGATGAGGAGGAGGCCATCAAGATCGGTAACAGCACCTCGTACGGTCTTGCCGCTGCCGTCCACACCAAGAACGTCAACACTGCCATCCGCGTCTCCAACGCCCTCCGGGCCGGAACCGTCTGGATCAACAACTACAACATGATCAACTACCAGGCTCCCTTCGGTGGCTTCAAGGAGTCGGGTATTGGCCGTGAACTGGGCTCCTACGCCCTCGAGAACTACACCCAGGTCAAGACTGTGCACTACCGCCTGGGCGACGCTCTCTTTGCTTAAATGAAATTTATGATGAAATAATGAAATATTTTACCCGTTCCATTTTGGCGATGGCTTTGATCTTTTGTCATTCCATGTAAACATAGGATATGAATTCACGATGAAATTGTGACTCCCTACTGCTTTGAACCGTAACACTAGTCAAAACAAGACCAATAACGTAGACCAGACTAAAGAGGCCATCGGTCTTTCCAGAACAAAGTTGTAAACTGAATACATGCCGTTTGGTCGGTAATGCATGAACCGAAACTAATGAATGTTGTTGTCTCCATACTTCGCTCGTCGATACAAGTGCCGACATCCCGCGGGGTCAAGGTCCTCGGGTCAAATCCACCCCGAGATTCCTCTCGGGGGGTGATACACCGAAAGTGCCGGACTTCTGCTCCAGATCCATGAACACAATGATAATATCCCGAGACATTCAACAATGCTTTATTATCTCCACTTCAAACCATGTAAATTCCGTAATACACCTAGTATGATATATCCGGTAATCAAACTCTAAACCCCATACAAGCGTTGGGTAAAGCATTATAATACACCCGCTAATACGCGATGATCTCGATAGTGGCTTTGATCGGCAGTGCAGCGCCGATGCATGTGCATACTAGTTTAATAGGATTGTTATGAATGTAGAGTTTGTGAATGGTGTTATATGACTCAGGTTCATGTCATTGTTACTTTTAGGGAAGGGGTACTCTGTCACCCTGTCACTCTATCACCCTCTGACTCTGTTTGATTACTCTCATAGGGAATGGCGAAGTGTATTAGGTTAGGGTTAGCAGTGTATTGCATACTCGTCTGATTAGAAAGTGGTTGAGTAGTTGAATTGACCATGACTGGGGTAGACTTTCTCTCTGAGAGTGTGTAAGGATACTAAGGGAATTGAATGCCTAATGCCTCCCGACCGGTACATGTATGGACGTTAGTGGTGCTCGCAGATGATCTGCGAGGAATGCTAGTATATGACCGTCGGCCTCTAAGGTGGATGGATTCCTTACACAGTGAGCATTTTATATTCCCTTCAGTCGCCCCGTCCCGTCACTGAAGGCCATCCCGCATGGATTGACAGTATGCTAAACCCGCAACGGCCGCCAAGCTGCTTTGTCTTTCAATATGTCTCTTCATGTGCAGATTTCTCATTATCATTGCACTTATTCTTGACCGGGAATAGAGCCTACTACTTCTGGATGTGATTTGACATAGGATTCCCTATCCAGATGCTTTCTCAAACCACACACACACACACACACACTCTCTCTCTCTCTCTCTCTCTCTCTCTCTCTCTCTCTCTCTCTCTCTCTATATATATATATATATATACCCATAGCGCAAGCTTCTCTTCTATTCCAAAAACCCCTAACTCGAACCTCGCATACAGTTCCCACACCAAAATCCACAGACGTAAGCTGACTCAAATCAAGCCCCTGACCATTCAGCAACTGAATCGTCCATTGAATAAAAAACCAGTCGGATACGCATGGTTGTGACTTTGGATGGAAGTTTTGTTGGTGGAGAACTTACATCTTTGAATGACACTGTTTGCGTGAGTACTGGGGTTGAATTTGATAGTGGGGTTTGCTGTGAAGGGTGGAGACTGTTGGTTGGCAGAGGTAGGTAGAGAGACTTAGGCTGTAGGATTCGGTCAAACTTGGAGTTGATGTTGTTCATCGCGTTCATCAAACTGGCATTACGGACATTCACTATTGTTTGCCAAGTCACGCACTATCGCGCCTGGGAACTGGAAATATGACTACACTTGAATTGTATTTTCTTCCTCTCTGACATCCGCTAGATCCAGTCTGACAGAGATCATGCAGTTTTCATGTCCAAAAATCATCTGGCAAACCAATATCACCGTGACGGCAAACCGATCTGACCAATGCCATTCAAGTGAAGGCGCAGAAGCTGAAGTTTGGGCGTAGCACTTTCTCCAACAATAAGGTAGAAAGGCATCAAAGCCCAAAACCCAGAGTGTAAAGGACGGACTCGTGCATCGATTTCAGAACATCTCGTTTACGAGGTCGAGAAAAGTCTGGAGAAGGACCTCAACACCGCGGCGCGGTTCGCGATTCCCAGCAATGCCGCATTGTCGTGTGAGAAGCCCGTTTTTCAACAATAATGGGGATTTGATGATTGTGGCCAATTACATCGTATAGTGTGCTCGAATGGCTTGTTGTCGAATTGGGGCGCAGCAATGGTGAACCAGTTTTAGATTGAGCGTGAGATGCGTGTTATTTGTTAGTTGAGGGTCAGATTGCTCAATGGATGCGGCTTCTCTTGCCGGGTTTTCGTCTGTACCTTGATACTGCATGAGATTGTTAGAAGGAAAGGTTCTTGGTGGTCAGAATTACTAGAGCCAAGGGACTATAGCCATTATTCTTTTTATCCGGTAATTAACATAACTTTTATTAGCGGGAGGGAATGAGATTTCAGTATAGGTTTAGTTCTGGGTATCAGATTAATTGATCACACATGGCTCGGTAGAGTCCCAGGGCTGTCGTGGGAATGGAACTCCGCCTCCCCCTCAGCAGCTTGTAGTAATCTGCTGCCGGTTGCCAACATCCTGGTCCGAACCTTCTCCATGGCATCGCGCGGGGGCATTGAGCCGTCGTTGAGGGTAGAGGTTTAGGTTCTGAAGATATTCGAGACATTGCACATGGGCTATATACGCTAAAAGGGCATTACTAGAAGGAAACGGTGGCCATTTTACCGGGGCGGAATTTACATGCAGAAAATCATGTTTATCTGGCCGTTACATTGATATACATTTCAGCTGACTATACATACGGACGTGGAGACGTCAAACCAGGCACTCTAGCGTGCATCTCAGCCAGGGCAAATTTTGCAACGAGGCGGTCGTGCCCGTCCCCTATTCGGAATGGCCGTGGGGGCCCTCCATGCCCTCTTCCGTCGGCGGACCGGCGTAGTTCTGATAACCCCACACCCAGTACCATATCGCCGAGATGATGAAGAAACCGACGAAGACGACGGAGGCGTAGTTCATGGTTTCTTGGGTGACGTCCATGAATGTGGGCATGGAGAAGAGCGGGATGGCGAGACAGGTCCATGCTGCATTGGGCATCGGCAGAGATTAGAATTTCGTTCATGGATGGAGGGCCTGGGATGATCGGAGGGGAGAACCAAGTCCACTTACCGAGACAGACGATATTACAGAACAGACCCAGGGGGCCGAGGTTGAAGCTGCAGTTCTTGATATCTTGGCGCTTTCGGAGAAGGAGGGAGACCGCAACTGGGCAGGCGTAGCTGAGGGTTAAGAACATGACACCGACACCGGAGAAGGCATTATATGCGGCTGTGGAGCCGAAGTAGATCAGGCCGAGCAGGAGTTCGATTACCATGCCGAGGAGCATCGCGTTCAGGGGGATGTTGTCGAGGCGCGGCTCGACCTTCTTGAACCACTTGGAGCCTGGGATGGCTCCGTCGCGGGCGAAGGCCCAGACGCTTCGGGATGCCGCGGTTACGCAACCTACACCGCAGATGATGCCGAGGATCAACAATGGGATGAGCAGGCAGAAGGCGCCGGCGGAGTTGCCGGTGGCGGCTTTGAAAATGGGCGGCACGGGTTGGCCGGAGGGGAGATTCGCCAGGTAGGAGATATCGGGGAGGACAAACGCGATGGGGATCAGAAAGGCGAGACCGGCCAGGGCGTTCAGGGTGAGGCCGCCGACGATCGCTTTGGGAACTTGGATGGCTGGCGCGCGGACTTCTTCACACATGCTGATGCGGGACAAGGTTAGTATGGGCTTTGTTTTTTTTTTTCGCGACGGGCATAGAGGTTGGCAAAGGCCTACGAGGTGATCATGCCGGTGGCCGAGAGCGCGTAGGCAGCCTGCAGTAAACCGATACAGAAGGACCAACCGTCTGGCCAGCCGGATTGCGGGGAGAAATCGGTGAAGACATATTTGGCAGAGTGTCTGCCGTTACTGGCAACGACCAGAATGGTGATGATGATGGCAGTCACGCCTACCAGGGTCCAGAAGATGGCAAAGGTCTATAGGTCGAGTATACAAGTGTGATTAGTAACGTGGGCATGGAGGTCTAAAACAAGAAAAGGTCAAGTCTGCGCTGCAATGATAGCTTGATATACCTCCAGGTGTGTCAACCACTTATTCCCAAAGGCAGGAATGACATGGCAGACGAGTGTGATGGCTAGAAAGATCAGATAGGTCTGATAGGCCTGAAAGTCTTCTGTGATACCGACACCTGCAGCGTCGGTAAACACATTGAGACTCTCAATCAGAAACAGCGCCGTGGCGAAGTTCACAGCCAAGGTGATGGTGATATTGCCGGCAATAAAGGACCAGCCGCAGATCCAGGCGGCCACTCGGCGATACTTAACGGGGGACAGGGCAAAGGTTTGGTAGTAGACACCACCGGCGGTGGGATAGACGGATGTCACCTCGGCGAGCGATGCGGCGACACACAACATGATCAGGGATACCAGGATCCAACCCCAGATCATGTTGGCCGAGCCGCCCCCGGCAATGGAGTACAACATGGTCGTCGAGAGACCGTACGGCACGGAGGCCAGAATGAAAACCATGAAGACTACCTGCCATGTTGATCGATTGCGCGACAACTCTGGCGTGTATCCGAGAGCTGCGAGGTTGGAATCTGCGGTGATCTTGTCCACCGTGGGCGGGTCCATGATGGAATGGCTAGTCTTAGGAGACTAATTAACGTGGATATCGGTTAGACGTCGAAGGACGATTTAGGTGCACTGGGCGTAATGAGGCGCTATGGGTCAATCGCATAAATGCTGTTGAGTGGCTTCCTTTTTCTCGGGATAAAGAAGGAAGAAAAGGATTCACAATGGACGACGAGGGCACAAAAAAAAAAAAAAAAGGAGCACGTGGCCGAGGAACGTCAGAAAATGTTGTGCTTTTAAAATAAAAGGAAAAAAGGAAAAAGGGTCGACGAGACGGCCAATACGCCAGTCCGATTGCAGGAGATAAATCGCCGTGGTGACTAATGGACCAGGGTGGCCATGAAGGGCGACACTGATTGGCCCTTCGGCCGGAATACGAATCTCCTTTTCCCCAGAATGTCTGTAGGATATTGCCCTAAACTGGAAAAGGAAACCGGGTGGCACCAACAGACTTTAGACTAACGCCGAGTGGCAACCTTACACTGCCACCACCCCACTAAGCGGGTCACCGCCTACGTAAACTGGTAGGCGCCAATCTTATCTCGGAAGAGGCCGTCCAGGATGGGAATTCCCCAGGCAGAAAGATTGGCGGCGTGAGGGGCAGGTAGTATTCGCGTGTCAGATAATCACAAAGCTACAGTCGGCCGCGCGACTCCTGGCCACTGCAATCCAATTCGCCGGCCGATCGTCGCCCTCCAGCCGCCAAAACATCCTTAAAAAGGACAAAACTCGCCGTCGTTCCAGGCTGCCGCTGAGACGAATCACCCCCAAAAGCGCCCGTTCGATGGCGTCTTGCTGATCCGGGGAACGACATTCCGTCCCACAGACGAACAGTGGCCAGACCAGGTCGTGCGCGAAATATGCCCGCTCCATGAGGTGCGATAAGTGTTCGAGAATCGCGTCTCGAGAAGCCCGAATGAGGTCGTTGGACGAACCGAAGTCAGAGAGCACACGGTGGCTGTAGATTAAACTCGCATGGTAATACATGTGTGTCAAGTGTTCGAAATCGTGTCGCGCGTCGGGATATTGAAACCGCATGATCTGATTCAGCTGGAGCGCTCGACCTCTCGCCGTTTCAATTTCGTCCACGATATCTTCCACCCGTGTCGTTTCGATATCGGAGCTACCACTAAACTTACGTCGCTCCGCTCGGGTTACAGAGTGCATGATCCGGACAAAGTCACCAAAAACGGCAATTTTGTCGTGAATTGGGATATCGTCAATGACATCGTAGGTGGCATCAAACGTGGTCAAGCCGTTGAAGACGGCGGTGAAGTAGTACTCATAACGGAGAAAATTATCGGCGACGTCGGGGGGTAGGTGACGTCCGATCGCCTGAAGCTTCCATTGTATGATTGCTCGAGCCCCCTGGATGTGTAGTCGCCGTTGCGTGGCCTTGGCCGCATAGAGCTCGAGGTTGTAGAGAAGGAGGACTGTTGCCAGAGCGAACCGTGCCTGATTCGCACAATCAAACGACACGGGGGCTTTCAAAAGACGTTCTAGATGTTGTGGTAAGAGGGATAAGACTTTGTCCCGGTAATACAGCGACTGCGCTTTCAGTTGATGGAAGTACGGCCGGTCGATGGTATATTTATGTGTGAGATCCTCCGACGACATGGCCAGCAAGGAGTAGCGCACGATCGGCGAGGCATGGGACAGGGGGAGTATAATCTGTCGCCACGGGTTTTCTGGGCCGTCCACCCAGGCAAGCTTCGTCGCAATGTTTTGGTTGAAATGATGCAGCAATGGACCAGAGACATTATCCAGTGGGGAGCTTGGTCCACGGTCTACTGGTGTCAGACACACCACCTCACGTAGGGTCCGGTCTGGGTCTCTGGGATCGCCCGCAACCGGTCCATCTCCTGCCAGTCTCCCTCTACTGGGGATGGCTTGCTTCCAGCGCAGAATTAGTCCATAGCCGGGACATTCGTAATTTCGGCGCAAACACTTTCGGCAACCGGGCAAGGTCCTATCACATTGGATTCGGCGCGATTTACATTTCGGACAGTCTACCGGGCCACATTATTGGTTGGTGAGACGTTCTGGGAAATATTTTCCCATGGGGTTCATCGTTACCTTTCGACGCAACGTTCATCGAAGGGGCGGTCATACCCGGATTGATATCACCCTTGAAGTTGAGACGAAGGGAGCTGTGATGGTTTGAGCACGAACTGATCGTCCGCTATCAGTCGAGAAGTCCGAGGGGCAGAAGAGATGAGAGTTTGGTTAATGGCATATACGCTTACAAACCCTGCTTATCTAATTCCGAGTGAGGCCAAACTACTGTGGCATGGAGAGAGCAAGAATGGACACGGATATCATCACTGTCCAGGGAGGGGATTCAGTCCAAGACCTGTTAAGCCTGCGGCTGTACAAGTTTTGCAGGGCTCACCCACCAGTCTTTTTGCCGATGAGAAGGCTGTCGGAAGGCTTGACGGTTGGTGGATCCAACCATCACGCAAAAGGTAAAAATGCCTGCTTGGCTTCCTGTTTGGACACTTGGCATGTCTCCACCGATCCCCGAGATGGACGCGTGGAGCGCCAGAAACACCTTCATACCTGCACAGTTACGACAGGAAACCAGCCATACTAGTAGAAGATCTATTCCTCCTGATATGCACAGACCATACTAGCTCCCAGAGGCTGCCCATCGAGTGATCTATTAGTACATAGTGCAAGCTTTTCCCCGGGTGCCCTTCCCGATCTTTCACTCCTGCTCAACAAAGTATTTCACCACCACCTCGATGATATGCTATGGAAGCCTGGGGGTTACGATTGACTGTGCCAACCACCCATACTCTGATAGAGTCAGGTGGCGACTGTCATGCTCCGCCGATCACCGGCTCTATTGCCATCGCCGTTCCCTCTGCTAGCTTAACATCTTCCACGGAGAATTACCCCCAGTTCGAAATTAGTCTTACGCGATCGGTGACACCCAAGCCCCCTGATGTCGCGGTCCCCCGCACCAATAAGAGCTATAGTTTTTTCTTTAAGCGCAACCCGAAGCCCAAGTCGTCAACAATCCAGGACTCTCCCCATGCAACCACATCCCTGGAGCCCACCGTTGAGACGCTAGTACAATATAACCTCTGCCATGCCCCGGATGAGATAGATCCCAAAGAGGACGAGGATGAGACATGGCTGAGGTTCAATTTCTACATCCCTGTGCCAAGCAATATCCCGCCGACGACGGAGACCATCCTAGGGAGCGTGTCCTATGCGATCACTGCCACGGTAACCTCCACGATATCCGGCACAAGGATATTGAAAGATACGCAGCAAGTAAAGATGTCCCGCCGTGTGGTCTCGGAGCCAATCCGACATATCCGACAGTATCCGGGCGAAAGGGTCCTAACGGAATTATCCCTGATACCCACTCAACTATACTCAGACTCACCCGAGGAGACGAAAGTAGCGTACTCACTAGAATGGCTGGCCCATTCTACCATTGCAAAGGGAGCGCGAGACATGGAAGTGAAATATGTGGTGGGCAAAGAGTTGAGGTGGAGAGTAGAAGAGACCGTCAAGTACCTCGCTATCGCGCGGGGCGGTGGCTCACAAAGAGACGCAGTAACGACCACCTGCAAAGAGCAGCGCGTACGGCAATTATGTGAAGGGAAACAAAAAGGCCACTGGATAGCCAGTGGGAGCTTACAAGGAGGCGACCATACGATTGAGATTCCATTTGACATCAACATTCCCGCCAAAGTGAGGGCAGCAGATGGAATAGGGCTACCTTCATATCTATGCCATCACGAGGAGAAGGCTTGCGATTGCAATCCGAGCCAAACAACCGGTGTCACAGTCGAGCATAATCTGATTCTGGAAGTGATCACGGGCCAGGATACGTTTGACGAGGCAAGTGGAAGACTTGTCGATCGCCGGCCCCGCATGAAGTCCTTCAATGCCCTTTTCCCTTTTTCGATTCAGAATTTCGTCAGTGGGGACAGTCTTTCGCTCAGCGAATTCTATGTGGACGATACTCTGCCAAGATATGACGATACGTATCTACGGCCACCTCAATATGCCACTGCCCATTGAAAGATCGTCTTGTTTGGTTGACAGGCGGTTCATCCGTGTCCCTGAAGGAAAGGGATGCTCGCCAGAGGAAATACCACCAAGTCTTTTGATGCTATGTGATATTCTGTGGTGTAGTGGAGCTTCCTTGCAGTTTTTCATTCTTATTCAAAGTGTTATTACTTAATCTAGATATACCCATTGTTAATGAATGTTCCTTTCATCTTGAAAACGCAGCGTTGGCAACAATACAATGAATTGTCCTTAGGCAAAGACTGCTCCAGTACCTCCTGTTGCTTCCGTTGAGCACAAACCGTCGAAGAACTTATATTCCCAGTGTATGAGTACAACTATTAGACGTAGTTTTTCAACATTTGACAGTACTATTAGGGTACTATTTTAGAGCTAATATTAAATAAAATCTACTTATTATTATAAAAAGCCGAATAAAATGGACAATAACTTCGCATTGCAAGAGTGAAGATTATTCAATAGTTCGGCTGGATTTCGACGTTCTTCAATCCCCCCCAAATTAGACGGATGGTGAGTGAGCTTCCTGATGCCCGTATAATCGACCAAACAACTCTGCCTCCATGCGTTGGACAGGCTGGGGGCCATCGCGAATTTCTCCCATCATGTCAGTACCTGGTGGAAAGTCAAACTCGAACGATGGGGTGAAGGAGCTTTCTGTGGTACTCCCAAGCATCCGGTGTGAAGCTTTGGATCCTGTATATACTTCCCAGAGCACGTGGGAAGAGATGTTCTGTTTCCCAGTAAATTCCACCCGCTCACGCGTGCTTGAACATTGACCTGGGCAGTGATAACGCACCGACCATCTCGCTGGCTAACTTGGTCAGACAACTTGACTGCTTTTATCAACTGCTATGGTTGTTATCGTCACAGGGATTCTCTTTCCGTCGAGGAAGAGATTAACAGTTCGTGGGACGTCTTCTCTGTAGCTTCGTTTGGCACTCAGGGGGCACGCATGGAGCGACGCTGGGCGCTAGTGATTATTTGGGCTCTTGGCTTGCCCAGCGGTAGGAATATAACGGCCATGTTGAATCGATGGAGTGATAGCTCACAGAGGTACTTAGAGCCGTGCAACCGAGGCTCGAATCACCCCCTTGACGAGGTAATCATAGGGTTTAACAGGTCTAGAAGCTGTACGGCTGTGGGATTCCCTGAGGCACGTAGACCGCATTGAGTCTTATTGAGTGTAGCTGGAAATTAGACCCAGAGATTCAGGATAGGAGACCTCGCTCAGACTACCCTTTTAAATATGGCGGTCTTTCAGGCCAGCATTGGGAAATTTATAGAGATAGTTGAGAAGGGGGTGAAGAAGCAAGCAGAGGAATGGCAAGTTGAATTCTACCATCTGCTTCTGTGCATAGAGTTAAGTCTAAGGAGGGAATCAGTGTGGCTATTTAAGTCATCGATTGTAGGTAATACTTCTGGGCATATCATGTATCGGGTCGTCAATAGGATCTCGGTATGACTTACCAAGCCCATCAGTATTATAGCATGATAGCATCCGTGAGGGAGAGATAGCATTTACCATGAGGCGAACAATTAACCCTAAATCAAGGACTTGGCTTAAGTCTAGACCGCCTCTATCGCCATTGCCTCAGCTAGGCGTAGTGGCAATGAAGTCAGACATCCCACGGATCCTCCGTAACTGCGGCGCTAACTTTATATGCGCACGTATATACGCTGCGCAAGATCCGCCGGCGTTATGATGACTTCGAGTTCTATTCCCACTAAGTATTCACCAAACCCTAATATACCACCGAGACGGAGTACTGGTTGGTTTCCTGCAAGTGTCTCAAATCTAAATTATTACTGAATTATAATTGTTCGGGTTCTGGCTTCTCTCACACGGGTTGAGCGGAAGTGATTCAGCGGAGAGGTTTCACTCGCCGTTTTCTCTATCTCCTAGATCAATAAGAGGTTACTTGAGACCGGTACAAGGCTACAACCGACCAGCCGTCCCGGAAATTGCGAAATCCGACTGCCAAGGATGGATTAGAAATCCGCCTAGGAGTGAAGTTCTCGGAGATAACAATATCACCGGCTTCACCGGCAGCTGTTTCCTCCTTAAACATGGCCACTCATACATCGATCTATGACGCTACCGGCCGCGCTTGCATGTAGATCACTTATAGTGAGACGTTTATTCTAATGAAAGTTATAGCTCGGGGGATCCAAGATTATCAATCACCATGTATAAACGGATGGCGGAACTTGGCTCCTCCCGAATAATGAATGCATCTTAGCTGTGAATATGTTAGTAATGTCTGCCGACATCACTTTGGGAACGCACCTGGGTTACTATTTAAACCATGAAGATTAACACACTTGCTGGAGCTTTTCTCGCCATTGTCACGCACGGCATATCCGAAGCACATCTACGTTCGTGATCCTACTTTGCTACCCTGACAGCCCGAAGCACCATGGACTACGAAAACCTCCCGGAAGACTACTTCCTGACGGCTGGCGCATTCACCAAGAAGCTCTATCGGGACCAGTATCCCGCCATTGATCCTACCTTGCCATCCCTGTCACAGCAGGGAAGAGTGGTTGTGATCACCGGCGCGAGTTCAGGCCTAGGTGCTCATGTAAGTTGCTCTCATATACCTGTCTCGTATACCCTCCTTACTCAAAGGTGTCTAGGGGTTCCCAATCTCGTTTGCCAAAGCCGGAGCAAAGGCCATCTGGCTCGTCGCCAGAGATAAGCAGGGCCTGGAGGCGACCAGACAGCGTGTTGTAGCAGTAGATCCCTCCATAAAGGTTCGGGCGGTATCTCTCGACGTCTCCGACGAAGCCGGCGTTGCCCGGCTTTTCGACCAGATCGAGTCGGAAGACGGAAAGGCCGATGTCTTGATCAACAATGCGGGTCTTTCACGGGGTGGTCCGATTACCTCTACCGCAATAGACGGTATCTGGAAGGATTTCGTACGTGGTGCATTGCATTCTCGACACCGGATATAATCAAGGCAGACACTAACTAACGCCAAAATAATACTTTCAGGAGGTCATGGTTAAAGGAACCTTCATAACAAGCCAATACTTCACCAAACTACTAGGGCCGACGTCAAGGGGCTATATTATCAACGTCTCAAGCATGGCAGCCGTGCTTGCGATGCCAGGAAGTGATAGTTACGCCTTGTCAAAGATGGTTCAATCCGCAATGCAGCGCTACATTGCACTTCTGAATCCGAATATCGTAGCGACGAGTCTTCATCCGGGGGCGGTCGCGACTAATATCGTCCCGGAAGTCTTTTCGAGATTTGCAAAGGACACGCACGACCTTGCTGCCGGCACTGCTTTATGGCTTGCGAGTGAAGATGCGCAATTCATGAATGGGCGGTATATGTCTGCGAATTGGTCCGTGGAGGAAATGGTGGAGCGTCGGGAGGAGATTGTGGAACATGACTTGCTCAAGTTTGACTTGAAGATTGCACCTTACGCTGCCTAGATGGGGTTTGATAGAGTTTCTCTATGGTTTCTAAGATTGACGGTGCTTGGGTTTGTTTATGGGTGCCCATTTCAGAGTTTGATATAGAGCATGGACAAGATATAGTACTATGGCTCATGCCAAGCACATATCATAAAATATGCTACTACGAGAACATAGAAGTAGCTGAAATGGTTTACTTTTGCGTATGAAAGACTTTGATAAATCAGTCCATATATTACAGATAATAATTATCATAGAGGTCTGTATATATAGACGGGTACTCCAACCGTGGGGTACTGTGGGACTATGGGGATGAAATGCAGTACAAGGCCAATAAACCGACGAGAAAGCACACCTCCAAAATGGCAAGACAGGATTCTCGGTTCTTGTTTTCATCTGGTCTGACCTACATCTAGCTCTAAATTGTCCGTCATTCTCCACACAACGCATTGTATCGATAGTAGATCCTCGAGGTACAAGATGATAACAGAATCATTCAAAACATGGCAACTTCGACTAATCCCCTCAAGGACGCTAGAGTCTCTCAAAATATACTCTCTCTTCTAGATCACCTGCATGCTGCCTCGATCGAGCAAGAGAGCCGTCTAGATAGAACCGCATTTGAACCAGATCAGATTCACAATGCCACTCGGGAAGCCTTCATTGCGTTGGACCAGGACAAATGCCACTTTGTTTATCAGTTGGCACACGCAATCAACGCCAAGAACATCGTCGAAGCAGGCACCAGTTTCGGTGTTAGCACCATATACCTGGGTCTGGCTGTAAGTGCGAATGTGGAAGCTTCTGGTGGACCTGGGACGGTTATTGGAACAGAGCATGAGCCTTCCAAGGCAGAACAGGCTTGCAAGTACTGGACTGAGGCTGGAGAGGTGGTGTCGAGATATATTGATCTGCGCGTGGGCGATCTGGGGGAAACGTTGAAACAGAATGTTCCCACCGTTGATATGCTTCTGTTGGACAGTGAGTTCTTTCTTTATGTGGAATCAGGCTGAATCATTTACTAATATCCTCGTTAGTCTCGGCTCCTATGACGCTTCCCGCTTTGAAAGCTATCCAGCCGCATCTCCGACATGGCGCAGTTGTAATCATTGACAACACCATCAGGTCTGCAGCTCGCTATAAGGATCTGCTCGAATACCTGCGCCAGGAGAATAGTGGGTTCACCAACTTGACTATTCATTATTCGAAGGGCTTGGAGATGTGTGTTTATGCTCCGCGATCATAAGTCAGATATGAGAAGACGTGTACTCTTCTATGTATCTGGGAACCATCTCAGGTCACCTCCTTCTACTATCTTGCAAGTCTGAAAACAAGCCAGGTCATCTAAGGTTTGGGAACATATATTATGTGATGGAGCGTGCTTTTCTTAATCTTTGTAGTCATTCTTTTCACTGTCACTTTCTAGAATCTAGCACTAGTATCTATACCTACAAGAGCTTCTCCAAGTGCGGTAGGCTTGATGTTTTATTTGGTGCATAGTCCTGACTTATCTATTGCTTCTCGTCTCTTATAGGGTGGATTTAAGTATAGTCTAAATGGTTTGAGCTAGTTATTGAGTCGTTAGATAAACATAGTACTACGCAACCTCTGCTAATATTCCGACCCTCCTTTATACATACTGGTTTAATATGGAAATTCCAAAGTTGTTCGAGACTACACTTCTGGTGAATAAGGCAACTGCTTGAACTATGAAGTTCTTCACTAAGTGACGGTCTATCTATGTAACCCAGGATATTTCCGTAAGCTTTCCATTGTGCCAATGAAAGAGGGAAATAGTTTGTAGACCACTGAAACCTGTGCATTTAGCGCCGACTGACTATTGCAAGGCTATATTGTAAAGGTATTTACGAACCGGCACTGGAATATGTAGGTTTTTGCAATATACTAATACACTAATTAGTAAGATGCTGGGCTCGGGAGTGCTTCGTAAGGTGTACTCAAATCTTCTTTTTAAGCAGTAGTCTGCCAATCATCTCAGACTTGGATTGGATACACTGTCATTGATTCGCGAGATAGAGTCATTATAAATCATAGATTTAAGCTCACCGTAGATCCTCGTAGTCTTAAAATTGTGTGGGATTGCCATATTGTCCAAAATTAGCTAGTGGTATATTGGGAATCAAGGGGTGAGCTTCAAATCCTGAGTTTACAAATGATGTAGAAAGGCCCGTAGACTCGTCACCGGATGCCTACCAGAACAATCTCCTCGTTCATCCAAGCAAGCATCGCGGTCCCACACCCGACAAGCACATATGCATCAAGGATGGTGAATAAGGCACCATTGCCGGCACTATACCATAAGCTTGTCAAATTCTGCAGTTGCAAGCATCGGCCGTAGGGTAATATGAGTAATGTCTTTCACTCAGATAAAGCTTGAATTCACAGAATCGGGGCTTTTCTTTTTCAATACATATTTCTGACTTAATACCCTACAGTGTAGTACGTCGCCGTATCGATCTATACTCGCTATCCGGGCTCCATCATTATCGCTGGATCTTGATCGGTTCGTATCTCTGCTGTTCGGATCGGATCAGGTATAGATAATAGAACTGATGCACTCTGGTGTGAGTATCACGCAATAATAATTAAAGAAGAATTGCATGTCGTGATGCACGTAGCACTCTCAAAGGGGTCTGCGCTGCGCTAGTATCCTACCTTGGCACCTGTATTGCGCCAGTAAACACGTCAATGATATAGATTTAACTTTGGGTCATGAGCAACTTGCAACTACCCCTCCTATTAAAAGTCCCTGTAATGCTACGTTATGAGATATACGATCGAACTTCTGATTTGGCATTTCACGTTCCCACTGACTTCCAAGTATCTGCTAGTTCGTCTTTGCCAGGTGGCCTCTACTTTGGAAGTCGGTCGAGCTGAACAAGATGGCCACTAACCAGGAGGTCCACTGCGAATGGGGGAAGCGAGACTCGCCCCGCGCCATATACCATACCTATGTTCATCTGTCGCTTGCTTCTGCCAAAGTTCAACTGATGAATGCGAATTAGCTCTGGAGCCAGCACTTCATCCATAACGATCTATAAAGCTGGTGGATCCACCAGAGCGGAATGTGACTATCGGTCAGTGCACTAATAACCAAGGCGAACTATTTAGCTACGCCACTGCCTTGCAATCGTCGGCTGCGGCTTATAGCGATGGAGAATTCATCCATCGTGATGGACCTCCCATTTCCTAGCCTAGTATGGTAATGATCTGCGGGTTGATGCATTGCCAACTCATCTATCCCATCTATTAAACGTCAACATACGGGGGAATAGGAGTCACAGGTCGCCCGGGAAGCGATCCAAGCGAGACCAATGACTCTAAGCTATGGCATTCAATCAGTTCAGAGGGACTGGATATCTGGACGACATGAATACTGACGCTGGCACGTACCTTCAGCAGAAATTCGGTATCATCACCCCCAACCGTCATAACGAAAACATCTCACCCCCTGGATGGAGCAAGACCGTGGCTCTGAGCCATCGGCATTAAGCTGCTGGCTGGCCCTCCGTTTCCTTTTTTGCTTCTTATACTTTACACTAAAGATGCACTGTTGTATACATGTACCCCTCAGTTCAGCTGAGCTGGCCACTTCTCCACTATGGGAGTCGAAAAGGCTGACCATTGGTAGATTCCGACCTCTACTTGATCGGGCCCATAACAGAGAATCTCAAACTTGACGATCTTCTAGGATATAGAACAATCATTCACTTGGTTTTGGCGCTATGGACATCAAGCCCCTCAACTCGAAGACCCATTCTGATGTAGATCGTACCAATAACACAAATGCCTAGCCTCGTCGACAAAGTTTAAGCCCTACTCACAGCATTTTAGTGGTTATTGACCCATCACTCGCAGGTCCTCTCTGACCAAACATAGAGTAGTCTTGCTGGTGGAGGGGCTATGCTCGATAATATACCCTCTGGCTAAGCACCAACATGACTCAAACGTAATTGGTATGGAAATCCCTCACGAAATATGGTTCGAGATACTCCTCGGAGCTCCATTAATTGGAGAAAGCCAGGTGCTGTGGATCGGACGTACATACCTTGCCAGGGTATATAGTGTGACTTGTTGCGCATTTCCCAACAGAGTCTTGGTGATATTCCTCAAGTCAACAAGTGAACAATTCGGTGAGAACATAACATATAAAGCAAACATGGTGAGATACATTGCAGCGAAAATTCTAGACTTGATCTAACATCACCTGCCTGCTAGGGTCGTTACACACGCGAAGAGATTGATTTCTGGAGGGAGAGATTCAAGGAAATTGTAAGTACATGGAAGCGACTAATCGGCACGACTGCTCCTAATTTCATCAAATCTGAAAGAATACCAGCGGTGATCGTAAGTTCCTTCTTCTATAGAACTACTGCCCCCACTGGCTCATGTATCTGACCTACTAGGTTATATCGAACCGTTTGAGATCATTAAATCTGCGAAAGAGGACGGTTTCGAGATGAGTGATGAGGAGGCCAAGGAGTGGATCGACACGTTGGATGAGAACCACGACGGCAAAGTCTCATTTAGCGGTATGTTGCCTCTAGAACCTCTAACCAGCATTGGAGTTCGTTTGATCGTACTGACTCTAATGGATAGAATTCATCAAAGCGTTTGGAGAACTAAAGAACAAACAGTGATATCGGATTCTGTTCCGATAATAGATCTCTACAGAAGTGGTATTGATTAGAATGAAGCAGTTGGTCTAAAGAGCAGTTTGATAGTACCTGTACTGGCCTATCCCTACCGTGCCTACAATGTCGAGTCTGTATAAATCATAATAGTACCAGGCCTCGGGGTACACCATTATCTGAGTCAAAACTAGTGCACTACGCCTACAGTTAAGTGCCACATGTTTAATAGATTTAACAGCGAGGGCTGGAGAGTAAAACCCTCGAACACTCGACCCAGCTTAAACATAGGGTTTCCCCACCAGTGCAGGGTTAGAATCCATTTACAGTACCATAGAAATTAGGAATGGAAGGAAACCTTGATGACCATAAAAGCTGCCATCCATATTTTACTTTCGCCAGTTACTCAAGGCCTAGTTGGAAACGTCTCTAGAATGCAAATTGTACATCCTATCTGGTCATGGAAGATGTTCAGTGAGCACTTTAATACTACCATAGGCCAGTTCACTGTGACCTAACCCGCTAAGGCGGCAATGACCTGCTGAATGGCCGCATATGTTGGTCGAGAGAGTATTGCTTTCGCTTCGGTTGTGGCCATAGTATGTGCTCTAACCACGTTTCAACCTGGCGACTATTAGAATATTTCGAGCTGCGGCAATTTAGACCGTAACTGACTCGTGTAAATCTGGCGCCGACCCAAGAGACTACCGTGAGAAATGTCAGGGACCCTCCAATGACGAGAAACCACCACCAACTCGGGTCATCTTTCAGGATGTCCACGTTCATTCCGAGAAGACTCTATACAAGTCAGGCATCACTGTAGCATCATGACTGGTGGTACCTACTGAGGTAAACATGAGAGGGAGGAATATGAACTAGGCTTGTCAGTCAACGTCCAAGTGAACTGGAGCTCATAATATTACCGTGATCCAACTCAGCCGCTTCATGCTCGCGGCTAGACTGGTGGACCGGTGAGCTTCATTGATTGACACCCATGCAAATTCCTGGGCAATATCGTGTTAGACGGAGACCATGGCAACCGCCGCTCAACAATGGTAGTGTGCACTCACCACTTGAAGCAAGTCCCGAATCCCCTGCTCCATTTTATCGATCTGGTTTGAAACATCATGCTCAAAAGTAGTGATGATCTTACCCATGTGCTCACTGAGCTGCCGACTCTCAGTGAACGCTTGGTACTGTGAAACAAATTCCCTCGCCTGATTTAGCTGGTCTTCCAGCATCCATTGCATTTGGGTCCACTTTTGCATATTCCCCGCTATAGCGTCAATTAGCAAGTCATCTTTGCCAGCAGCGGCCAGCTGATATGATCGCTACCAGCCCTGAAGTCAGCTTGTGCCTATAACAGTATGTTCTCGCTCGATTACTTACCAAGTGCCCAAGGTTTCTCCTTTCATCTCGACAGAAGCTTATCCAGTCGTCCTTCCAAGTTTGCATGAACAGCTCGATAAACTCCAAGTCGCTTTGCGGGGTCCAGCCAAATGGCAGATTACTGAAATAGTGAATTGTTTTAGGAGGCGCTTCAAGTACTGACCATTCAATTGTTCGGAGACGGTAGTACTCGCCATTTTTGTCTTCAGGAGACTCCTGTGGGGCCTTCATGTTCTGGAAACGGGTGACTATCGACAGACTAAAGGTCCTGCATGGGCTTCTGTTGCCCAGGGAGAACTCTAGTTCGTTGGGGAGGTTGTCCATCTGGCAATATGTGTTCCACGGCTGGTTCTCTCGAAAGAGTCTGATGACATATGGGTGGTGATGAGTTTGGATAATATACATAGGGGCAAGACAAACTCACATCAGATGACTCTCGTCTGCGCTCTTTGTCATCTTTCTCATTTTCTGGTCAAATGCTTCCTCCAAAATCCACTCTACGTCCTGTCGTCCATCCTTAAGCGTCATTATATCCACAGCGATGCTCTGCTGGATGTTGCTAGAGTACTGGGCAAAATCGTCATCGTCGTCTTCGAGTTCAAGGATTCGAGCACGTTTCCCGAGTAAAGTGGCGACCGCAGTGCGATCACGCTCCTGGATTGTCATTTCCATTACTGGTATAGAGGAATAACCATCCCAATTCGCTTTATTCAGACCCACTAGAGGTTCCGCCGCCCTCAGTGTGCTACAGGGCCCAAACCAATCACTGCTTTTGAGACCCTGCGTACTGGCTTTGTAGTCTAAGAGTAGCCTCACGGTTGGCCGGTCACTTTGCTGGAGGGCCATTCTCATGAGAGGGATCGTACTGTACATATCCTCCTCCTTTAGATTGGACGTGTATCGGTCTAAGAACAGTTTCAACAGGCGGGAGCGGCCTTCTCGTATAAGAAGATGCAGTGACACGCAGTCCTTTTTCGTTGTCTCCGGGTCTATTCCAGACATAAGCATGTCAGCTATTTCGTAGTGTTTCCACTCCAAAGCATAGATAAGCGGCGTTTTCCTGTGGCGATCAATCGAATTTGGATCCGTCCACGTCGTTCGGAGCAGTTCTTGGACCAGACGCTGATCGCCTCGCTCACAGGCCCAAGCCAAAAATGTTCGTCGTTTCTTGGTCACTGGCTCTGTGCTTCCTCTGGGGCCAAGAATTGAACACCATCGCTGGAAGTCCACCAGGTCTGTTTCAGTTTCTCGATTATCATTACCTCGGTCTGTGTTGTTTAGAAACCACCACAAGGGTATCTGTCCCTCATTATCACGGATCTCGACATCAGCACCGTGGTCAACCAATGTTTCCACGATGTGTAAATGTGAGTTCTCAGCAGCCCAAGATAACGGCGTCCGACCGCGTCTGTCTCTACTGTTAGAATCCGCGCGACCGTCAACCAAGAGTCGCTCGACAAGTAAATTATGTCCTCTCTCTGCAGCTCGGGATAACGGTGTGCGGCCCCATTTGTCCGCGGGGTCCGACTGAGCCCCCTTTTGCAAGAGTAGACACACTATCTCATGGTCTCCCGCTTTAGCTGCCCAATGCAGGGGCGTTTCTCCGGTATGGTCCCCAAGGTCGGGGTCAGCACCTCTGGCAATGAGGAGGTCAAAGAGCACATCTACATTGAGGCGGTTCCGGAGATCTTGTTTTGAATTAAATGAGATGGTTCGGGACAAGAGGGTTCGGCCCGTGCGGTCCTGAATGTTAGGCGATACACCATTGAGAAGAGATTGTGCTGCATCGACGTGACCTCGTTCAATGGCTTGCATTATGTCTGTCATGCGGAACTCATCCAGTGATTGACGCGTGATGTTCGCGACATTGTGCATTTTAATTGACTTTCGACCGTCAATTGTCCAATTATACAAAGGTTGCGAAGGATGGGATACATATGAGTGTAAACCTCGGTAGTTAATCGTACCGTTGTTGTTTATTTTCAATTTTTCCCCCTGCGTAATTAGTGCGCCTTGTCCTTGATTCTTCACGCGATTTATACGGAGCACTCCGACCTGAGATGATCATCTGTCAGCCTTGCCCTAAACATATCTATTCCTCATTCAGCCTAGAAGCTCACGTGCATGCTGCGGGAATATATCTACAAATCGACCAGAATAGGTTAAACCACCACTAACTCTACCACTTTATCACGGATGCTTCTCACTTACAAGTGTATAGATATCTCTCCAGACCGTGCTCCATATCGATAAATGCCTGGTTCGCCTCACTTAGCGGCCGTTCCATCACCCTTGGCTGAATGCTTTTCTCAACGGCCAGTTGGAGCATCTCCTAGATCTCCTTACTCGATAATAAGACAGTGAATTACAAGTAGAGTGCAAACATATTACATCTTCATAGATCAATGAGCAGAGGCTTGACCAGAGCTTGCTGAGGTCTATACTTGCAAACTTACTCTTGGCGTTATGGAGAGCTTGATCCACTCCCTTGAGATCGATATCTTGGCATTATGGAGCACTTCCCACTTGGTCCAGCTTCTGGAAAGTCCTGGCCTTCCAAATTCTCCGTTGTCATGTTAGAGCCAAAGTCATTGTAGTCCAGTTGAGGTTAATATGAATGCAGGCCACATCCATTTTCGAATAGCTTCATGATCTAGTATGCGTTTTGGCATGGCCGGTGATTTTTAACCAAGGCAGCCCGGCGGCCCAGGATACAAGATAGTACAGGTATAGGATCATAAGCCAGGATGAACCTCGGAGTTGACATGTTCTCCACCTTTTGCAGTCACGCAACTATGCCCGCCGTAAAACACTGTTAGAATGGGCACTTCTGCGAGACCTAAAGCAGCAATGCAACTTAAGACCTCTCATTCTTCACCCGGATTCCCCCCTTCCAAGAACTTGAAGAACGTCAATCGATTCCCATCGTGATCCATCATGGTAAACTGCCGGTAGCCCCATGGCGTGTCTTCAATATCCTCCACAATGATCACCTCTTCACGATCTTTCAAATATCGGTAATACTCGTCTAGTTCCTGAGTTCCTAGCGCGATCATGGCTTCGGACACTTTGAATTCTTCAACAGAGGCTTTCGAGAAGTAGAAGTTGGCTTCGGCTTTTGTACCCATGAAGATCGAACAAAAGGTCAATTCAGACGTGCCATCTTCGGGTTTAACACCGCCAAGCTCGAAGCCGAGAATCTCAGTGTAGAATTGGACCGTACGAGAAATCGAAGTAGATTGAAAGATGGGAATCACTTTCCATGCGGACTTGGATATTTTGGTGGCCATTTTGTAGTTATATGGTGGTTGGGTCAATGCTATCGTACAACATTGTATAGGGCGTTGAATGTATATTATAGCAAGATCCTGGTAGCTGCCTGCTGCTGCTGCCTGCTGCTGCCTGCTGCTGCCTGTCTAGATTAGTAATACAGAACCGAAATCAAGTTATGCACAGACAAGTTATCAGGCTTGAAATGAGAAAGACATTGTCTTTCATGACCAGTTTCAAATTCAAACTGCTTATGAATAACCGCTGTAATGAACCAGAATCCTTGCAAGACCATCACAGTACCACACTTCATGCCAACAGACTCAGATAAACCCTCTTAATTCTCTGGATCCCCTCCGCCAAATCCTCACTGGACACTGCAAAGCTGACTCGCATCCATCCTTTCTGCCCCTCGGGCATATGATATGCTCTCCCTGGCACCACTGATACTCCTCCCCCCATGTAAGCGCGGAGGGCGAGGATCTCCTCGTCCCAAGTTGTTGCATGGGGGGCCAACCGAGCAAGAACGAACACTGTCGCACAGCTCGGGAAATACTCAATTCCAGTGGCTTTGAATGCAGTGGTTAGAGCCGTGTATGTCTCTGCCAGTCTGGTGGCGCTGAGTGTCAGCAATTCCGGCAGCTGCGGCGAGGCGAGCACTTCCTTCGCAAAGACGGTCGACAACACCGATACATGTACGGACGCCACCAGCCCTACAACGTCCCTGAGGGAGCGGTTGCGGGTTACGACGCAGCCCTAAAGCTTGGTCAGGATTCGGCTACTAATGCAGGGGAAGGGCTAGAGTAGCTGTGAACCTACCAGTCGCACTCCACTGGCGGAGAGGTCCTTGCTCATGCTCCACACGACGTGGATGCGCTGCGGATCACATCCAACACTGGAGGGATCAATGCTTAAACAGGAGACAAAGGGCTCGGGATTTGTAAAGTCCGGGCTAACGAAGCTGCTGAGGGCAAACACCTCATCGGAAACAAGGTGGATGTTCCGCCGTTGGCAGAACGCCATGCATTGTTCGAGAATTGATCGGGAGTATGGTCGACCGAGAGGGTTGTGTGGATTGGCGAGTACGAGCGCCTTGATCGGACAAGGTGCCTTCTCGTACGACTCTTCCAATGCAGAGAGGAGAGCTGGCCCGAAGGAGTCTTCGAGAGAAGGCACGACAACGCCAACAGGACGGACCTCGGAGTGCAAAGCGAAAAGTGCATCGTATCCATCTGCAAACGTTTAGTAACCGTTACTAGCCATAGTGTAAAACAGCTTACTTACTCCAGTATGGACACGGAACAAGCACACCGTCACCCGGATTGCAAATATTGTACAGTATAGCATCCAGACCAGCCGCTGCCCCGGCGGTAACCGCGATACTGTCTGGTGCTACCTGAGAATGGGGGCGGAAGTGGGTGTTGACTGTACTTGCAAGGAGGTCAAGCAGCGTTGCATCGCCAAAGAAGCCCTTGGGCCAATCTAGATGCTGAAGACAGTCAGCCGGAGTCTCGCCGACCATTCAGATAGACAGCCCGGTGATTGTCTACCTCGTAATGCAGATTTGTCTCAATGGCTGATTTGGCCAGCTGAAGGATTTCCTGACGAATAACTCGGTTCTCCGCCATGGACAAATCAATCTCATCGCGATGCAAGGCTGGGTTCAGCACATGGGGCGGAATCCTGCGAAGCACCTGGGTGACATTCAGGCCACCGCGAGCGGACAATAGGCTGTCAACATTTGCCATGGTCAATATTGCAGGTTGGGATGCTCGACGGTGGACCAACCGAACATTGCTCAGCACGGCAAGCGCAAGTTATATCCGCTAATTGCTGATAATCTACGATAATCATCCTTAGACGTCCGTGCCCTGCTTCGCCCCCATCGTATATATTAATTAGTAGTCCATAATCTCACTTTCGCCTCAGGCAGCCGTGTCTCGTAACGGTCAGAACCGTACGATACCGAGACAGTACCGTGTCTCATTGACGGTCTCTATAAGCCCTAAGGAACTCATACTGCTCACTTCTCTCCGTACATTAGCCCTATATAAAGAAATGATATCCATATCCCAGCTCCTGCTTGCTCGTCATCCTGTCCCTTTAGCACACCATCATCCATAAACTATCATTGTGTTGACTCTACTATGGCGGCCGTAATCACCCAAACCTCGTCCCTGGCGAACAATGCCAGTATCAAGCTCAATATCACCGCCCCCCTCCCATCCCCTACACAACCAGCCAAAAAAACCAACATCCTCTCCTCCCTACCACCCTCTCTCGTTCCCTACGCCGAGCTGATGCGCCTCCACCAACCAGCTGGCATCTACGCCGCCTACGTCCCACACCTCATCGGAGTCTTCCTCGCCGCCGCCTCTCCAACCCTGACCTCCCACCGACCAACCCCCACCCACCTCGCCAGTCTCACCATCCTGCACGCCCTCAGCAACACACTCCTCCGCGGCTCTGCTTGCGCCTACAACGATGCCCTGGACGCCCCCTACGACCGCCAAGTCGCACGATGCAAGAACCGGCCCGTAGCACGCGGGGCCGTCTCGGTAGCGCAAGCACACGCCTTCGCCTTCTTCCTCGGCCTCTGCTGGATCCTAACCTTATCAACCCTCCCCTCTACTAGCTACATGCCCGCAGCCCTTCTCGCCGGCTCCATGGCCTTCTACCCCTTCTGCAAACGCGTCACGCACTTCCCCCAACTTGTCCTGGGTCTATCCCTAGCCCTCAGCCAGGGAATCGGGTACGGGTCTCTGGGCGTGGATCTCCGTGTTCTTGACTCCAGGACCCAGATCGCTCTGGTATGTCTGTACGTGTCGTATGTAGTGCACACCATGATCTATGACACGGTGTATGCGCACCAGGATCTGGAGGATGATTTGAAGGCCGGCGTACTTAGCATGGCGGTGTTGTGTCAGGGGAGGACGAAGATCGTGCTGACGGGGTTGGCAGCGGCGGAGGTGGGGTTGCTTGGGGTGGCGGGCTGGATGATGGGTTTCGGGGGGATGTACTGGGGCGGTGCGGTGGGCGGCTCGGCGGTCGTGTTGGGGAGGATGATTTGTGTGGTCAGATTGGAGGAGCCGAGGGATTGTCGGAGGTGGTTTGAGAGGTTGTTGTGGTGCACTGGGGCTTGTGTTATTGGGGGGTTGGTGGGGGAGTTTTGCTTGAGGGGGTGAGCGTGTATTACATGTTGTTGTGAGTACGTGTGTGTATACTTGGGTGGTGGGGCGTGGTTAGGGTTCATGCTGGCTTGGTGTTATGTAGGTTCTTTATCTTGCAGAGCTTGCCCTATGGTTCTGTATGTTTCTTCGGTCTAAGTATCTAGACTGTTCTGATGTAAGGGATTACAAATGTCGGGAATGATAGCTCTGAGATTGAAGATGATCCTGCTTGAGGAGCTGAGTGAAATTAGGGCATAGATATTGTGCACATTTCTAAGGCTTTACGTTGATATTGTACAACTATTACCCTCTTGAATGACGTCCATGGCAAAAAATTGCCAGTTAAGAGATCTCATAACCACAAACTCGTAGTAGTATAATAGTATTATGACACAGTTTTAGCAAGACTCAAACATATTATGCTTTCCCAGCGTCCTCAACCAGACCCAGTATCCTTTCCACCGTTGGGTTATCATACACCACCTTCGGCTCCAACAACTCCTTCCCTGGCCTCCATTTGATAATATAGGTGTTCAGCGCATTGGTCAAATCGATGACCACCAGCGAGTCCAACCCAAACTGGAACAAATCCGAGTCATCCTTGACCTCCCTAATATCCATATTCTCACCCAGCTGATCATAAATGACCTTCTTCAACTCAGGGGGTGCCGGCTGCACCACCTCTTCAACCCCATTTGTCACCCCATTCACCTCCCCATTGACATGCACCGGCGGCTGCACAGGAACACTCTGCGAAGCCACAGGCGCCAGCTGCCCCGTCAGCCCAGCAAGCAACCGCGCCAACACATCCTGCACAGCGCGTTCAACCGCCCCCGGCAAAACCCGCTGCAGCGCCTCCTCGACCCTACGATCGAGGTCACCGTCACCAACATCCACCGCCACCGCCTCCCTCTCCACCTCCTGCACAGCAACCCCATCCTTCTTCACATGCGGCCTCATGCGGTCATACAACTCCCTAAACTCCTCCGCATACAACTTCAACACCTGATGCCTCTGCACGGTATCCTTGCCCGCCCTGGGCATCGGCTTGTCCGGCTTCGTCAGCATCACAAAGCCCCGCATAATACGTCCGTGGGCCGGACAATCCCGATTCGCCTGCAGAATACTCGGCCAGACATCACGCAGAAACTGGTCCTCTTCTTCCTTACTCCGCGGATACGTGTACGGCTCAATGAGCACGGAGGCCTGGAACTGGCCCTGGCCGCCCACGACGGCGGACTTGACCTTGGCGTTTGCGGAGATGACGCTCTCCATGGTGACGGGGTTGAGTTTCTCCGCGGTGGTGAAGGCGATGATGTCGTCTGTGCGGGCGCGGAAGACCCATGACTCCGGGCGGCGCGGGTGCTGTTCGAAGAGATCGCCCATGGCGAACTCGGTCTTGTCGGGGAAGGTGCGGAAGACGCCCTGGAAGAGCTCGAAGCGCGGGTCGCGGATGAAGACGAGGTCGGAGAGCCCGTCGCGGTCCGCCCGGAAGGTGTGGCCCAGGAACGGGCTGATGGTGAGGTATTGCCAGTCGGCGGGGTCCGGGTTGAGTTCGAGTGGGTGCAGGGCGGTTTCGCACGAGCCCATCATCGTCATTAGTTTGATACGCGTGGTGAGCACGTTGCCTACTTCCTCCGGCAGGGCGCCGCCGACGTAGGAGAGGAATTTGAGGCGTTGGACCATGTTTACGCAGTGGGCGTTGTTGTTGTAGCAGTCGACGATTAGGGAGGGGGCCATTAGGGCGCCGTCGAGGTTGCCGTGGAGGAAGGCTTGGTTGGCCAGGTCGGCGGTTAGGGGCTCGGGTGGGGGCAGGACGCAGGTGACGCCGCCGAAGATGTTGAACACGAGGGTAAAGGTGAGGCAGGCGGCGTGGAAGACAGGGAGGGCCAGGAAGAGCCGCTGGCCCGAGAGGTAGTTGATGAGCGTTGGCTTGCCGCCGAGGGAGGGGATGAGCTGGTGGGCGTCGTTGCTGGCGAAGGTGCCGTAGGTGACGAAGACGGGCTTGGGGATGCCCGTCGAGCCGGACGTGTGGAGAACGCAGAAGGGCTTGGTTTTGGCTTCTTCCCAGGTCAGGGTAAATGGGATCGGGGGCACTTGGTCAAGGTCTTCAAAGAAGAAGTCTACTTCGGGAGCCGCGATCTGCTCCATGGGGCGCGCGGCAAAGATCTGGCCGAGGATGGCCGGTGCACGGCTGGGCACGAGGACTGTGTCGCAGCCACACTTGTCTAGTAAGGAGAGGTGGGCTTCTAAGCTGTTGCGGAGCGAGCTGAAGAAGGCCTGGAAGAGAGTCAGTGACATTGTAGAGATGGTATGGAGTACATAAGACTCACCATGTGGCCTGCCTTGGCCGCCGCCAGGATGATGACCAGGTATCGCACATCCAGCGGACCCATGTAGAGAATGGTCTTCGGGATTGAGTCCTCGCCGAGCTGCTCGCGCAGATACCAGGCACACTTGTTCACAGCCTTGGCGAACGTGCCATAAGGAATGTCCTTGAAGCCATCGGCTAGGTTGGAGCTCTTGGGCACTGAGACGAACACTCGCTGGGGATCGCTCTCGGCCACTTCGTCGAGCACGGCGGGCATCAGCCGCCGGCCGCAGTTGCGCGGAACCTGGAGGTTGGGATGTTCAAACACCATCGTGGATAAGAGCGATAGTGGTCGAAAGATCCTTGCTTGGTGGGAGATGGCCCCAAGTATAAGTAATGGCTTATTGCATCCCGTGGGCGATGTAGTCGATTAATTGCCCGAGGCAGTAGATCCTGTACAGCGCTACACTTGACGAAACAGGACAGTATTCGTAATGACAATACCTGTTCCTACGCACATAGGAATGATGGATGGTAACCTTGGCTCGCTATGTTTAGCACCGCCGGGTTCAATGCACATCAACTTCCTCAAGGGGAACATACTTCACGTCATAGGTTTTATTGACTCTACCAATTACAGCCATTTAGTGGGTAAGCGAGGGTTGCATCGGCAGATAAGGGCCAGAAGTAACCCTGACAGGGAAACTGCTTATTGCTCCATGCATAACCCCCGCGGGCATCTGCAACGCCTTCCACTAGTTTCAAGCCTCAACTGCGCCAGCGAAGGAACGTGGGTGGGGGCCACACCAACTCCGGAGAATTTTAATACGCCTCGAGCCATGCCGGCGGCAGGTCGTTCCAGCCTTGGACAGGCTAAATTCTAACGTCAGAGGCAACGCTGCGTCTGCCGGATTCACATTGGTCAACGGCTTTGGGGCGGGGTGAAACTTCGGCACTTCCGTATCTCAAGGCTGTTTGTGCTGATCTCAGCCTGGTCTCACTGGTATCTATACTGGGCAGAATTGACAGAGGTCATTGGTCACCATTCTCACTTGGACAGATCTAAATCTATGGCCGCATTGTGATCGACATCTTCAGTGCCTTGCCCGCCCAGGGAGATACATGTCAACGAACTCACCGGAGCTACAACGTTCAACACGAGCCGATATTACAGGCTTACAGCCAAGACAAATGTCTCTAAACCATCACGGATGTCATACGGCCATATCTCATTTTGCATGCTATATTCAACAGGATCTGGAACCCCAGCTTTCGCCCCCACGTATGTCTCCATGTTCATACCATATCTCTCGGCGCCCTATTCGGCAAAATCTGCTCCATACTCGCGGTGGGCAAATCCCTGGCCGACTTATTCCCCGACTTACCCTGGAATGAGCCCGACCCATGGGCACCAGAGCTCGATTGAGTCTTGGAGGAAGACCGGATGCCCAAGTATGACATGGTTTCCGAGGTCAACTTCATGAAGGGTGTAGTCAGTGGGCGGAGAGCCGGCACACTGCCGATCATCATGGCAATGTTGCGCTCCATGCCCGCCCACATGAGACCCATCACGGTCGTGTAGGAAGCATCGCTGATCCCGTTTTTGAGGCCCAGGCCGGATTCAATGGTGCGGATGGTGGCGAAGACGCCCGTGCTGGTTCCCGGTTAGTCATGATAGGCTTATATGAGTGGAGTGAGGGAGGTAGTGACTTACATGACGCCGAGTCCCATTAGCCCACATAGGATGATCTTGTTTCCGCGACTGACCTGTAGGTCTTTGAAGAGGAAGAATGGGAGAATGGATAGGAAGTAATCGGTGACGGCGGACCAGGCTGTCGTGCGGATCTTGGTTAGTCGTGGATTGGTGAAGAGGACTGTGACTGATGTATGCCTACCTCCCTGAAGCAGCACAAGGCTGATCTCAGTTCTGAATTTCCAGCATGTTCCAGGAATGAACGGGTTCCAGGACTTGCGTGGCGGATCGCATTGTGCGTACAACGAGATGATGACCACAGTATTGACCGCGAAGACCAAAAACGCAGTCAGGTAGCACGTTACCCGTAGCACGGTATGGCGCGACCCCTTGAGGATGCGCAGGTAGGATAGACAGATGGAGATTTTAGCAAAGCTTAGGGCATTGATGCAGAAGACCTGCGAAAGTAGATCATAGTACATGGCTGTGACGGCGTCATGCTTCGGGATGTAGACTAGGTGACGTCCCAGTCCTTTGTCCACGGCGACAAAATCGAAGACAGTCGCTATTAAGGCTTGGACCTGAGGATGGACCGAATTAGTTTCCGCTGCCCAAGAGTGTAGAGCGGGATGAATGAATTACCAAGGCAAATATCATGAGGTAGTCATCCCAGCTCATGCGAGCATATACGCTGCGAGCCACACCCCGCAAGGACACCACGATGAAAGCGCATACGAAGGTGACGGTTGTTCCGACCAGGAGTCGGTAGCCGATGCTCACATCAGGCGGCCGGGGGCCTGCCATTTTGTCCATCTTTTACAAGAGTCAACGAGTCAGGCAATGAAGAAAGCAGAGAAGGAGAAGACAGGTGAGGGGTCAGTTCGGCTCCGAAACCCTGGGTGTCCACGCTTTGAAAAAGAAAATGTCTCTTGGGCTAGCCAGCGCGTGGGCGAAGGTATTGCATGGTTGTGACTCTGGTCGTTGGCCCCATTGCAGGCATGTGCATACGGCGTCTCCGGTATCTCATGAATACGGAATCAAGACCGGATGGTCATGCAGGAATACGAAGAGGGTGTCACACGTTGCGAGTAGGAGAATTGACATTCTGCACCCTAGTCTGGGCAGAGAATATGCCTCCCACTGCCTAGGGACAGGAACAGAAATACGATAGTCGATCTGTCGCACGAACCTCCTCCTACCCCTGCCATGCTGACGGGGAATGGCTTATAATAACCTCTGGATATTGCCATGCTTACTGCGCCTCTCACCACCAGTCACTTTTACATGGGGCTATTGGCATGTACATTTCACTTATGCCGACTTGCATTAGTGGGACAGATTTCGGGGCAAAAATAGCAATGAAAGCAACTGCCATGGCGTCCGGACGTGGGGGCCAGTCGGACCTGATAAAAGGATCAAACAGGTTACATGAAGAAACCATAATACTGACTAGGCTGAGTCGAGAGCTAAAGCTAAGCATTACCCCGCTAGCTTAGCAGCTCACGTAAGACTGGAAATGCCAGACCTGGCCAAGAAGCTAATGTATAAGGAGCTATTTGCCTGGATAATATATCCGAGACGCTTGGCAAGGAGAAAGCCGAACGAGATCCCCGCTTCAGTCAGTCCGAAGATGACAATAATTGGGCTCGCGTGGGATGTTTTATTTATAGCCACTCTCTAAACATTTTCTACGGTCATGGATTGGACATGGTCGCCCTTGCTCCCTTGGTAGACTCGAGGTAGATAGAAGGACGTAAATTGAAAACTACTGCCATGACTCGTATTCATCCTAAATCAAATAGGAAAACTATTTACAGAATCTTGCCCAGAAGCTCGTTTAGCTCCTGCACCACAAACTCCGGGTTGTCCTTCTGGATAAAGTGCCCTGCATGGGGCGCCTGCAGTGGCCCCTTGCTATACTCAGCCTCAGTAATCTTCGCCAACCCCTCGTTGTACTTCTGCCAGTATGGGTTGACGAAGCGGTTGGTGACAGGCTTCGGGGGTCCCATCTTGGCAGATTCTTCCGCAAAGGCATCAAAGTCATGCCCCACCACCGTGACGTAGGGGCCATGGCCATCAGGGCCCTTTAGCAAGGGACCGTCACTGGCGGGGAGTAACTCACGCAGGTTGCGTCGACTGAGACCTTCTTTGCTGCCAACATCCGGGTGGAAAATGCGACGCGCACCGGCCCGCACGGCGCGAATGGCCTCCACAGGGAGGGGCCCAAGGCTAGCGGGATCGAAATCGGGGGCATCGGGGTCGGGGAAGACCGATACGAAGTCTGAGTTGGCCAGCACGCTGTCCAGCAGCAGTAGACCGGCCACGGTGCCGGGGTATTCTTGAGCGTAAATTCGCGCGAGAGCGCATCCGATCGAGTTGCCTACGAGAACAAGAGAGACGGAGTCTACATCGGCAGCGCTGAGTTTGTCGGCGGCAATCTGGGTGATGAGCTGGCGCAAGTCGCGGACGGCGGTCAGACAGTCATGACCGTGCATGGGGTCCTCTGCGCCGGCATCCGAGGGATCGCGATCGGTGGTCTGGCCCTGGCCATATCGATCGTAGGTGAGGAAGGCTGGGGTGGGTTTATCCTGGCGGAGAGCTTTCAGTTGCGCAATAACCGGTTGCCAGAAAGCCTGAGGCAACCCGAGACCATTGAGAAAGACGACCAGGACGGGCTTCGAGGTGTCCTGGGGAGACTGGTAGCTGTAGCTTAGCTGTGCCGAGGGCTTGGTGGTGAGGGCGAGAGTTTGAACATCCGCCATGTTGTGGGGGGCCAAGCGATGAGGCGCGGGAGGATGAATAAGGTGACGAGAAGCAACACGAGAAAGCAAATGCGAGACGGTCGGAGAACAGAAATCTCACAGGCTGAAGGATGCAAAGGCCAAGCTTGTCGGGGTTTTTATACGCGCTGGAGATGCGGCTGAGGCTGAGATGAGGGGTAGAGGCGCTTTGGCGAGCTTTTTTCTGCTTGTCTCATCTTACGACCGGCAATTTCTTTGTTGGTCTCAACGCTAAAATGCCAGCTTACGATTGGGGCCAAAAGGACACCCACGAGCCGTTGGTCTGCGTTAGGGCTGACGGGCTTGCGGCTGGCCCCCACCCGGTATACAACATGATACCCTGATCTCCGTCTACAAGAAGGGTACAACGCGCCATGTCCCCGTAGAATGGCATTACCACCAGTTTTCCATGCATCATCATGGGCCAGCCCATTGTAGAGACACTTCTGGTCTTCGGAGCCTTCGGGCTACTTTGGCTCTCGTATGAATATCTGCGACCGGGGAGTCTCCTACGGCGGCTAGCGGGCAAGGGGCGTAGGCTGCCTCCCGGTCCCCCAGGACTCCCTATCTTCGGAAACATGTTCCAATTCACGAGAGCCCGGGATGCAGGCTTATGGGGCCCGTTCGTGAGTCCAGGTTTCTTGCCTGACGCCGGTCTGAGTCACTAACGCAGATCGCCGACAGCTGGCTTCATTACGGCAATACGGTCCGATGACGACGCTGCACATGGGCTCCCAGACCTGGGTGGTGCTGAATGACCCGCAAGTAGCTACGGATATTATCAATAAACATGGTAAGATCACCAGCGAGCGGCCAGCGATGCCCATTGCTAGTGATTTGGTCAGTCACGGTTTGCGCACCGTGATTCGTCCCACTGCTGCGTGGACCGAGGGGAGACGGGTGATGCACCACCTGCTTAGCGGATCGGTTCTGCGCATATACGGTAACTGGCAGGAGATTGAGTCGCTCCAGATGCTGTCTGCTTATCTACAGGAGCCCAAGCGCTGGTACGCGCATCACTATCGCTACTCCATTGCCGTGCTCTACCGTCTCGTCATGGGTGAGAATCTCTCCAAGACACAGGCTGAGTTAAATGACTACCAGAAGGTCACGATGGAGTTCACCTTGAGCTTGCTCAACAGCATGGTGGACTTCTTTCCCCAGCTGGATCGCTGGATCCCCACCTGCCTGCAGTGGTGGCGGCCCTACTGGGCGAAAATGGGCGACTTCCATCATCAGGTGTTCAAGTCGTGGTGGGACCCCATTCGCGATGCCGTGCATCAGGGGACAGCCAGCTCTGGCTTCGTGCGGGACACACTGCTCCATCCGGACATGCGGTACAAGGGCACCGAGGAGGAAGCCATGTACCTCGCTACGTCCGTCATCGCCGCCGGCAGCGACAATAGTCGCATGACGCTCAACACTTTCATCATGGCGATGATCAGCCATCCGGACACGATGGCTCGCGCTCGCCAGGAGTTAGACGCCGTCTGTATCAACGAAGATGGTACGCTGAGACTTCCTGGCATGGTGGACTTTGAGCGTCTGCCCTACCTGGCTGCCATGGTCAAAGAAGTCCTTCGCTGGCGGCCCACCACTCCAGTGACGCCGCAACATCAACTGACGGCCGACCTCGAATATGAAGGGTACCGTTTCCTGAAGGGGACCTGTTTCGTAGTCAATGGGATTGCCATTAGTCAGACATGCGAGAAGCCAGATAATTTCGATCCATCGCGCTGGCTGGACGGCAACGAGGGCAACATCGTACATAATCTCTGGGCGTTTGGTGGTGGACGACGTATCTGTGTCGGTTATCGAGTTGCCCAGCAGGCACTATACGTGGCTATGGCACGAATCATATTCTGTTTTGATCTTTGTGCGGTAAGTGCTTCCCTTTGTTTATGTCTTCTGTCGTACTTCGTTCTCCTGTGGTTTCGGACGAGGGGGCGTGTTGCTCACTCAGGGATAGGATGGCCCCATCAACACTCGGAAACTTAACCACTTTCACATCCATAACGAACCCTTTCCTGTTAAGGTGACGGTTCGTAGCCCCAAGCATGAACTGTTGATCAAGGGAGAAGCAAAGAAAGCGGGGACAGCTTGTTGAACAGTGACCTAGGGGACATACGCTAGGCAAGTAGACGCCAGGCCGACATCGCGGAAGATTGCATCGTTTTAGACAGCTCGCAAAGGTATAAGGCGTATGTGTATATAGTAATTGCTTTTATATATTTTAATGTCAGGTAAACTATATCTTTACACCTCTGGTGCAGTTCTTGTGGATGTGTCGATGAAAGTCACTTCATATTGCTAGGTGGTATAACTGTCGGGAGAATTATGTTTTATACCATTGCTAAGGTAATTGACCGAGATGGAAATATTGTATATCGAGGATCACAAGGCGAGCTCTGTATAAGTGGGTAAACATTGCAAAAGAGCTACTAGAGAAATGTAGTGTAGACCAGAGACGTTATAAAGCGGGATAGGAGCGGTGTGCTTTGGATGTATATAGGGGATAAAGCTATGGTTAACGATGAGGGATATGCTTCTATTATAGGCCACATCAAGCATATTATCATTCGAGGTATACGCCGTTCCAATATATCTTTGTCTAGAGTAATTAGATAACTTATTTAGTGATGCTGGAGGGGAGAATATCTTTCTGCGCGAAATTGAGGAATATCTCGTATCGCATCCATCGATTAGCGAAGCCAGTGTTGTAGGGATTTCTGTGTTGGTAATACAGCGAAGTTGTGGGCTGTTTTCTTAGAGTAGTTGATGATACTGCGAGGCCAGACTACCAACAAGTCATAGAACATGTTGGCAGTACTCTCCGCCATCACAAGACGCCGCAGTATATGTTCTGGATTGGCGATTCGGGGGTGGGCAGCGATTTCCCCAAGACTGGCAGTGGGAAATACCAGAAGTGCATTCTACGGGAGATTGGGTGTCGTCTAGTGGAGCAAAACGTGACTAGGGCTCGCGTGTAATACATCAGCTTTTTGGCAGTAAACAGAGATTTGCTATCGTGGTTGGTGGTAGTCCTGCGCGGAAATATATCCAGGTCGTCTGTGTTGATGAGGAAGCGACAAAGAGCAATGGTTGCATGGCCACATGTATTGCTATATCCGTGACCATGTATATAGAGGATGCCCATATGGGATTGTCTAGTGTCTGCTAACTCATTGTTTGGTGGGACCTCTCGGCCTTCGCCTTTTATGCAAGGAATGTTACGGGAAATTCCATTGCAATAGTCTAAACAGGAGGTTGGGCATCATTGTGAAAACCCAGCTACTTGATCGCCTCCATTTCCAAACGTAAACTGTTACAGGGCTTGGCTGAAGCAGTGGTAATTCAATCGGGGTCGTACAACTACGTGAACCGGCTTTCTGCCTGAAAATCGCTCCATGTAAGCGTCTGGTTGGTTTGCCCTGACCACAAAGAACACCCGAGCTCGCGTTTTGCCCCTCTATACACTAATCCTGGCGAAAAGCAGATCCTGAGCCACGATTGTTTTATTTCTCATAGGTCTGAAATGGCGTCTTGTGGAGACATCGCGTGATCCATGATTGGCTCGTGAGACGGTATGTTGATATCCATTAGAGATAAAAACGGCCTTGATCCCAGGGAATGGCAAGGTTGCCCACATATGGAAATAAGTGAAAGGATTACATCGCAGTAGTTCAGAAGCGGGCATGATGGTAAAATATGCACCCGGGAGGGAATTCAGACCTTTGTTCTGGGAAGTTGGATAATGTTAGGCTACCTACAACTCAGGCTACCTACAACTCATCCTCCTGTATATAGTACCGAACTTTCCCCTCAAACAACCTCCGTGCAGTACGCGACACTGCGCAACTAGCGACTTCTCCGCCATTGGCCATTTCCACATCCACCTTGATTGTTCCTTGGCTATGTTCAATTAGTACATCGCGCGCCAACCCAGCATGCTCTTCTTTCTGGTAGTCAGGTGGAGGTGACTGCGCGGGAGTCGGTGGCAACGTCCCATGCATGATAGAACCCATGGCGGAGAGACCCGCCACGATTGTACCAGGGTAGCTTAATGCGACGGCTATTGTCACGGCGCCTGTGAGCTGTAGGCTGGGATGCGGTAGCCCCATGGAGTAGGCTTGTATGCGAATATCTGGCCTAGCCTTGATGCTGCCGCCAGCTTGGGTAATGGTTGGGGGAAAAACGAGTGCAGCTTTGGGCGTACCACGAGTCCTACCGGCGGCTTCGACGTCTGTTGCTAGCCCCATCGCGACTGCACCGGCGCGGCGGATGGACTCTACAAGATCATTCCGATCAGAGTCGGATGGATTTGTTCCGAGAAGGGTTGCCGATATTGATGTCGTATCGATGAGGACAAAAGGGTTCGCCGAGTCAATAAGTGTTACACGAACGTCGAAGGGCTCACGGCCGGGCATGAGTGGCTGCACCCAGAGTGTCTGCTGTTGCTGGTCTGCGGAAGGAAAAAGCTTCCCAGTCATACTGCCAAAGGGTTTGACAAATCTGCACTTGACTTCGCTCCCAGGCGTTTTGACCCCAGAAATGATAAAGTTGCCATCCTCCTCATAGTCTCCTGAGCTGTCGAGTGTGACAGTCTCGATGACTATCCGATCTGTATTTGTGTTGTAGATTCTTACATCCATCTATTCGTCGGAAATTAACCGTTTTGCTCTTCCTTCTGCAAACTCTCGCCCAAAGGACAAAACATACCTTGGTCTGTTCTCGCTGAGGCTTGATCAGGCCTTCCTGGATGGCAAATGGTGCCACACCCGCAGTCATGTTGCCGCAAGTACCGGTAAAGTCTACTGACTCTTTGCCTACAGCAACTTGAACAAAGGTCCAATCGATATCGGCGTCTGGCCTTTGAGAGCGCCGAACGACGGCAACCTTTGATGTCGTTGATGTCCCTCCGCCAACACCATCAATCTGTCGAGGGTCGTTCCCTCGAGATCCAAGAGCAGAGACCAAGTGGGGAGCCCAGTCAACCTCCTTCATCGGTAAATCCTTTTGGTGCAGGAATATTCCTTTGGAGGTACCCGCGCGCATGAGAACACATGGTAGCGCGTGGCGCTTCAGCCGCCGCGTCTTGGTGACCAGTTCAGTAGCCATATCGGGGAGATTAGATCGGGCAAGTACCGGCAGCCTCAAAGTCTTTGGACACAGTCCAGGCAGAATATCACCTGGGAGCCTTTTGGAGTATTCTTGGGTTTGGGATCCGAGTGCTCTGCTGAAAACTTGGGGCACTAACTTGTTCATCGGGCCAAAGCCGTGGCATATAGTGTGACTAAATATGGCCGCATTTTCAAAACCAGTAGCGCTCCAACCAATGTTAGTGTATAATTCCAACTCAAAGGATCGTTCCAAAAACGATCGTGATAGGGAATTGAAATGAGGCGACGGGCGGGTTCACACCTTTGAGAGGGCTCCACATCCAACGGGAGTGATATGCCCGCGGGAGGAAACGGCTAAACGGGCATTTCGTTTCGTCCGCGGGAACCCAGTGGACTACCATCACCAATCTGTAAAAGGGAAGCTATCTAGTGACGAACCATTCAAGCCAAAAAGTGGATCCTCTAAGGATGTAGGCTCGCAGTTTGTCGGTCTCCAGCCATACTGCCATTGAGACGTTCCGCTGGCTGTCTCCGATCGATGCGCACCATTGGTGACATCAATATCTGGACGAAGAGAAGCCTGGCTTCCGACGTGCCGCGCATTGTCCATCGTCACCGTTGCAGGAATATCGCATGGATGTAGCGGCATCCATGGTGCTCTAGACAGCTGGGTGGGGGTTCCGTTGGCCTCGTAATCAAGTAGTCTTGCTCCGCGGGTGCTATTCTCATGTAGAAAGCTCTGGATAATCCCATCGATATCTACCCAGTCCGATCCAGGGGACTGTATCGGCTGACCGGGACTTTTGGTGTTCGAATATCCCGTCACATTGCCACTAGTCAGGCTATTGTGGGTTTCGGTACCGGCGCTCGGCTGGACGCTGACATCGCCATCAGTAGCACGGTCATTGGGCTGTGGATCTCGCTCGGAAGATTTGACCGGTGGGTCTATTTCTAAAGCGTCAAGTGAGATATTGTCAATAACTACGCCAAGCCTTTTCATCAACCCTTGTACAATATTAGCCGCTTTCTTCACTGCTGAGTTCGTCTCTTGATTCTCCTTGAAGACGGCGAGGCAGGTCGCTAGGTTGGCATGTGCTATCGAGTCATGCCTACGTTTGGCCGCAATTCGGGTCAGAATCGTAGCAGCGACATATGTCGCGTACGATATCAGGTAGGGTGCTCGTCTGATAGAGAATGCACGGTGATAAGCACGCAGCAGATTGCTAGTATTTGATGCCGCTGAGGCGCACTTCATGAACGAATCGACGGATATCGACGGAGACGTGCTATACAGATGGCCGTCTGCTACAAACGGACGGTGCAACAGAATGACAAGTGAATTATGCATAGCACTGCCAAAAGTCAGTCCAGTACAACGACACTCTCAGAGCGAGTGGGCCGACTTACTGAAGGCTGGACACATGAGGTGGCGGGAATGCCACGCTGCGAGCTTTCCCAGGGTCAAACCGCAGATGTTCTGGCAACGTTGCCTTCCATTGGTCCAATCTCAGCTGCAGTTCATCCAGCATACTTGCCAGCTCAGCGGGACGTTGGTTTGAACTGCGTTCCGTATATATACAGCTTAGGATATCGCTCATAATGAGCGAGAGTTTGCACAGACACGTGAAGGTAGATATGCTGTACGCCGGCATTCCAGGGTAGTCAGGTGCTGATGTCGTATAGGCAAAAGGCTGCCAATGCTCGAGCTCCTCGTAGGTGTCCAGAAACTTGATTGGGACAAGAGCGTCTGTGTCTTTCAAGCTAACGGGACGGCCTTGATACAGGCTCTGGATCTTGTCCACAACTACAGTTTTCGACTTTGGTCAGCCAGTCGGTTTATTCAAATGCGCCCTAGGTATATGGAACTTCCTTACCAAATGCACCCCAAAATACCCGCCGTCGAATTTCTAGATCCTCGTCTGAGAATCGGTGCGTACTGGTCAAGTCAACATGCATTCCCATGTCAATCAACATGCGGAACGCCAGACCAGAGTACAGCCATGCGGCACTCCTTTCATCTCCGAGAGCAAAGAGTGAGTTTGTCATTACAAGTAGTGCTTGAATTGTTGTGATATCACTATGATCTAGTGCACCACCTAGAAGTTCGCGGACTCGCTCGCGATACCTCCAGCCAGCTGTACGGACATCGTTTGGGTCTTTGCGAACCTCTAACCTAGGGCTGAATTTGGCCGCGCCAAAGTAGATAGCGTTTAGAAGTAGCTTGGAAAAGTAAGGACCATTGCAAGCCATATCTCTCATGAATGCTGGGCGGTATGTTATTAGAAATGAATGATGTTGTCGATTCCAGTGGAGCGAGAGGAGATGCATCCCTAGATCCGGATCAACACCATCAAAGTCAAGCTTAGCCTGGCGGAAGTTTAGCTGTTCCATCTGACCTGTTTCCTAGTTTTTCAGCCTCAAACCCGATATATCCTGGACATGATTGAATAATGAAATGGAATATAGCAGTATTATGGCCAAAGGTTATAATGATATTGGCGTGCACAGGGGTCACCTACGTTGTTTTGCTGCTTCAGCGACGAGGCCCCGCTCTACCCAGTCATCCGGCATTCGAGGGCGCTGATCCGCCCCGATAGATCGATCTTGAAAGTGATCTTCAAACAAAGCACTAGTCCGGCCGTGATAGCTGGACTCGCCGTTTGCTGAAACCAAAATGTGAGCCACTCTAGCTTCAGACGACCCAGTCGCATCGCCTCGGTCGATATCACCATTAGAACGGTTACTAGATGCTGTTCCTTCATCCATCTCTTGTAATTGGTCAACCCTACCGTCGCCCTGTGGCAACCGACCTGGATGAGAGCGTCCATCTTTGCCATCGTTCAGGGCGCTCTTCTCTGGAGACCTGCGGTGCCTGGGCCGGTTATGGCGCGTATCGCCAGCCTCCCGAGCTTTACTACCAATGGGCTCATAGACGCAGTCCTGTGCGTACGTCTTACAGTTAATGCAGACAGGCCGTTCATTATTGCATTTGATCTGTCGTCACCTCGGCTACGGTCAGCGTGGGGTACAGCCGCCAGGTCAGGGTCCTGAGCAGTCTCGCACCTTTCTTCTACGGCAGAACGAACAGGCCTCGATGGCACGTCGTCGACGGGAACGAAGCGATGGCTCCGAAGGGGGAACGGATTGGTTGCTGTGGGTAGACTCCATGAATATCAAAGTGGATGCAGATGCGAGTATAAAATTCCGTCCGCGGGGTCTTCAATCTTATCTCCGCCGGACGGGCTGTTCACGTGGACGGCAACACCCGACGATTGCCGACGATTTGAATGTTGCTGCGGAGGGAATCGGGTATTGGGATCCCGCGGCAATACTTCCCATCTGATGGAATTGAAGCCATGGCCGACCGGTAGTTAATATCCCATCCAGGACTTTGCTGCTCGTTGGAGCCTTTCACTACAGTCATCTACCTCTACTCCTAGAAGCTGTGAGGTCATTGACGACCCTCGTATTTCAAGTTCAAGCATCTTCTCCATGGCGACCATTTCCGAGGCCCAGCTGCCGTCTACGGCGCCTGCACCGAAGACTCGGGCGCAAACGGCCAAGAAAAATGTCGTTTCTCCCGGCATCTCACTAGCTGCTGGAGCTGTAGCTGGAGGAGTGGAAGCAACCGTCACTGTGCGTTTATCCTCTTCCCTGTTGTCTCGCCCGCCCCACTGAACTCAACCCGTGCCACAGTACCCCTTTGAGTTTGCTAAAACACGAGCTCAATTAAGCCAAAAAGCTGCCAGCGGTATTACTAGTCCGATTTCTAGGAATCCTCTGGCTGTGATATTGCAGACGGCGCGCCATGATGGTGTTCGAGCTATCTATACCGGTTGCTCCACCCTGATTCTCGGGACTGCCTTCAAGGCCGGGGTGCGTTTCTTGTCTTTTGACACTATCAAGAATCTCCTGGCGGACGCAGATGGAACGCTGTCACCAGCCCGGGGCATTCTGGCTGGCATGGTCGCGGGTACGGTAGAGAGTGTAGTCGCAGTTACTCCCACAGAACGGATCAAGACTGCTCTGTAAGTCTGTTTCCTACCATGCTTCTTCATACGCTGATAGGATTCGTGCGAAAATACAGTATCGATGACGCACGATCATCCACCACACGTCGCTACAAGGGTGGATTCCATGCCCTCCGGACTATCGTTGCTGAGTCCGGCGTTAGTGAGGTCTACCGCGGCTTGATCTCTACGACAATGAAGCAGTCGGCCACGTCTGCTGTACGTATGGGCTCCTACAACGTCTTAAAGGAGATCGTTTCATCTAGCACCAGCATCAAGGACACAAAGAACCCCGCACTGACATTTGGAATGGGAGCCACTGCCGGCGTCATCACGGTATACATGACCCAGCCCTTTGACACCATCAAGACACGTGCTCAAGGGGCCAACGGCGCATCGACCATGGAAGCGCTGCGAGATGTGCTGAAAGACGGAGGTGTGCGAGCCTTGTGGCGGGGAAGTTCGATGCGACTGGGCAGGCTGATCCTCAGTGGTGGCATAGTGTTTACGGTCTATGAGAACGTTGCCGCACTTTTGATGGGCTCAAGGGCACGTACTATCGATGGTTGATACTGGGCACAATTTTAGATTTGTTTGTAAAGGTATAGAATTATCAATTGAAGCGTGACAATATATCAAGAGTGCCCATCCCCGTCCATCTACCTCCCGCGGATCTTACGATTACTGTGAATGCCCAGAGCTCGCCAAGATGGACGCCATGGCCTCTCGCTTGATGTCTTGGATCCGCGCCAATGGGCACAGATACTTTCTCGTGTCTTGTTCTACAAAGCAAACTTTGTATACTCTTTCTCCCGCGGGATCCACAACATTGACAGTGCGGGGCCCCGCAAACCCCATGTTGTTTTATGCCCAGACAGCCCAATGTCGCGACATATATAAGGAACGTGGACTTGAAGACATATAGGGGTTTCCTCCTTCGAAATCCTTCTACGCTTCAATTGTTGTCCACAGACAAGCCGAACACCATCGCAATCATGACTCCATCGCTGACAACCTGCTCCTCTAGCTTAAAGGGCGAGGAAGAAGCCAATCGCATCACAGATGTCAAGTCAACTGAGAAGCATATCGAGGATGTCTCGGAATATAATGAGCAGCCACCTGCCGATGGCGTCTATATCGCGCCGGCAGAGATTCAGGCGCGGTTCGAGCTTTTGCGTGAGCTGAGCCCGGAGCAGATGGACGTACTCAATAAGCGTGTCCTCAAGAGGATTGACTGGCACATGATGCCCTGCGTCACACTCATGTTTCTAATGAAGTAAGGCCCCCTATCACCTTAGATATAGACCAAGGAACTAACCTTGTGTTAGTTATCTCGACCGGATCAATGTTTCCAATGCCCGTCTTGCCGGGCTACAGAGCGATTTGAATATGAGTGATACTGTTTGGAATGCTGGCATCTCGACATTCTATGTTGGCTACCTCGTTGGTCAGCTTCCTGGAAACTTACTGATGGCTAAGTCAAACCCACGTTGGTTCCTTCCAATCATAATGCTCATGTGGAGTTGTGGCACCATTTGTATGCCTGCTATGACCAAGTGAGTCATTGTCAAGAGTTCTTCGTGCGCCAGGGCCGGTGGCTAACAGTGCCATAGTGGCGTTGGGTTCTGCGTGGTTCGATTCTTCATTGGCCTAGCTGAGGCACCTTTTTTTCCTGCTCTCACTCTACGTAAGGAAACCCTTCCCTCTATCTACTACACCCGTTCTAAAGCTCATGGCCTAGTTACTTCTTCATGGTACACGAAGGAAGAGTCTCCGATGCGCATGGCCATCTGGCATGCTGGGAACACCATATCCAATATCATCTCTGGATTCTTAGCTGCTGGGGTTCTCGAGAATATGGATGGCATTAGCGGTCTGCATGCATGGCAGTGGTTCTTTTTGATCGAGGGGATAGCATCTATTCTTGTTGCTGTCGCATCGTTCATCTTCTTACCCGCCTGGCCGCATAACACTCGTTTCATGTCCGAGGAGGAAAGCCAGATGGCACAATACCGTGTGCTCGTGTCCAATGGTGGACGGGATGAAACCGTTGGAGGCACATGGTGTGGACTCAAGGACGCCGTCAAGGACCCTTTCACATGGTTCTTTTGCCTCATGCACTTTGCACTCGTTACCGCCCAGAGCTTCAAAGATTTCTTGCCGTCGGTGAGTTGCCTTCGCGTTTATGCAACAATATATACATCTCAACAACAGCAATCATTCAAAAGCCTATATCTAACCAGCGAACCTAGATCATAAAAACATTTGGTTTCGACACCATGACCACGTACCTCGTCCAAGCCCCTCCATATGCTATTGCCTATATCTTTGCCTGCGCCGCGGCGTGGTCCTGTGGCAGACTCCAAGAGTCAACTTGGCACATAGTCATTCCTATCATCATCTCTGCCGCTGGGTGCAGTATTCTGATCAGCACCCTCAACGTCGGCGCGCGGTACTTTGGAATTGTCTTACTCATATGTGGCACTTACAGTGGGCTCAACCTACAGTTGTCTTGGGAGACTACCGTGGTTCCCTCGCCGCGAGCGAAGAAAGCTGCTCTCATTGCGATTGCCAACTGCATCAGCCAGTCCAGTCACTGGTTCAGCCCCTACTTCTATCCAACCAGCCAAGAGCCATTTTATCGTATGGGTGGCGGTTTGGTACTCATGGGGTGTGCACTGGTGGCGCTGTCTGCCTTTGCTGTTAACTGGAGGGGTAGGAGGCTTAATAAAAAGTTGGACGAAGCCGAGGGGTGGACGATGCACTCGGGTAGCGAGAGAGGCTGGAGGTACAAACTCTAAGCCATAGTGGCGCATTATGATGGCGTTTGTCCACGTACCTAGTGTGTGTCTTACGACGTATGGGGCATGAGATCTAGGAAAGTGGGATGGACTACGGTGCAAGTTCGGACGGTCGACGCCAATGTACAATATTATACATCATGGTCACACCATGCTTGGAAAACATCAAGCAGAAGAGCCAACCCCTGTACCTCCCGACTTAGCGATAGAACACACACACGGCACCACGGAGAACCTAGTACCCGAAATGCCATGCTGTTTTCTAGCCATCTCTGGCAATGTTAATGCTCTCCACCTTAACGTAAGACTATCCTCAATCGTCAGTTTAGTCGGTCTGTCTTGGATGACCTCAATCGACCTGTGGCAAGATGCAATTTATATTCTTCTAGATCAGAAGGGCTGACTCTAGAACCCCAAATAGTCGCCTGGCTTATAGCCCGTGGATTCACCTTCCTTGTTGGTTTCTCAGATCAACTCCCTATTCTGAATATGATTGGAGATTCCAACTATACGTGGTTGCCGATTCTGGCTGCCTCAAAACCCATTCGAGCGATGTTCGCAATCATCATAGATATGCCACTCCACCAATCATGGGACTGGAGATACCGAAAAGGTCTTCAGAAGCTGCGAGTCTCATTGAATCATATCCCGCGTTTGAAGTGTTGTATAGTGGAGATGCATCGTTCGAGAAGGGTTCGATCCAAGCTCATGGAATCAGATCTCGACAGACTATGGCCAGAGCCTATGTTAATAAAGCATGGCTCGAACTGCGTCTAGAAACGCCGTATTAGGGCCCGCCGTATAGCGAAACATACTGTCGGGTGCCCAGTTACGCCATATGACTGCCGACAACTAATGTAGTCGATTGGCTACTCTGGTTCGATTGACGATATCCAGAGGCAGGGCACCTATTCGAAGAAGGCACGATCAATCAGGCACACACGTGGTGAGAGACATTAGAGATGTAACCGTACGCATTTGTCAAGATAATTTTTCTTTTTACCTTTTAAGCGATGGTAGGGCCTACTCGAAGGTATTGAAGGCTGGACTAACCATTCGATAAGCCAATCACCAAGATGAATGGAAGATGGCAAAAGGCTCACTTATCATGTTACCAAAGTTCGTCCCGTCCCTCTGGGCTTCAAACTTGGTCATTTTCGCCCCTAATGACCCCACAAGGCATCACTATTGAGAGTTTGCTATAGTCGGAAACAGTCCGATGTTCGGGAGTCAGAAATGGTTCTATTTGCCGACGGGAGCGTTATACCCGCGGGATCTCTAGGGCAAATTGTCTCCCGCGGATTTCGTCTATGGAACCATGCCCCAGTTACACTAAATCTAGTAATCTCCTTGCCCCAGAGATTTTTCCCCAATATGCGGGGGCCCGGATATAAATCTCTATCCTGCATATGTTGCGGAGTATACCTCGTGCTACAGTCCGGGGAGCTGCACGAAATACAAAATGCTTCAAGGGCAAGCGTTGCGTCTGGCACAGGTGCTTCTCATCGTCGCACCTGCATTCATATCCTACGGTTACAATCAAGCGGGTGTTGGGCCGCTCGCCACTTTGCAAACATGGTATGCATATTATTTTTTGTGCACGATCTACATTTGAATGAGAAGCTGACATCCCTCTTGGGTCCACACGTTCCCTGAGATCGACACAATCAACACCGACGGTACCGTCAAGGAACAAAACTCGACAAGAAAAGGCGCAGTTATCGCCTCCCTCCAGCTTGGGGCACTCCTGGGAGCGCTATCATGCACGTATCTTGGGGACCGTCTTGGCCGGCGCAAGACCCTTTTCCTCGCTGCTGTCATCGTCGTGATTGGCGAGCTGTTGGAAACATCAGCATACAAGATTGCTCAGCTTACCGTCGGGCGGGTTGTCCTAGGTATTGGTGTCGGACAACTTAGTGCCACTGTTCCTGTCTTCCAGGCGGAGTGCAGCTCGGCAAAGAACCGTGGGCAGCATGTGGTTGTTGATGGCATTTGCATGGTCCTAGGCTTTGTTCTGTGCAACTGGATCGATTTCGGACTGAGCAAGACAAGTGGTCAAATGCAGTTCCGTGTCCCTCTTGCTCTTTCCTTCCTCTTCCCACTGATTATCCTCGCCTCTGTGTTCTTTCTCCCGGAGTCCCCGCGCTGGCTGGTCTTGGTAGGCCGCCCAGGCGACGCCGCACGCAGTCTAGCAGCCTACAGGGGGCTCCCGGTAGAGGATGAAGCCATCCAAGCAGAAATTGCCAGCATCGAGTCCGCGTTAGAGCTAACTGAGCAATCTGGTCGTATCACACTGCGCGAAGTATTCTCTCGAACCAATGAAGACCGGCTTTTCTATCGTTTCACTCTATGCATGGCCATCCAATTCTTTCAACAAATGTGCGGCGGTAACCTAATCTCAACATATATTTCTACAATCTTCGAGCAGAATCTCAAACTCGGCAGTGACCTGTCTCGGATTCTAGCTTCCAGCGCACTAACATGGAAATTTCTATGCAATTTTATCCCATTCTTCGCAATCGACCGCCTCGGTCGTCGGAAGGTCTTTATATTCAGCGGCACAGGAATGTGCATCTGCATGACCGTATTGGCAGTCACAACCAGCTTCGATACCAGCAACAAGACCGCGTCGGTTCTTTCTGTGGCTTTTATCTGGCTGTTTAACCTATTCTACCCAATCGGGTTTTCGGGTGCAAACTTCCTGTATTGCACAGAGGTCGCCCCTATCCAATTACGCGTGGCCATGGCGTCCATATCTACGGCGAACAAGTGGCTATGGAACTTTATCGTGGTGATGATCACCCCTGTTGCGCTGGACACTATCGGTTATCAGTACTATATCGTGTACGCGGCTATTTCAGCTTGCATCCCCGTGTCGGTGTATCTCTTCTATCCTGAAACGATGGGCCGCAATCTCGAGTCCTTGAATCAGGTCTTTCGTGATGCCCCGTCTGTGTGGCATGTTGTGGCTATGGCGAAGGCTCTTCCCAAGGGGGATGTGTCTACCTTGGATATGGAGCGAGCAGAGAAGAAGCTGGATGCGGAGCAAAGGGAGTATGCATGACAATTCCCTACTAATGATTTCCCAGAAAGGACGTCTGGAGACTCGGAGCATGGCAGAATGAACGAGTGGAGGCATCGGCCTCCTCCCAGCACCGTTAACAGTACTACATATACAAGACTAAGAGTTCCAAGGGCCCAGCAAACTTGTATTTCAAAGATTAAATTGCATTATGATACGGCCTTCTTGATCTGTATTATAGAACAGATATATGAATTCTACAGACATCCTATAGTTTGTTGATCACGATAGTTAGTTGCAGACAGTTTTGTAATCTTATTATACATATTGCAGTACTGTTCTATTATGTAGTACAAATGCCATGTTGTCATCATCCTAAAATATCGCCCGGACGAGGGCCCAAAGGCAAAAATTGAAGCCAAGACACTAGACTTTCTTGCAAAATCTACTACTGGTACCAACATTGAAATCCCCGCCCCAAGACACATACGCGACTGGGTCGATCGTGATGGGCGATACTTTGCCCTGACCGAACGTATACAAGGCCAAACACTCGAGCAGGCGTGGCCGACATTATCAGAGTCCCAAAGAATATCCATTGCAGACCAGGTCGTCCAAGTTCGCAAACAACTTCGGTCTAATTTCACCTCTACTACTATGCAAAGTGTCGACCAAGGCCCTTGTTATCCGGGCTTACTATTTCTCGATACGGAACCATATGGGCCATTTCACTCTGACCTGGACCTCTGGATGCCCTTACCATGGCTTATAACAATATCCCTAAATATGTCTTCGAGAACTTGAAAAAGCACTTTCCAAAAAGTGAGCTGTTTGTGCTCACCCATTGTGACCTTAACTTAGGCGATATCATGGTTCGGAATGGACAGGTTGTTGGTATACTTGACTGGGAGTATGCTGCTTATCTTCCTGTCTGGTACGAGTATATCTCGGCGTCTTTTGCATTCACAGATATGGATGTACAATGGAAGAAGGTGTACATGGTGATGCATATGATGATGCAAGGGCTCTTTGGAAGGACCTGATCAGTCTGAAACAATATCCTAATCTGGATGAGAAAGGTAAAGAAGGCCTTGAGAGACTAGCATCAGCTTAGATTTTCTTGATGCCAAATCCATAACATTGCTAGTCTTTTTTTAGTAAGTATGATCTATGATCTCTCCTCTACCTTCCCTTTGGGTAATCTTCCTCATTATTCTTTTATCATAAATAATGATAGCTGCATTGGCATTTCGTATACTGACAACCTGATATGGAAAGTGAAAAGTTCTATGGATCGATCTTGATCCCTTTTTAAGATTCGTTAAGAAATACCGCTTGCTACCACTTAATCCTTTTTTCTCTATCCTCACTTTGTCTCATGGCAGGGGTTAATATGCAGTTTCCACAATTTTATTCTCTGAAACGTAGTGGCCTGGTTTCTCGATCCTGATACGGCAGATGGTGTGTGAATGTGATGATCGACTGTTCTTTTCTGTAGAAGCTTCTTGCCGGAATGAGGTCGCAGTATCAATTAACGCAAGGATCTTGGGGGGGGGGGGGGGGGGGGGCCTTTTGATACAGGACTACTGGATGCCAATCAGTTGAGTATTACCGATGTTACTATCGAAAAAATATATATATATTTAAAAGAATTAATCTATAGTACCTATATAATCTTTATATAATAATAAATAACCCTTTATGTAGTTGTTTTGCCCTTTTAGTCAAGAATTCAAGAATGTAACCTTTTATTAAGGCGCTTTGTTTTCATCAATCTTTAAGCACCATGTGATGTTTTCTTTTAGTTCCTGTATACTGGAAAATTACGAGATGAGGTATCATGAAAGTATTTATTATGGCTGAGATATTTCTGTTCTAAGGTACGATAACCCAAGAGATCGCTACTTGTAAATTCAATTGCTTCTTACCTACTTTGCAACCTAGGGTTGACCTATTCCTTATTGGGCTTGGTTTCATCTCCCTTGTAAACAGAGCATTTCTGGTCCTGGACCTACGAAACGTTGTCACGGTTAAGGCCAGGTTCTGGGATATGAAAGTCTAGTTGTCGTTAACCTTTCCAATCGACAGGATATTGAGATAGTTTACTTCTTCACTAGTCAGGCTATCTACGCGCGAAGCCAAGGGGAATATCGAAATTGCTTATCCGGACGCGTAGTAGAGTGGTTTGTGGGGTTAATCATCCTCCCATTTATCCGTCGGAAGAGGACTTTCATGTCTATGTGACATTTGAAGCGTAAGATAATAATACTGTAGTGCTAAAGCTAAGACGCAAGGTAGTCAGGCTATGCATAACGCCAACCATTTAGATTGAAGGGAATGGTTTGGATATGCTGGTGTGCAGGTCAGTCTATTGGAGTAGCGCTGCATGGCCTGTCTCGGTAGTTACATAGCAAGGTCCTCGTGCATCGTCATAATAACTCACACTGCGCTCACTGAGGCCTAAATTCAATTTGGCACTCGTGTTCCTGCCAAGGTTAGTGACCATACCGATCATCCATGTGCTTGGGGAGATCATACTCGCACGCCACTGCAGCCTTCATCATAGAAGACTTCAAAACGACTAGTGATGCCAGGAGAGATCTTGTCAAATCCAGCTCTAGTCTCAGTTGTATATTTGCGATAGAGCGCCGCCACAAATGTGGTCATTTCCGCCATGGCAAGACTGCAAAGGTAAGTAGTCGATCTTGATATTGCCTATTGAACGGTATCTTACTGCATTCCGATACACATCCTTCCACCGCTGGAGAAGGCCCAGAAAAATCTGTTCATTTGCGCGAGATCTTGAGACGAGTCGAGCCAGCGGTCTGGGTTAAATTTCAGCGGATCTATAAACACATCTGCGTTTCGGTGCAACGTATATGGTGAGATTGAAACGACGGTACGGGCGGGAACGAGATAACCGTCAATAGTGATAGCTTCAGGTGATGACCTTGGTTCAGATGCTGGCAGCGGTGCGAAGAGTCTGAGCGTTTCTTTGATAACTGCCTCTGCATAGGGCAATTTGTCCGCTGCTTCTACCCCAGGGATGCCATCCGCGTTGAGGTCTTTCTCAGAAAGACTCCGAGCTTCGTCGATAAGCTTTTGTTGAAACTTCTTGTGCTCAGGGCGAGAAAGCGACCAGATTGTGAACATCAGAGTATCGCTTGTGGTGTCAATGCCGCCATCGAGCTGATCTGCACATTCAGATGCAATATCGAGATCGTCCAAGCCGCCATCTTTCATGGTGTGATGGTGTTTCCAGAGCTTTGAGATAAGAGATGACTGTTCAGCCTTCTCAGCAAGTGAAGCATCCGCAAATCTCTGGAAAGCCTTGGTTGCGTGAAGTTTGATGCTTGTGTACGGAGTTGGTTTCTGCATCGGGTAGAATTGACGAGCAACGCAGCCGATGATTCCAGTCTGCGAGTATAGCCATGCTGTGAGTTTGGGATGATGGACAGTAAACCAAGAAAGTGTGCGACTACCGGTGGCGAGGATATCATGAAGAAGAGCACGGTCTTCCTTCATACCATCTAGACATGCCGTCTTCCCAAAATCACCATAGAGGAACTCCGTGATGTTATCTAAGGAAAAGTAATGTAAGGTGGTAAAGATGTTATGGGATCGGCCCTCTCTGTCCAGAAGTTCCATATACTTTCTAACCTTGGTTTCAATCATATGGGCGTTTCGTCCTTTGAGCATTGCAGATTTTGCATAGGCGTGAGCAAAGAGTTTCTTCCGTTCGCCATGCTGCTTCACCGTATTGAACGAGAACATGTTCTTCCGCCCGTATATCGCAAACATATGATAGAAGTTGGTCCTTTCAAAGCCGCTCCCTGCCCCATATATCGTGCGCAACGCAGACAGGCTGTTGAATGCCACTTCATTTGGACCGACGCGCACTACTGGACCGTATCTTTCATGAAGCTCATGTATCTTGCGTGTGCGAGTGCCCTTGTAGTCCTCGTATGCAAGTCTCCATTTGGTCAAGGCAAAGGACTTGGGTCCTGGGATTCGTGCAAGAGGGCTTGAGAACAGTGACCAGTAGATATAATACAGTAGAAAGGCTACACTGCCTGTAGCGATTGCAGCAACTGTGATGGTCATTTCAATGCAGATGGCAGTAGGTCACCTAGGATTTCTTCTAATTCAACTTCCTAGTCAAAGATCCCTGTCTCAGCTTCCCGTCTGTGTAATAGCATACGGCGGTCAGCGGCATCATTTAATATAGCCGGCATTTGGTTGGACAGGATTGATATTCTTGGGTTGAAGGAAAATGATATGGTGACGCAGAGAGCAGCTGTAGGGGCGGTTAGGAACGGATGCATGCGGGGTGATAGTCAAGCACGCCGTATCATTTTCAAGATATCATCTTCTCCAACCTAATCGTATTCGGACCCCGCACGCCATGAGGTTCTATATTGCGGAGATATGCAACTGGACTCCGATAACGGACCAAGAGGATTATAGTTTGCAAATTTGTACTGAGTAGTGCTTGTATCAGTCTGGGGTGGAACTTTTGTTCTCATGCACGCGGATTCACCATGCAATGAGAGCACCAGACAACATCCTTATATATGACATGGACCTTTAAGATAGGCGAGCGTAATTCTGAAGGCGGGCCTTGGGGTGTCGAAAACTTAATTAAATCTTATTGACCATCGTCTCCAAGATACAGTTGGCCGACCTCGGAGATCCCAATATGAGAGGCACAGTAAATCGATAGATTTGTCGTCCAGACCTTGGCAATGTACCTCGAAAGAGTAAATGATCCCACTAACCAGTCAGATCATTCATATACTAAGCAAGGGAAGATTGAATGTTTCACAACGGCTCGAGAATACCCCGAAGACAGTCCTATCCCCCACCGGTCGATAGGACCGTGGTTGATATCCAATGAGTCAACGCACTAGTAAGTAATTCCTGCATGCCTCATATTGGGACCTGGAATGATATAACAATACCCTACATCTTTTCATTCTTTATGACTCCACGGACAATGAAACGAAAGCCTGTGATATCCTTGTCGCCGGCTGGGAATGCTGCTTAGTAGTTTATTTATTCCTAGCGAGTCCTTCGTAGGTAACTATACGCCATATTCTTCCTTCTCTCCCAACCTCCCGGACGTAATAGACTGAGGGCCAGAGGTGAACTAAGCTATAGTCAGGTATTTTGTCGATTTCAAAGACAAACCCATTCGACTAATCGCTCATTTCGCTCGCCTGGAAAGACCAAGCACCAGAAATCCACGAATGGTTCATCAGGACTCTATTACCACAATAAGTAATAACTACCTCAGACTGGCCAATAAACCCAGGTGCGTGACACATCCGCCGTCTACATTTGCCGGCCTAACACATTAACTGCCGGACCACAGAAGCAGCTGAAAATCTAGCTCAAGAGATCCTGCATCAAACTCCTTCATAGATTCTCCGGTCTCTTTTTCATAGAACATACCGTTGCTTTTCTGGTCAATATTTTTGTCGTTGGCCAGGATTGCCATACAAGGTCTCTTTAGGTCCCAGGAGTCGCCGGAAGTTTGAGATAATGCAAGGATCTTACTGGACTGTCTTTCTATTCAATGAGTCCAATTTCATTTGCCCGCCACTGAGGGATGAATGTAAAACATCCATATGAGTATCAGTAATACAAGGTATAGCTTCTTACGTGCTCAAGGGTGCAAAGGATAAGCTTGTGGTCGTGATATCCTGTTAGATTCCCCAAATCTCTATTTATAACGCATAGAGTAATGTTCTTGTATAACAAAGCAGTGTGTAAAGTCAATCAATTCTATTAACAATTTAACCAAGACAAAGTCCGAGCATGAATCAAGAAGCTAGGAGCCATTCCGAGCCCACATCATTGTTACTGTACTGAGACAAAAACGATTAGGCACTAGCATCTGCTCAAGGTCAGTGATAAAGTAGGCGACAGCCTATGCTAGACTACTAACCTCGCACCACAGATCGCTATCCAAAGTGGACGCCAGCACCGGCGCCCACGCCGATATTTGCGGCCACCTCAGCATCAGCATCAGCGTTCGCACCAACGTGGATTCCGAAGGGTTCAGCGACCGCAAAGACGGCGAGTAAAGCTGTCGCAAGAGCGGAGACAAGCGTGAATTGCATCTTGTAAATTGAAAAGCGGCTCTGTATGCGTTGCTTCAGTCTTCTACTATATCATCACCGTAGCGACAAAATCTCGGGCCTACCTACTCTTTAGACTGAGGCGTTAGGGAAAGGTAGATGAGTATGAACAGGTCGGTAGACTGATTGTTCGGATGAGAGATGGATGAGACAAAAGTATATCTAAATGGGAGATTAGAGGCATTTTTATACCTTTTTCCTCATATGAGTTGGCCCATATTTGAGATCAGGTAGCGACATCCAGGAGCGTAGATGACTTGGGATCTGATACCGCGGACTAAAGTTTATCATCGCATCATTTTCGGTATTATAGCAATGGAAGTGGAAAGATCTTCGCTGTGCAATGTGAAAGGGAGACGTCGAGGTTGCTGTCTCAATTTTCAGGTAGCGTATCTTGACTCAAATTTCGGACAATAACTAAGAAGCCGAGAATATTCAAGAATCCGACCGTCGAAGTCCATTACATTCAGCAGCACTCTTACCATGCCATTTTCCGTATGCTTATCTCCAAGTATGGTCAATCAAGATTAGGGATTGCGTCTGTTGCTCTGAGTTTGAGAACAATGCCAATCTCGGTCCATATTTGAAACATCTTTTGTCAATTCTCGTATATACTCCTTTTTCCATTTGTATTTTTTTTTTCTTACCGTGTTGACATTTTTCATTTTATGCATGCACAATGGACACTGTGTCTTGGAAGTTTCTTCTAAAATTATTTACTTCGGTTATAGTTATAGCAGCCTATCTTGAGCCTCTGCCACAGTCAGACCCACTGCAACTGCGTATTTGCCCCTGTATCGTGGACATCTAATCGGAATGATTCACTCCTCTGCTGCTGCTTTTTATTTTCCTCGTACCTCGCACGTACTATGTTCCATCTCATTCGAGGTTTTCTAAAGGATGTTAGGGTCTATATGCTTGAGCTTGGGTTTCTACCGGGTATATATTACTTTTCAGCACCTCCTTGTACATGGTCAACCTAACATACTTGGCGACCTTAAAGTAAGCTCTGTGACATAATGATCTGAAACTGATAGGATTGGAGCAGCGTTTCAACCATTGGCAATTTGCTACCATGGCCTACTATCCCCAACCACCAAAACTGCGTCGCCGAACATGGCAATAGACAGGCAACCACGTCACTTCCGAATTGGCAAGTACAACCCCCTACTTATAACCTGGGGAAAGAGCACCATCCCGAGAAATTCGCGATAATGAACGTGTTGTCGAGACATAGATCGTGGTTGCCTTCGGGGTTCGGACGACTTTTCATGCTTTGCCACACGACCGGATCTCGGTAGTCGGGGCTTGGCTGCAACCCTGCATCGCAATAAATACATTGATGCGTCACCGTTCTCTATCGCTGAAAGAAGAGCGACATTTGGTTAAATCGAGTTCACTTTGGAGATCTATACTTGAACCACGACATAGGCCTTCAAAACATTATCGATGGCATCCAATCTCACGCTGCATCGAGTGACCACTCTCGAAGAGTTGGAACCGCTATATCACATCGGAGCAGACGCCTTCGGAGATGACCCATGTATGAACTGGTTCTACCCCGGAGGTCGCGACCATCCCGAGGATTTTGTTGTGCTATGGAAGCACATTCTGCAGATGGAGTTCTTCGACAAGGGGAAGTTTATTCTTGCGGCCACGATCCAAGATCACAACGATGACACACGTCCGGGCAGAGTAGTAGGATTTGCGGTATGGGAACGAAATGGGGTTTGCGATGCAGCCAGGAGCTGGCAGGGGACTAGCCTTTCCAAAAGTAGGTCGTTGGATCTCTGAGACCTTATTTCATAGATATCATCGTTTGTATGTTTCGGGACTAAGGAATGCATGTCTAATTCAGAGCTGAAACGAGTAAATGTCAACCTAAAGATCGCTTATACGTTTCATCTGGACACACCGAAACGATCCATATCCTGGCCAAAGCTGAACCACTATCAACGTGAGCTCAAGTCAGCTAAGGCTAGTCAACCGACCGAGTCGTGGTACCTAAGCATCTTGGCCGTCAGCTCAAAGGCCCAGGGCCAAGGCGTCGGAAGGAAGTTACTTCAATGGGGAATTGATCGGTCGGAGGAAGAGCGTATTCCAGCTACTTTGGTAGCAACTCACGCAGGCCTTCATTTGTATGAAAGTACGGGGTTTGAACGCACCGGTTGGTTGTTTTTTGATGATGAACGGCAGAAACAAACCATCATGCGGAGAGATACAAGGTTGACTTGATTCATTTATGGCTTATACAATATTACACACGTGAACTAGACCCTCAATTGTATTCATTTTTCTGATTTTCTTAATCCTCTTGGAGCCGATAAGCGACGTATCAAGCATCCAAACAACAATAGCTTCTACGTTGTATCCTTATTATTCAGGTCGCCCGTCTCCAACTTGATGACCAGGCTTGAAGTTTCCATAGCACGCCTGTTGATACATGGCTTTTTCTTTAAGCATGGGCACCGCATTTAGAAAATGAGCGACCTTACAGAACCCATTCATTGAATGCTCACATCCGACTAAGTCGGAGATGGGAAGTGGGGCACCATTCAACACGAAGCGGATATAGTCGGTTGTGTTTTCTGTATCGGACAGGTCTGGATTCACATAAAGAGTGCTATCTAACACCTCGACTCTGGTTTCCTCGGGACAAGTCCAGACTTCGGAGATCAGGCGTGCTCCAAAAGGTGCCACCTTGTTCAACCGAAACTCCCGCGGGACGGCATGAGCTACCGTTGAAGGCATACCCCTTGGCCCGTAGTTGAAGTACTGGAGCCCCAGGGCAGTAATGGTACCGATAATGACTTTGTCATGTGTCATGTCCATATACAGTGGCTGGTGTAACGGAAATGTCGCGGCGTCGCTATCATAGGTAGTGTTAATACTGGTATCGCTTGAAGTGATCAATTTTTCTTCAAGCCTGGCAGCAAGCTCGAGAAGATATCCGATCCCCTGCGCTCGTCCCGTAGGGGAGCCAAATGCAGATGCCCCGTAAAGCCGCATATCAAGGTTATACGCGAAGTCGGCCCATTCTTGTTCGGTAAAGAGGTGACAGAATGATGAGCTACCTAACGTTGCGTATTCATAGGGGCAAAGGTTCATCATAGCCAAAATATCAGAAGTGGTTAAATTGAAGCCATCCGGGAAGTACTTCTTTAGCCGGGCGAGGGGGTCTTTAATCATCGTGGGAATGAATTTCTCTGATGCATGTGTCCTGTAAGTGCATTAGAATTTCGACTCAAATGCCCATGTACGAGACTCTTGATATTCTCTGTACCCTTCTTTTAGATCACCCGAGCAGGAATGTTCGGCCGCAAGTGTGTTATTTAAACCGTCCCCCTCAGGGATCACCACGAGATTGTACGATGTATTGGCATGGCCGGGACCGAAAAAGCCAGCTATCAAATCAGTAACTTAGCTCAATGCACAACATGGCTATTAGATGGACTGACTTAGCCACCACCTCGCACTCTCCAAAATCCGCTGCTTATTCGTGGTTCTAAATATTGGCTTCGGCCTGCGAGTGCCATTTGGATACACATTTAACTCTGGATCCCAGACAGCCATTCCAGGAGGCGCTCGATACAACATGCGTCCATACTTCGACCATATATCAGCCCCGGAGCGTGCCTCTGTTGCAGCACCCGTGGCAAGCAAGATATCGCGACCGAGGAGATACTTCCAATTCTGTAGAAAGGCCAACGGTCCTGTGCCTACAGATACATCATGCTCGCTGTTATAGTTCTTCAGCTTCTTGCTGAATCTCTCCATTCCCTCTCCATCAAACCAGGCGGACTCAGGATAACGCTCTGCATGTCTATGCAAAACATGAACTTGCGATAGCTCGCAGCCACGGGGTACGCCCTTCGGGACTCCGAATCCATCGGCTTCCTTGTAGGGACTGAGATTTGCCCAGCGGCTAGTTATATCAAAGCCGGAATAGTATGCAGTACTTGTTGGTGCGGGAGTCGTGGCTGAAGAGCTTGATGAAGGTGTATCGCGAGTGAATGCCAGGAGGGTAGCCAGTACAATTTGTAGGTTTAACATGTGGATCATTTCTCCTCTCGTCTTTCGTGTTGTGGTTCATATGGAGCAAGGAAATGGGGAATCGCATCAACGGGAGGAAACTCCCGCCAGACGTCATAATATATTCACGTCATCGGCTCTCGGAGCGGGAGCGAAACAGAACCGATATAGGGCTTCGAGTCTCATATGGTCAAAGTGGCCAGGTAGAAGCGAACAAAAACAAGACAAAAGCAGAACGTAAATTAATTCACAGATTGAATCGAAGATTATTGACGTTCAAAATTAATACTAGTAGGTGTTCCGTACAGCTCTTGGTCTCTTGAAGATGCAAGAATATATATATTATTTAGGAAAATCATTGCAAGGCATCATGTTCACATTCTGGGAGCACCGACACATAAAAGTGCCCTATTGAACTTCAAATGGAACTAGAAATTTGGAGTACTTATCTCACTCAAGCGCTGCAGTCAAACTTTCTTGGACAATGGTGTGTTGACATATGTGGTATCTACCTTCGACAATCAGGACGCACCTGCCACTTGCTCTCATCGTGCTCTGCCCAGATGACATTGATTTTTGTACAAGATGGACATCATTTGCGTGAGGGCAATAATAGCCAGAGCCAAGATTATAAAGCCTTAACATAGAGGATGGATAGGACGGCAGCCACAGTGATGACTTGAAGGTAGGGGGGAAAGACATATGGATCAATAGTTCTATGATAGCTTGAAGCCAACTAACTGACTACGGCCTCTGCAAATGATGAAGAAGTCAATTCCCTCACCAATTCCCTTTTCCTAGACCTCTTGGTACTAATATGGAACAATTGCATTTTTCCGCGTCCGTGACTCCATTAACCCATAAGCACCCGTACGATCCTGCACAATGACTAGTTCAATTCGATAGAGACGGCGTGTAGTATCCTTGGTCCTCTTTCTTTTATCGCCGCCTCATCTCAATACAAGAAATGATATATTATCATACACACAATAGCCAATGCAGGCATTCTGTACGATTTACAGTCACAAGCAAGCTGCTACAAACTAACACCTGTCAATACAGAAGGCCTAGAACTGGCCGGCTTACCTCAAGGCTGGATCATAGATTGGAAGGTCAGCTGTGTGCACATGGTATAGGTCTAGATGGGCCGTTTATATTGCAAGGTAGGGATTTCATGGAATCTAGTAGGACTTCCTACTAGTCTTTTCTTTTCCTGCTTCTTAAAGCTCGTATAGACTAGTTTGAATCCCTACAAGAGTTGCATACTTGTGAAGTAATGTACTGCACTTAACATATCATGTCGGATGCATTGGCCTCTGATGTCACCTTGAGCATTGTCAATGAGACCAACGGTGCAACGCAAATCATCCGGCAGTCTGACAAGGATAATATGGGCCCACAGAGTTGACACTGGAAACCTTAAACTAGATGTTGTGCAACTCTGCATTCTTGAGATTACATACAAGGGTACCCAGCAGCCTGATACGCATGTTCCAGTGTTGTCCAAAGGCTGAGATAGTGATTATCTGAGGTGTTAACAGGGCTTATGGTGACGCGATTGATTGTGATTCTAATCGAGACTAACCACACAGGGTTCTCACATGCAGATACGAAGCAACACCTGCACTAGGAAGGCAATGGCAACTTCCCGAGTACTACATCCCAGTCAATTGAGGTGTAATCTGCAGCATGGTCAGGCTTATCCACGTAATTACCACCACCCTATTCCATGTCATGCATAGTACAAGGAGAATTGTAAGATGGCCGCATAACGGACCCTGCTCCTAAAGCTTTGAGACATCGGTAAAAGAGTTAGTCGAATATCAAATTTAGACATGGCGAAAAAGAGTGAGTTAGGCGTGCAGCGAGAGAAATGATCTTTTTTCGAAAGACCTTTCCTTCCTACAAGCGTTGCATATTTGTACGTACCACTGCGTGTACGCTTGAGAGAGAACACTGAGCAGTCGGCATTTGATATTGCACTCCTATGACGATGGCCATTTTATCAACATTTGAGATGCGCCACTGGGCAGAATGTGGCGTCTACTTTATGCTGGTTACCTTTGGAGTGGTTGTTTTGTTTGCTCTGATTGTTCTGACGTCTGACTATGTGGACGGCTGGCTAAGGAGAAGGGCTTTGGGTGACATTCCTTTTGTAGATGAGGGAAGCAATATGAGCGCACGTTTGAGATGGTATAGCCTGAGGTTTGACGCTGAGAAAGAGTATGCCAAAGCATATAAACAGGTAGGTCAATGTTTAATGTCTAAACTTTCAATTGGAAATGCTGAACCAATATCCATCTAACACATATGCAGTACAGCAAGGCAGGCAAACCATACGCGACAAGAGTCCAGAGCAATGATCATGGTATCGTACTTCCCTTGAATTCGGCCAGGGAATATCGTGCCTATCCGAATGATCAACTAAGCTTTTTGCATGCATTGTCAGAGGTAATAGTCTGAGACTTGCTAGGGATGGGTACTATGTTCTAACCAAAAGATGCAGTTCGCCGATCAGTACATGCATACAAATGTGACAGATAGGACGCCCGTTCACACAGTACATTATTGCAATAACACTAATACGCTAAGTATGATTTGGCCGTTTCGGCTATAGAGGTACATCATATTATTGGCAAGCACTAAACCGCCTTTATAGGCCGATTTCATGGGGCTATGGTTAATGCAATAGATAAGACTTTGCCATTGACCATTGACAATACGACAGCAGGTGGTAAATGACACATGCAAGTTGTATAGACCCTCACTAATCTAACGCAGTAGAGTGGAAGCAATTGAACGTATTTAACACTATCGTTACATTATGCTCAACGGTTGTGATGTCTGTACTGCTTGGGCAGGAGTTCTGCATGGATATATCTCTAATACAGGCTATGAGCATGTACAATGCTACGGTGATGCCCAGCTGCTATGAACGCACTAGCTATCCCCGTGTTCTCCGGCCATTTGTATGGCGCCTTTCGCCCCCCTGTCGTGCAATGAAGTCACATTTTTCAAAGGCAAAGATGAGGCTGATGCCAGAGATAAAGCGCCGTATTGATATTGCGCAGCCAAACAAAGGGCGGATAGGAAACGATGGCCCGGCGTCCCTCTTGGATGGTCTCATTGAGACAGCATTCGAAAAAGGCATTTTGAATCGAAATAGCAATCGCCAAGATGATGACCAGCAGGTTGATTTGTTGGCCGAGGAGATCATCCTTTATCATTTTGAACTCTCCTCCCCCATTGCATTTTTCGTAATCTTCAAATTGTACGCTGTCATTAACCACATGGAATACTTGGCTCCTCTCAGAGAGGAGGTTAGCGAGGCTGTCAAACAGTCTGGTGGAAGATTGACACTCGATACACTGAAGCATGCCCCAAAGTTGGAGAGCTTTTCCAGGGAAACATGTCGTTTGTACGATATTTCATGTTGTGAGTTTCCCCAGCTGCACCTAACTTTCATCGATTTGCTCTGCCCAATTCACCACATAACTACTGACGTGGAAACCCGTTCTCTAGTAACCAGCTTCCGCCGGGTGATGAAACCAGTTCACCTGGAGTCTATAAACCTATCTTTAAACCCAGGCACCATAATCATGTCCCCGGGTAGAGATGTCCATCTTGACCCAGATCATTATGAAAACCCGACCACATTTGATGGCTACCGCTTCTACGATGCCAGCCGCGGAATCTGCACTCCGCATATATCGACTACCTCCCCGACGTTCCTCACGTTCTCTCATGGAATAAGTGCTTGTCCAGCGCGAGTGCTTGCGACTCAAATCTCTCGAACCATCTTTATCATGTTCCTTCTCAAATATGATGTGGAGCTTGCGCACGAAGAGATGCCAGCCTATGGCATCACTAATGGGCCAGTGTATCTCCCTAATCCGTCGATCATGATGCGCGTAAGGCTTCGCCAGAAAGACGCGTTAGGACCGTAAGAATTTGTCTCAAATATTTGTTTTTAGTCATATTTGAAGTTCCTGGCTTGAAGTCTGGTGCTGGTAGAGAGGAGTAGCCATGTGGACGTGGGCTTTGCAAAAGCGTGACCTGCTTTTTGGAATCAATGCTGTTTCACATATTGCAATTTTACTGCCTTCCATTTAATACGCACCCAGGTGGTCCACCTTTGGTTTTGGGTAATAATAGGGTATCTAAAAGTAGGATATGCGTGTTCGTTCGATATCGATACATAGCTGGGCGTTGTCAAGATAACAAGTCCAGTATTCTGGGTATTTCGATGACAGGCGAGCACTGGTGGAATCAGTGCCACCAGAATGGCAATGCAGTTTGAGTCGCGTATATGCAAAATGTACAGGGATTGTATACTGTTAGGTAACACAGCAGACCACTACGTGAATTGCAATGCTGACCTCGTACCATGAGCAATGGCCTATGCTTGGCTGGCAAGAGAGACTGGAATATAAACCATTGCTCCTGGTGAAAGATAATATTCATCTTCCCCCCACACCCCCTAACATTTTTGCCTTGAATAATTCTTCCCCCTTAAGTCTGTAACATACCTAGCCAATCATCATTTATTTAATCATGCATGAAGCTCTGACCATAGATCCGCCCGCTTCGCAGAATGTTCATGACAGCCGCTTTGCCGCCCTGTACGAATTAGGCGGCGGGATTACAGAGCTCTTTGCGAAAGAGCTGATATTGCAGTCAGGCTTGGCCCTGTCCAGTCAGGAGCCTTTAGTGATTCTTGACAATGCTTGTGGCACGGGGGCCGTTTCAAGTGTCCTTCATCGTACCATTGGCAGCGACAAGAAAGGTAACTGGCAGTTGACCTGTGGCGATAGGTCAGACAGTATGCTTTATTATACTAGACAGAAGATGCTACAGGAAGAATGGCATAATACCGAAGTGAAGATCGTGAATGCACAAGACACTCGTCTACCAAGTGCACATTACACTCATGTGTTTACAGCCTTTGGTAAGTAGATAGTGCGAACATGGGCAAAGGAAATGACATTTCACAGTGTTGACTAACGAGGTTTCAGCTTTCAATCTCTTTCCGGACGATATTTCTGCTATGAAAGGTAGCCGGGTTGCTAATCTCTGTTGAGCGCGACAGGCACGATTTTACTAATGGGTTCGTACAGAATGCGTCAGAATACTTCAGCCTCGTGGCATCCTGGCAGTTTCCACGTGGAAGAGCAGTAAGTCACTAACTTATATGCTTATCTGATTATGCATAAATGCTAATACGTGGTATCTATGAGCGAAGCCATCTGGGTTTGCACGCTTACTGCTGCCATGGCCAGCTTACCCGGAAATCTTCCAGCTCCGTCGGAGAAAGAGATTAATGGACTATACAACCTTGGCTGGGACGAGGAGTCTTCTGTGCAAACTAGGTTCGAGCAAGCCGGGCTTAGTAACATCCAAGTCAGAACGGTGAGAAAGGAACGCTTATTCCCTATGGGCCAGTTTGTTGAAAGTTGCACCGTCCTTATTCCCATGATCGTCAACACTTTCTGGACGCAGGATCAGCGACGCCAGCATGTGTCCGAGTTGCCACTGGCAATTCGTCGCTACGCCGAAGGAAAATTCGGAATGGATGGATTGGCTTCCCTCGAAGCTGAAGCTATCATTGCAACAGGCCGTAAATCTTGACTTGGAAGGTTTAAAATTTGGATCTAGTATCTATTATTTATTTACGGTGTGATTTTTAACACAGCTTGGTGACATCCAGGCCGTATTTATCGAACTCGTTCAATTGCAATGCTCGCACATATGTGGAGCTACCTAATAAAATGAATAGAGGAAGATTGATTTTAGGGCCTAAGGTAGAGAGCCATAAACTTCAGATACCATTTTGCCTTAGCAGAACTGTTCAATAAGACTGAACACTTCATGCCGTTAGGCAAATTGTTTCCTATCTTGGCGGTGGGACAATACCCTTCTGGAGATTGATTGAATATGGCCGCCATGTACTCATGCCATGTCACCTTCTCAATCCTTTGAAGTCGAGCTTGTAGTAAGCCTTACAGTCTTCTATCCTCTAAACAGATTCCACAATACCGTAGCGTGGATATTGGACAATCAAGAGTGCCTGCCTATAATAATCGAAGCTGTAAATTAAGGAACAAATGAAACTAACAGTCACTTAGAATAGAAACCCCATCCTTCATTCAATAGTTTGATAAAAGAAATTATGATTATTTGATCCAGGCCTCAAGGAGACCGTGGCAGTTTCCAGGAATTTGATAAACTTCCTTGAGTTTAAGTCCGGCCGAATCAAGAACTTCATTCCACTCCTTCAATGTTCTCTGTTTCGCACCGAGGTTCATCATTATCATATCCATCCATGCTTCCTCAGTACCGGGGTTGGTATCAGGAACTATGATTTCCTCAATCAGAAGCCGGGACTTTTCTGGCCGCATTGCTGCGGCGACGTTCCTCAGGATCTCGACAATACTCTCCTGAGGCCAGTTGTGGAGACAGCGGCGTATAAGGTAGGTAAGAGCTCCTGATGGAGAGAGGTCTGGTTATGCTGGAAGCGCTACATGTACCATTTTAGAAGAGAATATCTTACCTCGAACAGGTTGATCCTGAGAGAAATCACATGCCATCTTCTCAATCCTGTCGCCAAGTGAACCTGCAGCTTGGATTACATGCGCCTGATCCTGAAGAATGAATCTACCAGCCAGATCACCGCAGTGAGACCAGATGCGCGAGATTCCTTTCCCAGTGCCGCCCCCGATATCCACCACAACCACTGTTGTAGGGGTGGGATCCAGGCTTGATAGACTTTCCCAGGGGAAGAGGTCAATCATCCACAACTCGGTCATTGCCTGAAATGTCATACCTACATTGAAAGATGCCATTCTTGTAGGCCGTTCAGACAGGTATTCCCACATGCTCTTGCCATTCGTATCGTGAGCATAGGTGTACGGATTATTACTAGTCGATGTTGGCTCCCTCCATGAATTGCGCTTCAGGAATTCATGCATCTTAATATGGGCTGGCATATGCTCATCCATTCTAGGGTCGTTCTATGTCAACACACGATGAGCGTGGGTGTTAATCAGATGAGCACTTACGCAAAACGAAACATGCCTCGAATTTCAGGTTTGAGGTAGGCTTCTGAGGACGGAGTATGTCTGTATTGACCCGGTCCAGTCTCCTCAAAAAGCGCGGAGTTCCTCATTAATCGAGCTAGCTTGCAGTTAGCTAATCGGCAAATATCTTAGAACACAGTGCGCCGTGCACCTAGCAGAGTCTCGTCGACCTTCAGCTCTTCCGCAAGATTCCTTGTACCCCGGGACTCCTTGCCGGTTGGAAGCGCTTCGAATACCCCCATCTCCAGCAATGACCGGGCACATGCTAAATGGGCTGTCTGACAAAATGCATTAGCGGCAACGGTGATATGGCAGACACTAGGGGGGCCAGTCTTACCCGTTCAAAGCAAGTGGCGACTGTATCGATTGGACCCTGCGCGGTCTGGAGGAACTTGGAGGCCTCCATTACGAGGTTATCATGCGCGATCTGATTGGCACTAATGCCCTTTATACTTCCGTCGTGGTGAGTAAGAAGTCTTTCCTGGCATTCATTCGCGGCAGCATTGAGTCTCTTCAGGGCGGCTGTAATTGATTGCAAATACCAATCCGTCTGTTGAGGAACGTCCATGATCGCGGAATTATTCTGAGTTCAGATAGATCAGGTCTGCGCAAGAAGTAGCCCGCGTTCGGGGTATTGGTAAGTAGTATGAAAGAGAATCTAAATAAGTCGACATGTTTGGACCTCAAAGAAAGATTAGTTCCAGATAGCCATATGTCTATCATAACATTTCCTGGATCATTCTAGAAATCAGCCGACTACGTATGATACCTCACATGTGCGACTACTGAGATGCGTATATGACACGATACATTGGTCCATTTAGAAATTTAAACGATCGTCGTTACAGTTCTATGGAGCCCACACTTGTCACCGCACATTGACATTCGGCGATTATATCCTGTATCCAGTCCCTTTGATATTGCATAGTTGGGTCGATTACATGCCCAACACCCTCATTGATATATCAAATGCAAACCCTACCAAGAGAGGGTCCACTGCAACCATATCTAGGATACCTTGTCTTCGCCCTAAGGGTTCCAAAAGGTCTTTAGAAGAGGCTAGAAACTATAGCGTCCAATGAATACAGAATATGAGGCACGATAGCTCGTATTCTTGGTTAGTGTTTTGATGCAGCCCATTTTGCATTGAGGGTTGAATAGTTGCACGAGTCCCGGCCACCGAGACTGACTTTCAAAGGCCATTGCACTAATGCAGTGACTGTTGGAGACGCAACGCAAATAATGAGTTCAACCAGCTCACACGCACGATTTTAAGCATTTTTCCTGCAAGCCGGTGCTTATTCTCATTGTAAAGCTGGGCAAAATTAAGTCTGAAGCCTCTCGTGAAACAAAAGGTGCATCAAATAGTACCGCTTCCTGGGCTTCCATCAAAAACTATCTCTAAACAAGTTGACAAGCTCGGAGTATCTGCCGCTATGATGATACATCTTCAAGCTTCCAGGTGTCTAGTCAGATTTACAATTGTGGTAATTCTTCTTCTAAGATGTATAACCTGAAGCATGCTGGGATAGTGTTGCACTGGCACCCTCTGCTCGTGATACGTACTACTTCGATTATGCTCAGCATAGGACAGTCCACAACTGGATGAACACAACATCTAACATAAGGCTATCCGAGCCAGGTGCTGACTACTGTTTCACTGTACACCCATCAAATAGAGCCTTCTCTGGTGGTCGACGTGCTCGAAACAGAAAGTAATGGATGGCTCGATGGTAGTGCATGGGGTGATAATGTCATCGCTGGGGCGCAGAATGTGGCGCCGTTTTGCTCTTTTCATTCCTACTGAACTCTCACAGGTTTAGCTCTCATAGTAAAGACATAACCAGGAAGATGGCCAGATGTGACCCAAGAAGGATGCTTATGTGAAAGATCAAAGACACAGTAGCGGATGGCGCGCAAAGGCCCTTAATTCGTGCAGCAGTGAGTCCACGGTGCGTATAGACACATGCTGTAACATAGTATATTACAGGATTAGGGTGATAAGAAGACATACACTTGATTAATCGCTGATCCATGTGCCGTACAGGCTCGACTATCGATCGACCCTAATGTTCTAATTCCAAACAGTATGCAGATCTTTTATTTCAGCAACAAGTTTCCTCCAGATGATCTCTCGGATCTGTTCCGCCGCCTACGTCTGCATTCCAAGTGCCCAAACCATGTGATCTTGGCTAGAGTGCTAGAGGAGGTAACAGATGTCGTGCGAGAGGAAATTACTGGGCTTCCCGCCGAACTGAGAAGTCTGTTGCCCCCTTTCCAATCTATCCTTGACCTTGCAGAAAGCTTCAATTGGCATCAAGGGCCCTTGTCAGGAACATTCGAGTGTGTGTTTTTGGTTCTTGTGCCGATATGTCTTTTCGTCGGGTGAGTCGGTTTTCAAATGCAGAACTCCTACTATGCAGCAACAGTGACAGGTATTTATTTTAATCAGAAATTATGAGAATCGGCCATACGAGTTCGTCTTCCGTCGAGATGCATCTTTATTTACAGGGCTTGGCCTTGGGTTCTTGGCTGCCACCGCGATCGTAGCATCTCCCTCTCTATGTAGCGTGCCAGCCACGGCGGCGGAGCTGGTGCGCATTGCAATGAGAACTGGCCTTCTGATATACCAGCGATCTCAGGACCTCGAGCCGCAGAGCCTTGATGGCGCACTTCAAAGCTGGGCCAGCATTGTGAAAGGTATGAACGAGGTAGCTATACGAGACGGAATTTACGAATATAACACATCGACGTTAGGCAAGGCCTAGGCACGGATAGGAGTAGAGCTAACTGTCACACAGGACACTGCACAGCCTAGTTCAATCTACATCAGTGTGGTAGAGCCGGACGGTAGTGTCTTCATAAATGGCCCGCCATCAAGGCTTCGCAAGTTCTTTAGCACGCCCGGAAAAGTGCAATCAGCAGCCCATGCTCCATTGCCTGTATATGGTGGGCCCTGCCATGCACCTCACTTGTACGACCGCAGCCACAGTGCGTGGGTTGTTAAGCCATGCCGTCCCCAGGTTCTCTCCCGCAATCTTTCCCATGCAGCCCACCTTCTGTCCATGGCAGATGGCAACCCCTTAAAAGCGAATACTGTATTAGAGTTGTTTGAATCTGCCACCTACATTTTATTAACAAGCATCATTCGCTGGGGTGCAGTGGTGGATGCCATCACAGCGTCGTCGTTACTATGGGAGAAGGACACGGAAGTGCATCTGAACATGCTCAGACCTTCTCCTATCGTGGATGGTTTAGTGTCTGCAATTCGGAAAAGCCACCCTAGTTGCACCGCCCATGTAGTTGACCTTGGAGAGTGGATATTTGATGATACTCGCCTTACTCCATATAGCGGCCACGAAAAAATCGCAGTGGTTGGCATGTCTTGCAGGTTGCCCGGAGGGGCTGAAGATTTAGAGCTGTTCTGGGATCTTCTTAGGGAAGGGCGTGATGTCCACCAGAAGGTCCCAGCAGACCGATACGATGTTGATAGCCATACAGACATTACAGGCAAACGGCCAAATACCAGCCATACACCGTTCGGCTGCTTTGTAGACAGTCCCGGAATATTTGACGCCAGTTTCTTCGACATGTCCCCGCGTGAAGCAGGACAAACGGATCCCACTCATCGCCTTGCACTTCTTACGTCCTATGAAGCTCTTGAACAGTCAGGTTATGCTCCTGACCGCACTCGATCTACCAGACGGGAAAGAGTGAGTACGATCTATGGTCAGTGCTCTGATGACTATCGCGAGTGCAACGCTGGGCAGGATATCGACATGTATTTTATTCCTGGGAACTATCGGGCCTTTGCACCAGGGAGAATCAGTTACTTCTTCAAGTTCTCAGGACCTAGCTTCAATATTGACACTGCATGCTCAGCAAGCCTAGCTGCTGTCCAGATAGGCTGCTCGGTACTCTCGCGTGGTGAGGCAGATATGGTAGTCGCCGGGGGATTAAATATCCTCACAGGGTCAGATAGTTTTGCAGGTCTTAGCAAAGGCTTCTTTCTGTCTAAAACCGGAAATTGCCAGGTCTTTGATGATGCTGCAGATGGCTACTGCCGTGGCGACGGAATAGGGTCTATTATACTCAAGCGATTGTCCGATGCTCAGCAAGATAACGATCATATTCTCGGGTTGATCTTAGGTAGCGCAACTAACCATTCCTCCAATGCAATTTCGATAACCCATCCACATGCACCTACACAGGCCGATCTTTACCGCTCGCTCTTGAGGCAGGCTGGGGTTCGTCCACAAGACGTAGACCTGGTCGAGATGCACGGCACCGGCACCCAGGCGGGCGACGCCGCCGAGATCGAGTCAGTTACGAAGGTGTTCAGTTCAGCTGTGCCTCGGCGCTTGCAGCCATTGCGCATTTCATCTGTCAAGGCTAATGTCGGTCATGGAGAGGCGGCAGCCGGCATTACAGCGTTGATCAAGGCACTCTTGATCTTTCAGCACAACGAGATTCCACCACAAGTGTGCCTCAAAACCATCTTGAACTCTAAGTTTCCCGATCTTCGACAGCTCAATGTACATATCCCCAAAGATGTCATTCCCTGGCCACCTTTACCCGGTCGCAAAAGGTATATTATGGTCAATAACTTCAGCCCGGCTGGGGGAAATACAGGCCTTCTCTTGGAAGAACCTCCGGCTAGGCCAGACCCTCAGGGATGTCCCCAAACAAGATTTGTTGTTTCTGTGACCGCCGAGAGCACAATTTCCCTAATGAAAAACCTTGAAAGGCTGCTCGCCTTTCTTAAACAGGATCCATTGGTGGATCTTGCAAGTCTTGCGTACACCACCACTGCACGTCGTGTGCATCACAAGTATCGCATAGTGGTGCATGGCGACTCCGTCCAGGAAATAGCCAAGTCCCTTGAGCAACATTCGTGCAATGCGATGGCTCAATGTGCAATTCAGAAAGCTCCCATTGTCGGGTTTGTCTTCTCGGGTCAAGGTAGCTTTTACCAAGGTGTTGGATGCCAACTCTTCCAGGAATACCCGCCCTACCGGAAGGAAATTCGGCGTTTAAACGAGATATGTGCATTCCACGGCTTTGACTCCATCTTGCCAGCGATCACGAGTAGGAGCTCAGATCCGTTTGAGACCAGCCCGTTCATGGCACAGCTGGTGACAGTATGTGTGCAGATCGCGCTGTGCCGCTTATGGAGAAGCCTCAGAGTGGTGCCGAATGTTGTTATAGGAGCAAGCCTCGGTGAATACGCTGCACTCTATGCTGCGGGAACCTTATCAGCCAGTGATGCTATCTATCTCGTCGGGCAACGGGCCTGGCTCATGCAGGATTTGTGTACCATCAACAGTCACTCGATGCTAGCCGTCAAGGCGACCGTTGATGAGATCCGTCACACGGGGCGGAACAACGTATATGAAATCGCATGTATCAATGGGCCTCGAGATGTGACCATTGCCGCGTCTGTCGAAGAGATCAAGGACATCCAACAGACTTTGGTGTCACAGGGATATCGGGTCGCGAACTTGAATGTGCCCTTTGCATTTCACTCTTCTCAAATGGAGCCTATCCTAGAAGCTTATAGTAGGATTTCCCAGTCGGTTCTGTTCCGGAATGTAAAAACAGCACTCATATCGCCTCTTTTGGGTGACGTTATATTTGACAAAAAGTCATTCCCACCATCATATCTGTGTGATAGCACGAGGGGTACTGTACGATTTGCCGATGCGATGGCGAAAGCCCAAGAGATGGGGTTGGTAGACTCTAAGACTGTCTGGGTTGAGATTGGAGTGCATCAAACTTATACCGGTATCATGCGCGCAAACATTCCGAATCTTGAGGTCATGGTACCCAGCTTGAGATCTGACGAATGCAATTGGCATACGTTAGCTGTCAGCATGTCGGCTTTGCACGGCGCGGGCGTCCTCCTTGACTGGAACACATGGTACCAACCCTTTGAGTCAGAACTACGCCTACTAAGTCTGCCTCCGTACCAATGGAATCTGAAGAACCATTGGATTCAACATAACGGGGATTGGCTGTTGCTAAAAGATAAACGGTCTAGGGCTGAAAATGAGAGCTTTCCAATCCCTGCTCCCCCATCGTTGCGCACCGCCCTCGTGCACCAAATTCTGGAAGAATCATTCGGGGAAGACGGTGGGAGCATAGTCATCCAGTCAGATGTGACTAATGATGATTTCTTTGCTATTGCTTCGGGACACAGAATGAGTGGTCGACCACTCCTCTCGGTCGTAAGTGCCATACTTGCTTCCAGCTATTCGATGAACGACTCTTTGACTGACAATAATTTTCAGTTCGCGTACACTGACATTGCTCTGGCTATGACGAGATATATGTTCTCCAGGCTAAAACCAGGAACACAGCTCCCAGCCCTGGAATTTGGGAAGGTTCGGGTCTTCCAGGGCTTAATACCCCGGAAGGATAGGTCCAAGCCTCAGTACGTGCGAATGCGCATGCAAACAGACCGCACGTGCTTTTCGATGCCGCTGTCATTGCATCGAGTTCTCGAGGATAGCTCAAGCGAGGAGGAACTAGCCACCGGTGTTGTGACGTGCGGAGACCCCCAATCATGGCGAGACGAGTGGGCTGCTTATTCGCACCTCCTGACAAGCCGTATTGAAGCGCTACATCAGCTAGCAGATCAAGGGTCAGCAAGCCGCGTGTCCAAGGATTTGGCGTACACTCTCTTCAAAAACGTCGTCGACTACGGCGAACATTACCGTGGCATCCAGTCGGTTGTCATGTACGGCCTGGAAGCAGTTGCGGATGTCATTCTGTCCCCAAGCCAAGATAGCCGGTGGACAGCACCTCCTCATCACATCGACCCCATTACACATGTCGGGGGTCTCATTCTGAACGCTGGGCCAGCCACGGATCACACCAGCACGATTTATGTCATGGACGGCTGGGAAGCCATGCGGTTCTCCGATGTATTGGTGGCGGGAGAGATGTATCGCTCGTACGTTAAGATGAATCCTGCCAACGATAATTCTGGATGTTATTCCGGCGAAGTGTATATCTTGCATGGGGTCCATGTGATTGGAAGGGTCCACGAGATGATGCTTCGCCCATTGCCTCGCATTCTCATGAGTCGGTTCTTCGACCCCCCAGACAGCCAGTATAGGCAAACGGTTCAGCAAGACCCTTCTACTACAGCCGCTTCAACATCGCAACATACGAGTTCAGCCACGACTACAGAGTCCACTCAGTCGCAGCAAGATGATTCAGAGAACACGTCGCTTGTTACGCCTGAGAACGAACCCAAACTTCCACTATCAGTGCCTTGGCCTAAAGCCAACAGCCAGCTTGTCCGTGATGCTATAGCCCTCATCGCGTCTGAGACCGGGGTAGAGCTGGATGCCCTGACAGACGAAACAGAATTTTTTGCTGTTGGAGTGGATTCACTTCTGTCACTGGTTCTCGTAGAGAAGTTTGCTCTTGAGCTAAACGTTGATTTGAAAGGCTCTTTTTTCCTGGAAACTCCGACCGTTGGTGATCTGAAGACCCATCTTGAGACTAACCAGATGGCTGTGCGCTGAGATGTGTTTTCAATGATGCTTTGTTTACAATAGGATAACTCTGATATAGTACAGCGATAGTTAGTTTAATCTTCATCTTTAAAATACTTCCTCGTCTCAGCAGCTGACCTTCAGCCCTTAAAACCTACAAACCTGCTTGACTGGTCCTCTTGTAAAAGGCTTCAAAAGTCATAAAGGTTATCTAGATGATGAATAACCGTTATACTATGCTGAAAAGGCCTACTCTTGTTACCTATGAAGAATTACGTACCAGGCTACTTAGATCATCAATCCAAAACCTATATTCAGATCGCGAACCCTGTCACATTCCTCTCTGGGCCTCTGCAAGGCAATAGTCCTTTACATTCTATAACATCCGATGTGTGCAATCAGAGCTATACGCAAGATGAATAATAGTCCCTAGCAGATACTTGTTTATGTGGTCAGTACGAGTATACCAAACGCTAGCTTATGATGCGACCAAGATCGGATGTGAACTAGGGCTGAACCAATCATGTGCTGCGTATTCCCGTGACGGGATCTGGTTGTGCTTCATGCTACTGATATTGGATTTGTAAGCGGTGTTATATACTTAGTTAGCTATATTTACTGTTATTACTTAGCCTTCTTGTCTGCAGGATCAGCTGTATAATCCGTATCAGTCTCTTTCCAATCCCAGCATTGCGTTAGATCCAATCATGTCGCAGTACATCATCGACAAGGTCCTCCGGGAGCCTCATATTCTTCCCTCTTCGGCCTCCAATAAGAAAAAATCTGTGTGAAGACTTTTTCGGTGTCTCAAAGCAGTTCTAGATGCGGATAGTCTTTGGCTAGACTGAGCTATCGACAGCTTGTCTGACTTCCCAGGCGATGTCTTCAGCCCCATATCCCATTCAGTGCAGGGATAGCTTGGTTGCATAAGTCCGCGGAGAACGTCGTACCCTCAGCGAGACCAGGTCTCAAATATCAGCCACGACAGCGCATCATCCAAGGGTTTGCAAATCTCCGGTCAATTCCGTGGATATCTCCACTGGCTTCATCATGGAGCAAGTATGCCAAGTTCAGTGTATTGGTCAGTCAGAAGGTCCACAGATCGCTTTCCTAGCAGGAAGGCACAAACGATTGGCAGTCAACATTTTGAAAGCACTGGAAGGCGATCCTGTCAGCACACTCACTTTCTTTGTTGCTATGTCTCAGATTGTTTGAAATTGCACCCACTCCTGCGCAGAAGGCAATCCACATGAAACCAGGCGTTCGCTTTCCTGGCAACTACCCCTATCTTGTCAATGGAGTCAACCATGCCGTTTATGGTAATCGCAGCCGTGGCGCCAATAAAAAGCGGCCTTTTGCCACTTTCAATTGGGGTACACTAACGACAGGGCCATTACCGGTAGTCCGGGGAAACCTAGGGCTCCGTGTAACAAATCAGCCCTGGTCGCGAATCGATTGAATGGTCGTGGCGTAGGAGGGTTCTACATCACTCACATGCTGCGAATTTTCGGCTAACTGCATGGATGTTCCCCGGGTTGCCTCAGGTGTTCGTGAGCTACCTGCCCTCACAGCCTCCCCCACCAATTATTACACTAGATATGCCGTACCTAGCCCGGCATTGAAAACCCGGGGGATGAAACCAAAGGCGACCGTGACACCCGACCAGAAGACTCCCTTTTGCTTCCAGAAATTCGCATATCCCCGAGTGGCAACGAACCTTAAAGACAAAGGAAGTGAAAGTCTATGAGAGATTAATCCCTCCGCCAGCTGTACAACATATGGGTCGGTGTAGCGGTAGACAGGCTGGCGAATAGACCTCCGTCAGCCCACCCCATCAGACAAGTTGAAGAACGTAACAGGGTCCAAGCTAGTGCTCGGAAGGTCCAAAGGGGCAAGGCAGTAGTCAGACGAGTTGCAGAAGTTAAAGAGGAACCTATGCAGAGGAGATAGACAAATAGTATGTGTGCACACCAGCAATGGCGGAGCGTCAGGCCGGCAAGAGGCGGAGGATAGGCGCCACCAAAACAAAGAAATCCATGCCAAGACGGAAGGATGCAGAATTAGTTGAAAGAGCCCAATAAACACTGGATACGAAGGGGGCTGGGTAATGAGCCCACAACGAAAGGCTACGAGGTGGAAGATATTCCGCTCAGAATTCAAGTGCGTGAATACCAATTGAAGGCCTTATAAGCTAAAAAAGAGACTTGCACCAAAACCCGCTCCCATAGCTCAGTTGGTCTAGAGCATCAAGCTTATATGACCATTGTACTTTGTACTAGGTTGTATGCGTCTCTTGGAGGTCGACGGTTCGATCCCGCCTGGGAGCACTTTTTTTTCTATCTGCTAAAAGATTCCTCAAGTAGGAAAGCGGAATGCCAGAGGCTATTATCCGATAAATATCGATCTTATAATCATCTTCAATCTCCTGCATTCTTGAAACAGGTGTTCTGAAACCATACATAAATAAAGCGTTCCATTCCTAAGTCTAGTTGTACAACTTTTCCGTTCGCTCCTGTTCCTACACAAATAGTTTAGATCCTCAGACATCATGAACTTACATCACATCTCCTTCACGAGCCTCGGCTTAGTGGTACTCGACGAGATCCGCCTTCCCAATAGGAAAGCATTGACTGACATTCTGGGTGGTTCTGGCGCTTACGGTGGGCTTTTCTATCGTATATCTCATGCCAGTCATTGAATTGTTAATGTAATATTGTATTCATAGCGACACTCGGTGCCCGGCTGTTTCTTCCTCATCCACAAAGCAATTCCTTAGGCTGGATGGTCCATGTTGGAAATGACTTTCCGAAGCCCATCGAAGACCGTTTGCAAAGCTGGGATGTAACATTGGTCATAGAAAGGGAATCAAACCAAGCTTCGACTAGAGGGTTACTTGAATACAAAGATTCTACATTTGGACGTACGACATACCTTTCTTCATTAAAATCTGAATATTCCCTTCCCTACTGCCGACACAAACTTCTCATCACCAACTTACTAGATGTGTTGTCAACCATACAGATCACTTTAGCTAACAAGTCGTCTAGCCAAGAAGTTCAAATACACAACGCCCATCCTCGCAATTCAGGATAGCAGCTTGAAGAACACACCACTCCTAACATCCAGGGCATATCACTATCTTGAAACGCCTCAAAATATTACGATCCGTCTCTCCAGTCTCCTTGTGCTTAGGGAAAAGTCAGGCGTACCAGAACGCCCACTCATTATCTGGGAACCTGCCCCATTCTCGTGTACAGCGGAAAATTTGCAAAGCTGCCTAGACGCCGTATGTATGGTCGATGTGTTCTCCCCAAATCACCTAGAATTAGCCGCACTATTTGGCCAATCGCGACCAGCCGTTGCAGACAAGGATAAGATCGAGGCCCAGGCACTGCGGTTCTTGGACAGCGGCGTGGGCCGTGACGGAAAGGGTACAGTAATTGTCCGAGCCGGTGAGCATGGCTGTCTCGTTATAGCTCGCGATACGTCTCCTATCTGGCTACCGCCGTTCTATCGATCTAGACCTGGAGATACCCCGCACGCTAAGGTAGTCGATCCCACTGGCGCCGGTAATGCATTTCTTGGGGCATTTGCTGCCGGGTATCTGCAGACAGGATGTATCGTTGAGGCAGCTTGCTATGGCTCCGTTGGAGCCTCTTTTGCGGTGGAGCAGGTGGGTATGCCGGAGAAAATTAGCGATAGAGGGGAGGAACTGTGGAACGGTGCCAACGTGCTCTCGAGATTGCATGAGTATCGGAAGACTATCTGACTCGCTGTTATTGATCGTGGCTTAGGCTGGGAAGGCCTTTCTCGGCGACATGTCGTTGATGTATTGAAGACTGATGTACTGTAAAAGCTCGGCTGTTGCGTCGCATGGAAGCTCACAAATTTAGTATACATTTGCTCTTGGCAACGCTCATGGTTTAACCTATAAACAGTACGTAGGCTTCTCTGGTCACGAATCAATAACCTCTACTGAGAACTTGGTGAACATAACCTTTCCCTACCAGCCGCTTTGGGGGTTACATACGCCTTTTTTATTCTGTTCTCATTTCTGTTCCTTTTTCTTCTGTTCGCTAGAATTTCGGATCCCTTAGATCAAGCAATTGAAACTCTCTGCGAGAAAATCCTAGTATTCCATCTTAGAACTTTCTGGTTTTCTTGAGACACTCCATAAACGTCTCAGCAACTACGAGTACATTCTGCGGAAGAACAACCAAGCATCCGATCCCGTATTACGTCGCTTGCAATATGTCTCGCAGCTCCTCCGACAGAGGATAAGCACCCTCGACCGGAAGAAGGCCTTCGGCTTCTTCGACATCCCCCCTATCCAAGGCCCTCTTGACATCCCCCATCAGACCCGTCACGTCAGTGATCGAAACGATCCACTCATCAATGTATCGCTCAACCGCCTCCCCACTGATCCCAATCTGAATTGATCGATATCTTAGTGGCCGGTGCCACAGATCTCGCTCCGGATCCCACTGTACACGGACGGGACTCTTACGGAGACGCTGACGCCATTCATCTTGCTCTTGGTCCTGGGTTCCAGGTACATGACTGAGACAGGATCTCTTCAGGGCCCATTCGAAGCCTTCGCGGGTTATCTCGATCGCCAAAACACGTTCTTGGTTCGGTTTGGTGGCCCAGCCGCAGCGGTAGGCCATCCAGAGGAAGGACGGCTTGATCCAGGTCATGCGTGTGCGGGAGAATGGAGGGACGAATTTCTGGGCCCTCAGAGCAGGTTCGGCGATATCGGGGGAGAAGGCTTGGTAAACTGTGATCGTGGATCCAGTGGATTTGGCCCGGATCGCTCGGAGGGGTTGGGGGGTTGGGTTCTTCGTAGCCATTGTATCTTCATTTACACGTCCCCGCTAATAATGTATTCGATGGTCGTTCTGTTGGGAGACAGGTTACAAACACAGTTATAAGAACGGTCAGTATCAGACAGCCTGATCGATGTGACTTGAGAGCTTTGTTTACGCGATTTACGGGGCCACATGCACCTTGGACGGTCAGCACATATATTTACGAAAGAAGGAGAACGTGGTTTTCAGGGAAATGAGTCCATCGATCGATTCATGTCTGTGGGGCAGAAGGCTGACTCATAGGAAGGATAACTCGTATTCGGATCTGCCGCAGAGGGAGTGCCTCGTAATCATCGAGCGGAAGTTGAACTGCTATTCTTTTGGCCATTGTCGCTCCACCGAAATTCCTTCTCTATTGCAAGAGCTTCTTCGTTAAAGCAAGCCAGGGAACCATTATAAGTGCCGATGATCTGATCTGTAGCTCTTTCATTAGCACTAGCATAAATCCAGCATCTGCGGTCAATAAAGGAGACTTACTGAGATTAACGACGTGAGGGATGAGCGGTGCGTCTTTAATGCATTCATTAATATTGGAAAACATGATCATCAAGAGCAAGTCTTACCTCCCGTTCCACATGCACATGCCATCACCCCAAGTTCAGGGCCAGGGACGCAATTGTAGCAGTAGGAGTTCTCAAATGCCCTTCCCCTATTCGAAGTATTAATAAAGCACTGAACCAATCTAGAAGGTCCCCCACACACATAGATTTTCCATACAATCCCTTTGAAGGGGAATATGCCAAGCATCTATCCAACGGCAGTTCGGATTTTCTCTCGTCGTCTGACCTTCTTCTTTTGCATGTTGCCGACAGCGTAGGGACGTTATAGCGATCATCAGTCTTTACGACAAGAGAGATATTGTGGCAGCTATCTATAAATCCAGACGTAGGGTCCCCATCGTAAAAAGCCAAAGCTGCCAATGGAAAGAACACAAGAGGCAGGAATCGACACATAGCTCCAGGTGGAGGATAAACCAATATTTATTTTGTAGGAAGTGGAATGTTATATGGGTCTAGGGGTCCTTTTATGCCTACTATGGCCTTGGTAGTTATCAGAAGGCTCTGTCGGCTTGACCTTCAACGATGTTCCAAGACAGGGTGCTTTGTTCTAGTCGGGCAAAAGTAGACAATGTGGGCGAGTCGGGCAAGCCGGGCAAGACGGGCAACTTGGGTGAGAGCAATATCTATATATAGTATATCTGTATGATCTCTAGCTCGTTGGTTAGGAATTATATTTTGAATTTGATGCCGTATGGCCTCGCATTATCGTACCACCACACTATGATGGAATAACAAGGGATAATCAACCGATCTGGCCATCTTACACGAGCCTACTCCGTATAGCTTTCGGATCAAACCTCAATTTAGGTTCTTTTCTCAAAAGTCACTGTAAACATATTCAGTCTATCTACGTCAAAACTGTTTGCTCCTCTATAGCACCGTCAATGTTAAACTCTGTACATAATACTTTTAGAACAGCCATGCAGAGCAGCACACTACTTGCGCTAGGGCCACGGGTAATTCTCCTAAAGAAAGGCATTAATACAACACTGGCTAAGCCATCGGCGAAGAGATGGACACTTACAGCAGCTACACCCTTTTGTCCAAGGCAGCTCAGGTATCCCTCATCGCTGTAAACCACTTGATCTATAGGCTAATTGTTAGTAGGAGTACGCAACCTGAGTTTTGCGTCAAGAAGGAGACTTACTAAGATCAATCCTAGATACCCCGCGATCTAGATATTTTGAAAAAAAGGGAAAAAAGAAAAAAAAAAGACTTATCAGTATCAGAAGGTATATTCTTCAAGAGGTTAAACTTACTCTCGCCATAAAAACACCCCATCAGTACTGGAGCTTCTTTACGATGTATCCCGTAAATGTTACGCGTAGAGTTTTGACAGTGCTCGTGCCCTGCAAATGCATTTCCACTTTATAGAGTTATTCAGAATATTCACAAAGCTGTTAACAGGTTTGAAACTTTCCACATACCTTATTTGTGGTGCGAATCCACCATACTCAGTGAATGCCAGACACCGATTCAGTTCCAGCATGGTCTGTATCAAGCGTCCCGTCTTGCCGCAACATAGAGTTACTAGGCGGCCAGACTCGCCTTGTGGGTGGTCCACAGTCATCTCAGGGCAATCGTCGTAAAAGCCACCCTTGAGTTTTTCTGTGCTCGCGGTATCCATCGGGACTTTGGCTGGATCGCGGTCACCCTTTCGAGCAAAACAGCCCAGGTGACCATCATTATCAATATGAACGGTTCCCCCTATAGATAGGCCTTTTGTTAGTAGGGTTACACTGCCAAGATCTAGGGTTAAGATAGAAGACTAACTAAGATTAAAGTTGACAGTAGTATTATCTGTATATATAGAAAACTATTAGTGCCAGAAGATATCTTCCTTGATAAAAAGAGAGAGAGAGAGAGAGGAAAGAAAACTTACGCGAGCCACAAACACACCTTATACTCTCTCCGTCAAGCATACAGTCAAGACATTGTGCCCCATATCCATCCTCCCTTGTGAAAAGTTAGTTAAGCTGCTCACAAAACTGCTAATATATCTAGAGCTTCTCACATACTCTTGTTCTGGCTGTATATGGTCGGTGTCCCAACTAAAACAGTGATCCAAATCTAAGGAACTTAGGGATTCTCTTCCATCATATCCGTAACAAGTTGCGGATAACGTGGTTGGCGCACGGTGCATTTTGGTCCAGGCCAGTTCGGCGCCAACACAAGTGTCCAAAAACACAGCCTCACCGAGAGGGATGGCATCAGCGGAAGTCCTACCTATACTCCGTAGCCTGTCACTATCATACAACCACGCGGCAATGGAATAATGAATATTCTAGCCTGAAGACTTCACCAATACCACATGACAGTCTTGTAGGAGGTATATCTATAGTATACTACGCTACAGAGCTGTTCCAAGAATTCTCTAAACGGTTTAACATTTGTACTACTACAAGGGACTCAGAAAAAGAAAATAACCCAATTTGACCGGAACATAGCAATAGTCTGCTCACTGCAGCATAGTCATCCCCAGTGCCGATAGTTGAGAATCTTGTAAAGTATCAGCTCTGCACTAAATGCAGTGACAGTTGATTTGCTCGGGAAGACCTAAAAAAAAAAACTTACATTACCACCGCGCATTACCCTTCAGACCGAAACAACCCAGATAACCATCATAATTGGAGATTGTTTGATCTATGGGTCTGTTGTTAGTAGGGGTGCGTAGCCAGAATTTGGGGATGAGATAGGAGACCGACTAAGATCAATAGAGACAGTAGTATCGTATGCTTCATTCAATTAATTCATAAATTCATCAGTTCCAGAAGGTATATCAAGAGAGAAAACTTACTATTACAATTACACCTCAGGACTCCTCCGTCAAGAGCACAGGAAGGACACTTTTCCCTAAATCCTTCCCCCCTTAGTATCAAAAGTTAGTTAAGAATACTTAGAAAACTGCTGATAGAGCTGAAGATCTTCACATACTCCTTTTCTGGTCGTATTTTATCAGAATCCCAACTGAAACACCAATCCAATTCTAAGCGGCTGGGAAGGAAGCTGCCAGTATGTTGTTGACAGTTTCCATACAGCCAGGATGGCCCGCCATTTATAATATTGTACCCTCTCAGAGATTTAACTCTGAGATCATAACAAGTAGCGAAAATCCCACCCTGGTTGTAATCAACAGTAGTCATGTTCTCTTTGCCACCCTTGGGTTCCTCGGTAATCCGAGGGCTCCGTGTGGGCTCATTGACAGCAAAAGCTGCCGGGGTCAAGAAAAGAAGTGATATGAATAACTGCATAGCTCCCTCCTATGTGAAAGGTAGACCGATGGTCACTTGGCAAGACGTTGTAGGAGAGCTAAACTCCAGGCGGTCCTCTTGTGGCCTATTTAACCTATTCTCAGTAGATTGCCCCAAAGCTCTCGTTTTGCCCGGTCAAAAAATCAATTCCTTCTCCGGAGTACTGAATCCCTGGCTCGTGGGCTCTGGCATCGAGGACGGCACAGGACGGGCGCTTTGTTTCTAATCGGGCAAGTTAGACAAACGCCCCGGCGTTCAAGTCAAACCTAGATCTTTAATGTAAAGGGAATTTTCAAAGACTCTAGAACTCAAGTATGAGCGGTAATGTTCGCATCAAAGACGGTTTGTCTGGCTCACTTGGGCATACGCGAAGATATCAGTATGCCATTTATATTTATGCATATATATTTCGATGGAAACAGGTTGTCTCTGGACATTATTCGCTTATTTCCCCTAGCTTGAGAGTTTAGCGTACTCCCCAAATCACCAGACAGATACAGCCCTTCTTGAATTGGACCTTAAGGATGCATGTGGTAGCTCTAGTTGACTCAAGGCAGATTCGTGAGGCTGCTATTATATTTGGTTACAATGTCTGCTTATGTGCCCGTTCTAAATCTCTACCCCCGCCATTCCGCGCCTGTATGAACTTCTAGACCAAGATCCTTCGCTACCCAATATTTCAAGATACACCCCCCGGCTTGGGCCGCACAATTTTAGAGGTTCGAATTTTTCACCGGACATTCCGAAGGTGGGCTTGAACAATCACAAACATAAGTGTCCTTTGCAGTGTCACAAACAGAAGACCTGCGGTTGCGGCACACAGATTGCCTGCTCCCGCAACAACAGGCTTGGTTCCACTTTTCCACATTATGGTAGAGCACAGGGAAACCCTCCGGGTGAGGCTCAAAAGTCGGATTCACCATTTGGGGAGGCGGCTTATTATCGCACGTAAGAGTGTCCGCTGTGCCACGGCAAATCGAGTTGCTTTCAGCCTGGTACTTAGTAACACGACATGGTCGTTGTTCAGGTGGTTTACAATGGCCGTAAGCTGACCTTCCTTCCAACAACTTCGCAACATGTTGATCCAGTTGGCAAGTTGTCCCACCGGGGCATTTGGAGTTGTCCACTTCACACCATTGAACACATCGCTTCTGCGGTGATGGCCCTCCCATTTTCTCTCCAGACTCACAAACAGAGACAGTCTGGCATGATAAGGCAGATATCTTTCCACAGTAGCCGTCTTTGTGGCACGGACGCCCCAACCACACATTCAGCTGCTGAGCGCCGTCTAAGATAAATTCGGATTCGTGTTGTGTACTTGATGGATGCCTGTCCATTTGAGAGTCCGCCAGGTTGGATAGAGTACTGCTCGCATTGTAAGGCTTGCCTGGAGCTGAAGGATGAGTCGGCTGGGTATGACCCGTCCTTGAGCCTTTGGTACAGAGTGCGGGATTCTGCCATATTGCGTCTGCAGCATATTTCCAGAGATTGGTATAGTTGTACCAGGTCTCGGGGACGAGGAATATCCTGCAGTCAGCGGCCTCATAGAGAAATTGCAAGGGAGTGGCGGAGGTGTCAGTGTGTCGGACCTGGTCTCGAAGATTGACCGACGCGGTCGTAATGTGGAACGCATGCGTGCGGTTGGTTAAGTCCACATGCGTCGATTTGTCAATGTCTCGCGCCAGGTCGATATCTTCATGCATATCCTCAGCCTTGTAAACTGCTGCACCACGGGTTCCACTCGGTGCCTGCATCGGGCCATAGCTGGGTTGGCCCCCAATTACAACGGTTCGCACTCCTGCTTCATGATGCATAAGTTCCATGAAAAGTGCACATGCCGACGTGCAGAGCCCGTCGCTCAGGATAACGATGTCCTCCGGTTTATATGGCTGACCGTCGTCATGTTCATCAATTTCAATTCCAGCCGCCCCCAAGGTAAATAAGGTGCTTGATAAATTGTATTGCTCCTAAGCGCCCTCCGTCAGTACCGCATGTTCCATTGAAGACGGGGTAGAAGGATAGGCTTTGGTACTTGCCTTCTTAGTAAAACCATCACGATAATGACCTATTGGTCCGACAAAATCATCCCACGAGGTGAAGTTTCTTCCAGTATCGAAGTCCAGCCGGCCGGTTACCACCCACTCGTTAGCTATTAACTTGCGATAATCCGGATGGTCCATGGTGAGGTTCTGCCAGTAGCTTGTTAGGGTGGAACCTAGAGCGTTTGCCACTGGATGAACGCGTCGACGACTACTTGCCCACGGCGTAATGGAAGGGAAAAACTATATGAAAACGTGGGTCAGCCAGGAGCCGAGCGAGTTGCAGCGTTAACTCACTATCTTAAAGACTTCAAGTACTAACAAAGGGCTTCCACCGGAGTTCTGTTGTACGTCGATAACCACTTTCTTCATGCCTGCATTGGTGCTACGTGCGAGGAATTCCTTGACTGTGTTGCTGAACGATTGGGCTTCAGCGGTGTCAACCGCAAAATGCGGAACGCTAAGAACTGCTAAGGAGGTATCATGCAAGAAGTAACCTCTTACATGCGCTCCCTCGTTCCTAGTGTAGCTAGCATCTATGACATCAGCTTCTGAGGGATACGCTGGATTTTCAACAGGAGTTAAGTTGGGGGTTGATGTGTTCGATGACATCATGCCTTGTCGCTTGGAAATTGTCGTCGTGGATGCCGCCAGGCTTTTGTCGGATGGCCGGCCTAAGACAAAAAAATCATAGAATTCGTCCATCGTCTGCAGCGGCCCATTGCTCCCCTGGCAGCAGAATGAAGCCTTCCAAGGAAGGGGCCCGAGCGTGGTACCGTTCTCGAATGTGAATGTAATGAAGTCTCCTGGGTAGGAGGTGGTAGCTCCGTGGAAGACATCCCGCTTTCCTTGGACGTCCAATGCCGCACTTCGCATCAACATGTTCCAATCTGCATGAGGCTCAAGCTTTCCGATGGAGTGGACAGAGGAAAACTGCGTCAGATACTCAACGACATCCTGGCCGTTGATGGTCGCGATGGCCGACGGCTGCCAAGGAAGACAACCCGTTTCGTTGGCGAATAAGTCATCTGGAAGAGGCTACTGTCAGCGACAGTTCTCTTTGAACTTGTCTGGGTATTGACCTGAGATGTAAACCTTGGGCAGCTCTACCCCGTCCAATGAAACAGACACGATGCTGTAAGGGGCTGCATAGGTAAACCGAGAAAGTGCGCCGCCGACAAGTTCAAGATGATCGTCATGGGCAGCATGGATCAAGTGGTTCAGAGCCGTCTCAAAGGCATATTCATTGTGGAAGACGTTATCATCAATATCGCGTTGGAGTTGAGACAGCCCGGCCATGAGGTCAACGGCTGGCTGCTGGTAGCTCTGTGGTGGATCGGCCAAATAGGCGAGAGTACTGTGGAATTGAATCATGTCGTTGACATATTGGACAAGTTGACTGGCAGTATCTGCGTGGAATGGAAGGCTCGTCAGACAATTGTAGGCTTGGCTAGCGTCGAAAATAGAAACTTCTAAGTAAATTGCTCATAATCAGCACCTGGAGCTATCATTCTGTTTGCTTCACTCATTACATACCCTCGTTATTGACGATTTCACCGCAAATTGTTGGGTTGGGAGTCATAGCATTGTTGGAAGATGTCGGCAGCTGCTCCGCGAGCACCTGCATCAGCAAGAGCACAAGTATGCCAATGATCTGCCGCATCATGAATCCTGATTGAGAATGAATTGTTTTCATTTGGGGATAATTTAGATTATTGTCTACTCAACGCCTTGTTATCAGGATTTATACCTTGTCGTGAGACGCCAGATGCATTTGCTCCCTCAGATGATTCCACCTCAGCTGTTGTCTTAGCATTTCCTCTTGATGCAACTTCTCCCAGAGTTTCAGTTCTTAGAATAGCCAATCTGCATCATTCATTCGTCTGTTCCATCTTTCCCAGGCCTTGGCAGATCCCAAGAAGCCCCGAAGAAGCCCCCAAGAAGCCCCCGGGGCACGGGATTGGAGATTCCCGGTTTGCAGAGTCGCAGGCACTCAGCCTCGTATGATGAGTCTGCCACAGCCAAAGATCTTAGTTTCAACCAAGACAAGTCTCAGTATTGAAACCAAACCAACAGCATGACGCCTAATAATAAATAACGAACACTCATTACTCATACGTTACCCAGGGGTGCTTTCAGCCTTGCTTTACTGCCACAAAAACATATGAGACAAAAGAAAACCATACTGAAAAAGGACACACAGTACAGGATTTTGCCTTCATTCGGTCTCATTCTGTCACGGCCTCCCTATCCTGATAATTTCCGATCGTTACTGCGTAAGGCAAGCCCATCTGACTGTACTTGCATACAGCACGGGCTCTGATGAGGTCGGGAGTGCTCTTTCCTCGCTCACAATCTCCTAAAGGTTCAGCATTGCTGGCGACCCCTGAGCCACTTCTATATGTTTCTAGGGCTTGCTTGTTTCATAAGTGGCGGTCAGACGTTGCATCGCCCATGCTTCTTCATCCTCCCCCACTTTTTTGGAACTCTCTCACAGTCTCTCACAATATTCCACATTCACATTGACTTCTAATCCATACTGACCAACCTTGCAACCGCAGTATGGACGGCTCAAATCGTATTGTTCTCACTCGTGACGCCTACACGGTAGGCTGGCTTTGTGTTCTGGACTCCGAGCAGAATGCCGCCAGAGCTCTCCTAGACGAACTGCACGTCTGTCCACCTACCCCCCGCGATGAGAACGCATACATGGTCGGCCGCATGGCGAAGCACAACGTCGTCATTGCTAGACCTGTTGGTCAAGGAAAAGCCAATGCTGCTGACGTTGTGGTGAACATGACTCGTACATTTCCCCAGATCCGGTTTGGATTGCTGGTAGGTGTTGGGGGAGGCGCCACAGACTCGCCCGACCCCTATGTTGGAAAGAGAGATATTCGGCTCGGAGATGTTGTTGTCAGCAAGCCTCATGGCAAGCACGGTACGTTGATGATCTAAGATTCTAGACTTCGCTGCATTGCTGCCACTGAGCATGCTATCAAACCTTCCTTGGCTAATACGTGTTTGAATGTTATATAGGTGGAATTCTGCAGTACGATGCAGGTAAAAGGTACCCTGAAGGGTACAAAATCATATCGCACCTGGACAAACCGAACCCTGCCTTGATCTCGGCAGCCAATATGCTCCAATCAAACCACAGTTTCAAGAAGGGGAACATGGAAGTATATGTACAGGACGCGATCTCCAAGCTTCGGGATCTGGATATGCCGTATTTTGGCTTTCCGGGTCGCGAGCATGACCTGCTGTTCCGGGCAGAGTATCGCCATCCTGACGAAGGTGAGGACTGCAGCAACTGTGACCGAGCACAAACAGTCGACCGGGCCCCGCGACCGCAAGATGGTCCCTCCGTCCATTATGGGCTCATTGCATCTGCAGACCTCACTATGAAAGACCCGATGTTTCGGGATGAGCTTCGCAAGTCCAAAAAAGTACTTTGTTTCGAGAAGGAAGCGGCGGGCCTGATGGATCGCTTCCCATGCATTGCCATCCGGGGTATCTCGGACTATGCGGACACTCATAAATGCAAGAAGTGGCAGCCGTATGCTGCTATAACTGCTGCGGCTTATGCAAAAGACCTATTGGCGTTGCTTGACCCCGACAAAGTTACCGAGGATACGGCGGCGGCGAAAGTTCTTGAACAATGTACGTAGTATCCATATGAGCAATGAAAGGGGGCAGGATGCCCCTCTGATTTTAAATAGCAAGTAGACTGTGCTAACAAAGGGCCTTGATTGTATTCGCACATGAAGTAAACGATAAAGTCGACAGGATGGGCACGACACTAGACACCCAATTCCGCCGCGAATTTCTGGATTGGCTCTCTATTTTGGACTTCAAAGCCGAGCAGGAAGAGCTGTTTGGCAGATCCGTGCCAACGGGGAAGTGGCTTCTTGAATCTGATGTATTCAGACGTTGGGTCGAAGGAAGTCGCTGGCAACTTCGATGTTGCGGCGAGGCTGGCACAGGCAAGGTACGCCTTCGGGTGTACATTTCCCCAAGTATGGAATGATCGCCTTTACTAATTCTATTCATCAACCAGACCAATCTCTGTGCTATAGTGGTTCACCACCTCCAAACGGCTCTTGATTCACCAAAACCAGTCATCTATCTTTATCTAAGTGATGATGAACATAGACGAGTCAACCAAACACCAGACCGTCTTCTGGGTAGCATGCTAAAGCAGCTAATCTTGTGCGATCCCAACGTCGATATACCACCGAAGCTCATAGAGGCGTACCAGGGTCGTGGCAATGGAGCACTTTCGACTAGAGACATCATGAAGCAGACGTTCCAGGACTTAGTGGCCAAACAGGATCGCGTATATCTTATAGTTGACGGCCTGGATCAATGCTCTCCGGAGGTTTTAGAGCTTATCAAGGAATATGCCCTGGGGCTCATTCAGGATGGCCTTCCCTTGAGTTTGCTTACCACCTCACTGGGATACCGAGAAGTTAACAGTGCCATCTATTGCAATCACTGCCTCAGAGAAGACCTTCAGATATATTTTAATTGCGAGTGTAAGGATGGACTATTTGACTTGTGTCTGGACTGCAAACAACAAGGGATCACCTGTCCCAAGAAACACGATGGCGAGGAGCTATATGACACAGTGCGAGTGGAGATATGTGTTCAAGATGACGAGCTCCAGGAATATTGTCACGAGATGATCACTCGAGCACTGAAAACGTGCCGTGATCGACGTGATAAACGCGTGCATCCGTCGCCGAAGTATAACTCCCGGGGCGTTGCGCGATACCTATGCGATAAGCCCGACCTAGTTAACCGTATGTCTCGAGTGATTGCAATAAAAGCAAGACGCAATTTTATCATTGCGCAGGCTTGGATAGAGAAGCTGTTTGACGAGGACAAGGAGCCAGAGAACGACCAGAAAGCGCTTCAGCCCCTGATCGACATACCACTCGAACCTTTGACCGCGTACTTTGATGAACGGATTGAGAAGCTCAAGAGGTACAAGAAAGCGAGTCAGCTACATGTAGCATTCATGACATTTGCCTTGATGATGTCGGCTCGTCGGGATCTAACCATACTGCAATTGCGGCATGCCTTGGCCCTCATTTCAGGCAAAGTCGTGAAGTCAAACCTAAACGATAGGACTTTCATCTTGCAGTCGACAAATGGGTTAATTACCATTGACAAAGCTGACGAGCCGCACTCTTTCGTACGATTTTTTCACGTTGCACTGTCAGCTGTGCTCGCCAAAAGTGACCATCATCCATCTTTGAAGCGGGCAGAGTACGAGATGGCAAAGGTTTGCCTGAAGTACTTACAGGACGAGGATTCTTTGAAGCACTATGATAATATCACGGCATATCCTTTTCTGCCCTACGCTCTACGATTTTGGGGAGACCACGTTCGCAAAGCGAACGATCGGGGGATTGAGGAGGAAGCGGTTCGGTTTCTCAAAGATCCGGTTCAATTTGCACGGCTCATACGAGAAGCCGCGAAGCATGGTCCGAAGGCGTCTGCGGAGTGGATTCATGAAGCTGCGGATGTTCTTCATCTTTGTGCTTGGTTCGGTTTAGCCAATATGGTCAATCTCCTGATTACTGAAAACTATGATGTCGGCGTACGTGATCATAAATACAGCCGTACTCCCTTACGATACGCTTGCATCAATGGCCATGTCGAGACAGTAGAAGGCTTATTGAAGCACAACTCTCCAGTGGAGGAGGAGGCAGTGGTCGACGCTATGTGTGGTTTAATTTGTGCGGATCGTTGCGAACAGGAGAGGCGGCAACGGATTGTTGAAGAGCTTCTGGAGACAGGCAATATCAACACCAATGCCGGATTGGGCGTAAAGAGCCGAACGGTCCTCATGCTTGCGCTGGGCCACGGTCATTATGACTTCGTTGAGTTGTTCCTAAGTCATAAATCAATCGACGTCGACACTCAGGATTCGAATGGCTTTACTGCATTAATGTTTGCGGTATATGCAGAGGAGGGCGTTACGATCGAAATAATCGATAGTATGGCAGACGATGTACAAATTGTGCCTTATGAATTTTTCAACGAGATCCGCTACGAGAGATACAGATGCCCGGGGCTTGTCAAATTATTATTGCGAAAGGGTGCTAACCCAAACATGAGAGACAACGCCGGTAACTCGACCTTGATATGGGCCATCAGACTGGGCGGGCTGGATGCTGTACAAACCCTCCTCGAGTGCGAGAGGTTAGACCTGCAAGCTGAAAAGGAGCTTATCCACACAGCGAGCGCAATGGGCCACCCCGAGATTATCCATTTACTCCACTCGGCCCTTTCGCAGAGTAACAGGTTCCATGTCTATAACATAAACACCCAAGACAAACGCGGATTGACACCACTACACTATGCTAGCCTTTCGAACAGCGCACGTGCAGGTGAAGTGGCAGAGATGCTGCTCGAGCTGGGCGCAGATCCCAACCTCACAGACGCCAGGAGCTGTACACCTTATATGATGGCTTCCCTTCTTCAACAGACACAAGTCATAAAGGTGCTACAGAGCAAAACCACATCACTCAATGGGGAAACCAGAAGCATGTTGGATCTTCCTGCTTTGACCCTCGCCAAACATGGCCATTGGGAATTGCTTCGAGAAGTAATTACCTCCGGGAGGACTGACCTTACATACAAATGCATGTTGAGTGGTGATACCCTGGTACACATGGCAACGGCGGCCAATGAAACTGATATTTTGCGCTTACTTCTCAGCAAATTCAACTTGCGACCAGACATTGCAATCAATGAGCAAGGACGTACGCCACTGCATCTGGCGAGCAGTGTAGAAATCGCCACGTTATTAGTCGAGAACGGCTACCATATCGACTCAACGGATTTTAATAATGATACACCATTGGACATTGCGCGTCGATGGCCTGGAATCTGTGATGTCGCTGACTATCTTGAAAATGAGCTAAAGATGTCCGAGCAAAAGCACGGTATGGAGATATGGGTGCAAAAGATTAAAGGTGGAATTGTGACAGTGTTGAGCGAGCTCACTGTGACTGTTCATGATCGTGGTTTGACTTCGGGCAATTGGACTGGGCGACTGAAGCGTTGTAGCCTCCACCTACTGCTAAGTACCCTTCTTTTACTTATAATGTATATATAACTACTCGGTACTAGAATTGTTTCCCTGTTGCAATAGAAATCGAGTCTTCTTTGGAGATCCTAACGCCCCCTTTCCGACCTGTTTCTCAATGGTGGAAATGAACTATTCCATATCGCCTGTAACCTTTCGATTGCAGGATATGTTCTATCGCAGCTGAGCGTCGTATCCATCTAGGCAGAAGTATTGGGTTTTCAATAACTGGACTTTGTTGTTGAAAGCCTTAATAATAAGGCCTACATGTTGAATCGTGATCTGAGAAGCCGTCATTATTATTACCGCTTCACTGACCGCCTTTATTTCTTCTGCATAATTTCATGACTCAAGGTAAGTTCTACGGTTAAGCGTAATACCACAGGCGCAGGAGCAGAATTGAATGCTGATTGGTCAAAATATATAATGTTCTGATTGGTTGTTAAAGCGTTTTTCCCCCCATCCACAGTGCCTGAGGCATCGGTCGGGACAGCTGCCAGTCACTTGAGCTGGCAGCCCCTAGTATGGGGTTCTTGATCGACAAGGGTAAACAAATGTCCTCTGTAACTATTAGGATACAGCCACTATTAAGCCAACTTGTAGAGCAATCGTTAACTACCATCAACGGCCTGCAAAATCCTATAGCCGTGGCCTTAGTTTTCGTGTTCCTCAAAATCAGAAAACCTTTAATTTTACACAAAATAACAGCGAGTATACTGCTATCAAGTTGGCCGGGCGAGAGAAGCCTGCCAACCTTGCGCCGAAAAACTCTAGCTTGTTTGGAATGTCGATAAAGTAGGATGTAAGAGTCATCAAAATGGCAAAAAGGAAAGAATTTTTCCCCTGGCGACCTCTCGCTTACATAGGAGATCCATGACAGCCCAGCGCCATATCTAACTAGACCATCGGGGGCTTGCAGTATGAAATTTCTTGGCTCTTTAATGTACTCTAACCGCAGTCGGTTGCTAGAAACATCCAGTCTTGGGGTTGGTCTTATCGATAGCTGATAAGCCTGCGATAAGCGATATAAGATGTAATATGAACCCTAACGTTCACCAATATATCACTTGTGACCGTCGAGCTTTACATCTGGTGAGGGTTTTTTAAATTTTGGGACTGGCCCTAGTGGTTACCGTTACTGAATTTAATATTTTGTACACTATACTCAAGTCTGTGGTCTGCTTTGGGGGATTCGGTCGCATTCAGGTGAAACTGTAGCTACAAGATATATATTCCCACCGGAGGTATATTGACCGCAAGGAGATTGCGTCAGCCTACCACGAAAGTTCACCCTACTCAAAACCGGATAAACCTTATAGATACTGAGGAACTACACACCGAGCGATAAATGTCTGTTTGGCCCTAGAATGGGTTACAATTCTACTAGAACCTCAGGGTCTCATGACGACTCTGGTATTTACGCAAACCCTTGCGCCTTTCATGTGTGTCCTCTGTACAGGCCAGTGACGCTGATTACAAATGATAGACCATTCGTCAAACAAGCGTCTAAAGGCAAAAACTATACTTCACTATCACTTCACATGACCACATCGACTACAGATTACAGCTACGTTGGGCAGTAGTAATCCGACGAATATCGGCATACCGAGCCTCGGCCCGATGGGAACTGGAAGCTATTTGGCATTAGACAAAACATAGCATAGCTTAGCGAACGACGAGCCGAAAAAGCCTTATGCCGAGAACAAATCAGATGAAATTGAGCATCTCTTCTAAGCGAGCACGTCGACCAATTGCTATTCTCAGCTAGAATCGATGCCGGAACAGCAAGAGTACCGAACATCAGAGAACTACTATGCCAAGCCATGGATGAACAAGCGGAGCCTTGAAAACTCTTCCTCACTGTTCATTGGCTAATTGAGCACAAGCGCGCAGGCAAACAGGCCAAACACACATGATCTCGCTTCCCACTAGCGCGCGCACTAGCAGGAGGCGTCGAGTATAAATACCGGCGGTTTCCCATTCATTTCGAAAATTAAGCGACTCTACGTAAGTTCATCCCCTCCCTACATTTGGGATTTCCAGCTCAAAACGATGAGCTAATGAAGAATGCCTGCTAACTATCTTGCCTACAGTTCAAAGAATCACTTTAGAGTAGACGTCCCACCTCTGAACTCTTCTAAAGAGCTACAGAATCTCCACCCTTGCTGATGACTTCTATGTCCTCAATGCCCTAAAGTGAAGCCGTGTTTACTCCCGCCTCGACGGCTGGTGTCTGCGAACGACTTGCTTCGGTGAGCTTGTTCGAGTGCCTTCCGTCCAGGGAGTGGTGATGATCTTTACCTTGTCTCGATGTCTTGACTTCGGTCGGTCGGACTTGGTGGGTGTTGAGGAGGTCTGAAAGGTGTTTTGCTCCCATTTTCTTTTTCACTTTTCTGTTGGTGAAATGGTGATCGGACCTTGGAGTTTTATCTATATACCCATATTTGCTCAAATGAAATGATTATCTTCTGAAACCTCTCCACATTTTGTAGACCATGTACTTAGACCCCGTCATCGAGGTAGCTTTGCAACAGCGTCTCTGGAATGGCCATCTGAAGTACTTGTAGGAACCCCATCATGTGCATTTGGGCAGCTGTCGTGCGTCGTTTGTCGGGTGCTTGAGATTGCCCACTGGCGTGTGCCGTCTAATTTCTAGATCGTAGCGCATTACTATTCCTCTAAGGGTATCTATGAACGTTTCTTACAGCATGACAATTCATGAATATCATTTAGCCTCCTTGGCGGTCCCCTCGGGCGCAATTGCATTGGCGTTACCTCCACCGCTTCCCTTCCCACCACCACCACCACCACCGCCTTTCTTCGATCGCCCGCCGCGTCCACGCGACGATCCCGAGCCACCCTCAGTCGCTTTACCCCCGCGACCCCCATTGGTATTGCTGTTGCTGCTGTTATTGTTGCCATTGGCGCTGGTAGCCTGAGCCTCATTGCGATTCTTGCCACGACCTTTCTCTCCTCCAGGGTTAATCTTGCGTTCCAGCACCACAACTTGGCTTTGGGCGACTGATACTGGGCTGGCGGCGATTGCTTTTTGTAGTCCGTCTGGCTCTGCAAAATCAATATATCCAAAGCCCTTCTTCTTATCGATTTCCACCTTCACCACCTTGCCGAACGTCTTAAACGCCGCTTCTAACAATGGCTCCGTCACCCCCTGCGAGGGATTGGCATGCTTCAGGAAAGCTTGTGTGGATGTAGAGGCTGCGGGCGGTGCCTGTTTCCCTTTTGATTTCGAAGATTTACCCGAGATGGGCGTAGTGCTAGCGGGAGGTGTGTTCGCTTCGGACTGGGATGTCAACTCATTGACCTGTGGTACGTTTCCCTTGGCCTTTGCGTTCTGTGACGAGGCGCCTCCTCTCGATGATTTCGGAGGGGTCTCCTTCTTGCCTGATTCGGCACTAGTCGCTTCAGCTTTGGATGCGTCCGTCTCCGCCGAACCGCCCTTGCCCCCCTTGCGGCGACCGCCGGATGGTGCTAGGCCTAAGTCTCGCTGGAGAATCTTGGCTGCGGCCGCAACGCTTCCTCGTTCTCGTCTGCGCTCCGTGGTTGGGGTAGACTGTCCAGTGTCCTTCGGTGAGTTCTGTACGGCGGAGGCCTTCGCGGCATGTTTGGCGACATTGGCAGCCTGCTTGTTAGCTGCCCTCACTGCGTCCTTGGTGGCTTTATCCGCCTTGGATTTCTTTTCATTCTTCTCCGGGGCCTGTGCCGTTTCCTTATCCGGCCGTTGTAACAGTTTCTTTGCTTGAACCTTTTCTGCCTTGGTCTCCTTATCCGCTTTGGAGTGCTTTGAGGATTTACTGGAACTCTCCTTCGCTTTGTTCGCCTTCTTCTCTTTGATATATTGCACTAAGGGTGTAGTGGTCACGGTCTCCTTCTTCTCATCCGCATCAGTGGTATTCTCGACCGTAGGCGGTTTGGTGATAGGCTGTGTAAGACTTTCGAGAAAGGCAATGAAATCGGGGTCTTGGTCAATAGTTCCTTGGCGAGCATCTTTTCGTACACGGCTTCCTGGAATTTTTGCATACGGCGCATATTCCACGGAGGGAGGGCCCAGCAGAATGGGGTCGTTGAAGGTGTTTCGAGCGTCTGTGAAAGATACCTGACGAACCTTATTCGAGAATGGAATAATATGATCGCTCGACACAACGTGAACGTAGGCACGCGATGGTCGCGACGGCTTCGCTGGACTGTTTCCCAAATTAGCACTCGACAATCTATATCACAAGTCAATTAGTCGGGCACCCACTCCTTAGAGACCTTGCCCGGCTTATATTGAAACCAATCGATCTTTCCCGCTCCAGTTTTCCATTCAGGCCCTACAGCAGTCTCAAACTCTGTCTGCGTTAATCCCGGAGGTAGTCTCCGCACTAGGAGCTTGAGTCGTGGTGCAGCCGGTTTGGGTGCCTTCTTTGGCGCGGGGGCGGTGGCAGTGTTGGTGGTGTTCTTCTGTGTTGCGGCGATAGGGATTTGGAGGACACCTCCTGTTGATTTACCAGCTGAAATCTGCGTCATGATGTAGAGCGTGTCAGAGATCTACACTCCGAAAGGAGTGAGATTGCGGGGGAGGGGTTCTCGAAGATGGATGCAAGACCGAGTTGGCGAAACGGGGCTGTGAAAGAGATGGGAGGGAGACAAGAGGAATGGAACCTCCAAGATGGGAGTCGACACCGAGACTCTGGCGAAGCAAATAAGCGACAGAATGAAATGGGGGAAGAGAGACTCCGTGAACAGCAAAAGCATGGCAAGTCGGTTACGGGACACCAGAGCGACCAATCACGCGACCTCGAGATACCCAACCACGTGTGGGGAAAAGCGTCACTTGATCTTGATTAATGATTCAATCCAACCTTTGCGACGTTCTAGATATTCGCCCCTGCTGCAATTAGACGGCCCTCTTTTAATCCTTCCTTTCCCCTCTTTTTGATCGTCCAGCCTCTATCTTCTCTCCTTCTGTCGATCTACCCCTCAGTTCCCCCCCTTTCTCTCAGCGCTTTCGACTCTCACCATGGTCGATAGTAAAGTCCCACAGCCAGGACCTGCCAAATTAAGGCGCAATGCCGGTCCCGACGAATGGCTAGAGGCTGCAAAAGATTGCAAGTATCTTTCAGAGCAACATATGAAACAACTATGTGAGATTGTGAAGGAGTACATGATGGAAGGTAAGCAGCCCGTCGAATGAGATCCGTGCTTGTTCCTCCGAGGCTCACTTTTGCGCGCGCTTAGAATCGAACGTACAACCGGTCTCGACGCCCGTCACAGTCTGCGGAGATATCCATGGCCAATTCTACGATCTACTGGAGCTGTTCCGCGTCTCGGGCGGCATGCCGGACGAGTCTATGGTCGAACCCCCGAAAACATCACCGTCTGTGATCACTTCAGCTGATATCGAGCCTCCCTCGGAAATTACGGACCCCAAACTGCGGAAAAGGCTGAGAAACTCTGGATCGCATTCGGAAGGTGGTGACGAGACGAGCTCACAAAGAGAGCGTTCTTCAAGCGCCGGATCGAACGAGGTGACGCTGAATCGGAATTTCGTCTTTTTGGGTGATTATGTCGACCGAGGATACTTTAGTCTGGAGACTTTGACATTATTACTATGCTTGAAGGCTAAGTTAGTCATTCTCGTGCTCGGCCTTTTGGTGGAACTGATACTAACGAATCCTTCGGCAGGTATCCGGATCGAGTAACGCTGGTGCGCGGGAATCACGAGTCCCGGCAGATCACGCAAGTCTACGGCTTCTACGAAGAGTGTTTCCAGAAGTACGGCAATGCATCGGTCTGGAAGGCCTGTTGTCAGGTCTTTGACTTCATGACACTTGGTGCTATCATTGATGGCAGGGTGCTCTGTGTACATGGTGGCCTAAGCCCGGAGATCAGGACCTTGGACCAAGTTCGTGTAGTGGCAAGGGCCCAAGAAATTCCGCATGAGGGTGCTTTCTGCGACCTGGTCTGGTCCGACCCTGATGATGTAGAGACATGGGCAGTCAGCCCAAGAGGTGCTGGTACGTCACTTTCAATTCACGAGACGCTGGGCCTTTTAATGACTAATGCATATGTAGGCTGGCTCTTTGGAGACAAGGTGGCAGATGAGTTCTGTCACGTTAATGATCTGACACTAATCGCCCGTGCGCACCAACTGGTGAACGAGGGATACAAATACCACTTTGCTAACCAAAACGTGGTGACGGTGTGGAGTGCACCTAACTACTGCTACCGATGTGGCAACCTGGCATCGGTTTGTGAGATCGGTGAGGACCTCAAACCGACATTCAAGCTCTTTAGTGCTGTCAGCGATGACCAACGGCATGTGCCCACCTCGCGGCCGGGCCGTAGCGAGTACTTCCTGTAAATTATTGCATGGTCTGATTTTCGTTGCACAGTTTTGTTTTTGGGCATATGGAAGGGCATACTGTGACATGGTGAATATTCGATTTACACCCGGCGCTGGCGTTCGGAGAAACCGTTCATGTGATATGCTCTGCAGAGAGTGACAGATGATAGGCACGTTATATAACGATATTAGAGCACATTTAACGATGGTCATGCTTGGAAATTAGGACGCATGTTGGATATTTCGTCAAATGAAGTTTCATGAAGTATCAACTCGGCCAGTGGTGACATATGGCGAACAAGGACTACCCTTACCGGGAAGCCCTCCTTCAGTAAGCGAAACCCGCTAATTTGTCCGTATTCTCATCCCCAGCGCATCTCCTCCACATGATGGGCTGATATGTATCTTTTCTCCACAGCCGGGGCGGAAATGGTGGAGGAAGAAGAAGACCCTGGCCGAGGGCTGTGATGATTTGCCGTGCGGATGCCGACCCCGGAATCCATCCCGTGCATACCCCGGGATACCCCGGGATGCATTCCGGATCCCCCAAATTTAAGAGACCGATGACTGCACATGCCAGGCAAACGGAGAGTTTCCCAATTCATTGAAGTATTACCCCTATTTTCACTCTAAAGCGCCGAAGGGTACTCGCATACTCGCCGAGGTAGTCATGGTCGAGAAAGTTGACGTCCTTATCTGCGGAAGCGGATCCGCAGGCCTCTGCGCTGCCACATGGCTCGCGCGCTGTGGGATCCGTTGTAAAGTGCTTGAGCGCCGCGACGGCCCTATGACCATGGGGCAGGCGGATGGCGTTCAGTGCCGCACCGTGGAGATCTTTGAGAGTTTCGGAATTGGCGAAGAGTTGCTGCGCGAGTCCTACCATGTCCTGGAGGTTGTATTCTGGGCTGCCGATGGTTCCGGCGATATCAAACGTACTGGTCGGACGGCAGATACACAGCCAGGGCTATCACATCAGCCGCATGTGATTTTGAACCAGGCCCGTATTAATGGGTTATTCATCGAGTCTATGCAGCGGTTCAATGACCAAATAATCGATTATGGGTTTGACATCAAGAACGTTGAGGTTGATAGCTCGCTCGTCAATGACCCACAGTCGTATCCGGTGAAGGTGACGGCTGAAAAGGAAGGGAGAACTGAGGTCTTCGAGGCGAAATATGCTCTTGTATGTTTAACTCGTTTTCTCCAAAGTGTTGTCCTCTCTCGTGTTCTAACGTTCTTTGCTATAGGCGTGTGACGGCGCACACAGTACTGTCCGTCGCTCACTGGGTTATAAAATGATTGGTGACAGCAGCGACGCAGTCTGGGGTGTTATGGATATGGTACCCCGGACGGACTTCCCAGATATCCGGAAGAAGACCACCGTCCGCTCCAAGGCGGGTAACCTGTTGATCATTCCTCGTGAAGGCGATGCCCGCAATTTAACACGGTTTTACATCGAGCTGCCTGCAGGGACCAAGGCCAAAGAAGTCAAGCTAGAGGATCTACAACAATCTGCTAAGGCTATCCTTAGTCAGTACAGAATCGAGTTCGCCGAGACGGTGTGGTGGTCCGCCTATGCTATTGGTCAGCGCCATGCGGACTTCTTCCATAGGGATTACCGCGTCTTCCTGGCGGGTGATGCCTGTCACACCCATTCTCCCAAGGCCGGCCAGGGCATGAATGTCAGCTTGCAGGATGGATACAATATCGGCTGGAAGTTGGCCGCTGTCTTGAAAGGATTAGCGCCTCCGTCCTTGCTAGAGACGTATGTTGTTGAGCGACAGAAGGTAGCTATTGATCTGATCAATTTCGACCGATATTTCTCGAAGCTTTTCTCGTCTGGTGGGCAGACCTCCCCAGCTGAGTTCCAGGAAGGGTTCATTAAATCCGGGAAATATACTGCTGGCTTGACGGCCAAATACGATAGCTCTGCGATCACATTCCACACAGAGGGATCAGAACAACTTTCTACTAATATTGTGACTGGCATGAGGTTACCCAGTTCCCAAGTGGTGCGGTACTGCGACTCAAAACCCGTGCAGTTGATGACAGCTTTGAAGTCGGATGGCCGCTGGCGAGTCATGGCCTTTGTGGGTGACATTAGCAAACCTGAAAACAAGTCCAAGCTGAACGCAGTAAGTTTGGAGGTATTCCATTCATCTTCCGTGCACTGACTGACATACGCAGCTTGGAAACTACTTAAGCTCAGATGAGAGCCCATTGCACCGCTTCCGCCAGAAAGATGCCGACATTGACAGCGTGATTGAGCCTATCCTAGTGGGCTATGGGAAGCGACACGGTATTGAACTGGAAGAAATCCCAGAGGCTTTCCACCCAATCACCGGAAAGAATCAAATCAGAGGTACTAAGGAACTCCCGCCCCCGGCAAGTATGTGGCGTAAAGCTCACTTGATGAATAGATCTGCACAAAATCTACTTCGACGACGAAAGTTATAATAAAGGTCACGGCCGTGTATACGAGTACCTCGGTATTGGCCCCGAGAAGGGCGCAATTGTGATTGTCAGGCCAGATCAATGTACGTTTTGCCCCCTCCATTCTATATTTGAACGACAATAATTGATTAAAATAGATGTCTCCGCCGTGATCGGACTAGACGATTACCAGCAGATAGGCCAATTCTTTGAAGGGTTTTTAATTCCTCAGGGGGAAAGCGCTGTACCGGGGAGCAAATTATAAGGTGTTGCTTGCATTGAATGAGCATCCTATGTGATGTATAACCCATTTAGATATGAAGATCACGAACAATGAAGAGCCTTCTATATGCCTACGCACTTGTATCCCACTCCCTTTAATTCACCCACCGTAGGAACAATAAGGCAAGGCCTCCCGATACACCATCCTCTCAGATCCAGTAACTCCCTCTCCGGATGGATCCCTCTTCAATAAGAATCTCTCAACCTGGGCATCGCCAAACCCCAAACAACTCGCTCGCCGTCTCCGAGACTCAATCAATCGCCCACCACCCTGACTACTAACATCCTCCGCAGGAAATTCATCCTTGTAATTCTGAGTCGTGAGGAAGCAAGCTTGCATAAACGCCCCAACAACGAATAACAATGTAATCAATCGTCGATGCTGCAAATCCTGCTCCAAACCGGATCTACTTCGTGCTGGGATCCGAGAATCATGTCTCCCTTTGGAACCTGTCCATCCGATGTGGTTATCATATGTTGATAGAACTAGTTGGGAGAAATGCAATCGGACTTCCTTGGGAAGAGACGAGTGGGTGTCGTGCCATGTGTTTCGCTGGTGTTGACGTATGAGGTCGTCTCGTGCTTGGTTGTATAGCTCTGCTTGGCGCCGGGCTAGGATGGGATACGGCGCTAGGCTAAGTGGTGAGGATAGTCGGGGGTGATCTTTTATTAAGATTGATGGTTTTTCTGGAATATTGTAGGTATTGGTCTTTGAAATGCATGGAGTTTGCGAATAGGGCCTGGTGTAGCCCGGGAGGTGCTTTATAGGGAGGACTGTATGTGGCGAGCACGATATCTTTTTGAGATACATTGCCGTGGATGGGATGCTTCGTTATGCGTATCACAAAGATGGGTATATGCTGGCGATATAGAACTGATTTCACCACAAAACGCTGCAGAGTACAGTGGCTATAGCCATGTGGGGTCCTGAGCCTGGAGTGGGATAAGATGGAGGAGGAGAGGGGTTTGTGTATGCATCGTGCTAATCAGAGAAGAATATGACACAGTTGGCATGTGAAGCTGAGAGAGCTTTGGGGAACCTGGAGGATCGCATCGTCACCATGTTCTGGGAATCTGGCTGGTAGAGTAAAAGGTTGTCTGTACCAACCTGTAAGAGAGTGGAGTGGAGGTTGGAACTTTTCTCAATGCTCAAAAATAAGAAAAAGAAATGTTACCTATACAACGAAGAAGAGCAGAGTTACAATTAATTGGCTTGTGGACTCATATCACCCTTGCTTGGGGCTGAGAATATTTGAGAAGATTATTCATGTTGCATTCTATATGCGGGTTTAAGGGGCTTATAGGACGCCAACGCTACAGTCCAACTATTGCACGCTCAAACATCTCAACAACTAGGTATATCCTGAGTCTGAGCTCTGCACGAATATGACTTAGGCTTGTCCATGATGACTAGTGTAGTGCTGGCATTGTCTTTTCCACTATTGGGTTTATCTTGGACAAACAAATTTCATCGATGCTGCCGTGAATTCCCATACGTCTACTCCAGAGAAGCGCAATCTAGCTTCAAAATTCCAAATATTCTCTACCTACCCCCCTCAGGAATTTTTGAAGATTTCACACACAGTTACGAGATGTTTGATTATCCACACGGGAATGAAGGGAGAATAAGATAGAATCCAAATGTCATGTTATCATCCATCGTGGCATGATCCATCCTGCCAACCCGGTGATTGCTGAGTAAATCTCCCCATCGTGAGTTCGCCCACAATGATGCCAGCCAGGACTGCGCACAATATGCCAATGTTGAAAGTCATGACTGCCAACATTCTGAGAAAATCAATTAGCTTTTAGTAACAGTATATCAATGGCGCGTCACTCACAAGACATAGCCCAGCAGCGCACGAAGGCCCTCTAGTAGTGATCGTCCTCCATCTTGCTGCCAACTCCATGGGCCACTTGGAGTCCACTTCCCAAAAAGTATCGTGAACCACCTCCGGAACCAGGACAGCCCTGCGCGGCCAGATACCAGCTCGCTCTGCTCATCGTCACGCAAGGGTGGAGGAGAGGGAGGCGGTGGCAATGGTCTTTCGAATGGATCGTTCGTGTTGACTTGTATGTACTGCGGAAGAGGGCTCGCTCGATCTTTGGGGATCTTTCTGTGTCGATATGCGGGTGGTTGTCCTAGAATTGGTACGGGAATTCCAGACATGCGGGCTGAGTTCATCTTATGTTCTATTTGGAACTTGAGTGCCCCAAGGAAACGGTTGAACAAGGCAAGCAGAAATAAAAATGCCAGCGTGAGGAGATACGTGGCCATGGAGTTGGTCGTCCAGATGCTGAAGAATAACGTTACTTTCGTCCCCGTTGTGAAGATGGCGGGCATCGACATGTCATGGTGGCCGTGATCATGGCCATGGCCATTTGTCTCATTTTGCATGTTTGTATTCATACAATTCCGCAGGCAAAGAAATGAATAACATTCGGGTTTCCGGTGAGCTGGTGGAGTTCCAGTTTATAATGTAGGTGGAATGGAGTGCTGGGCACATGTCTCCTAAGGCTCGTTTAGTGTTATATGGTCTGATTGATAAATATCATCAGCACTACATAAGCTGAGGTTATCCGAGATCTTTATTGGATACTATCTGCAATGTTTGTACATGCAGCGCCATCTGGTCCTTCTCACCGACAGAAGGTTCGTTTGAATCATCTCCTTGCTGCAGAGGCTTTACCCGCCATGCAAAGTGTAAATGACTATATACCAAAGTGTCGCCAGAATACATCTGTAGACCAGTATGAGTTTGAGACCCTGTAATACATTACGTCTTAATTGTATTGGCCATAAAAGGCCTCATTTTCACTCATGTAAAGCATGGCTTAGCGGTCCTGCTGATCCTGAGTTATCAGCGCAAATATGCTCACTGTCTCCACCACCATTTTCGAGTCATTTTATAGGCACAAATTGGTCGCGATGGACATCAAAGATACGGAGTATATAGTAGATACTTAATACGTTGCATTTTTCCATATATATATCTTAACTTTGTCTATCCTCCATTGAGCGCAACGCATGCCGGTTCATCTCTCCTCTACAACTCAATGTTAATATGACCCTCAAAACCAGAGCAACGATCCGTTCCCTATTCTGGACCGATTACTTCTTCTCCAATGCATATATCACTCATATAACCCGACAAACCCCGTCCAGATCGCTGTGGGGATGGACGGCTACCGAAAAGCGACATAGGTATCTAATAACTTACTGCCCGACCAGACAGAATCTTGACATTGGTTGTGCTGACTTGTCAAAGAATCCCATTTTTCAAGACCAACTAGTGCGAGTATGCAGGTTGTTCAATGTGATGGTAACGACCTTTCTTCCTCTTTTCTCTCAAACGTGTGCTTTTATTCTTCTTTCGTCTAATTCTATGGTATTTGATTACATGTATAGCAAGGCCCAAAATAGTCTCATTCTTTACAAGTCGCTTAGATACCCACCCCCCGTGTTTTCAATGTTGCTCACTTATCTCCCCAGATATAGAATATGGCTCATCCAAGCTTGGAGCTCTGTTGGACTGCTAGCTGAGTAGAACTGAGCAGAACAATCCTACCCCTCGGTCGCTTACACCGTAGAATGACTTGATGTGATATGTGTAGTGGAAACCTTTTTGACGCTCATGAACCCATCTGTCTGCTGAGCAGGGAAAGAGTTCACGAGGGGGATGACATTTGCAGAGGAGAAAGACGACCAAGGCGAATAAATTGTTCAGTACAATCAACCGTCTCAAGATGTGCCAGCTGCAGGCGGTAGATACTAATTTGGAAGCTTAGAAATATGATATTGGGTGTCCATAATCATCCAAGGATAAAACTAGTTCTAGTAAAGGAAGACTACCTTTACTACCCTTCTAACTGAAGATCGATAACATGCCCTGAAGATGACATGACGTTCTTGGCTGGTATATATACACATATGTCTTCACTTATCCTGCCCGTTCCAGGTATATATTTATACCATGGCCCACAGGCTTGAATTAATATTGTTAAAGCTTATCGTCTGCTAAGGCTCCATCGTCAAGGACACCTCCCGAGTATAAATAGAACAACGACCGTATTCATGAACCAGAATGCCAATCACATACAGAATGTGGGGTACTTATCGTGCTTTATGAGTCATCCGATCTCCGTAAACCCTAGGCATAAATAAAACACAAAATATATTTAATTGAATACTATCAACGTCAATCCCGAATTATTTATCCCCACAACCCGACATCTATTGACCCATTAAACAACCAAACCAGACAATAAAAGTTATCCGAAGGATGTCTCATAATCTCACTTTCACCATCCCACCTCATCTAGATGAGTACAACATCCCCCTCGCCAGCTTCAAAGCCGCCAGGCCGCAATGGACCAACTTCATAGTCGGGGGACTGGTCTTCTCTCGTGATTCCCAAAACAAAAGCAACGAGGGAGGCGAACCAAGAGTCCTCCTGCTCCAACGTGCTTTGACCGATTCTCTGCCCGGTTACTGGGAAGGCCCCGGTGGAGGCTGCGAGGAGACGGACGAGACGATTCTCACAGCCGCTGCGCGCGAAGTCGTGGAGGAAAGCGGGTTGCATGTGTCGAGGATTGTGGATTTGGTCGGAGTCGAAGAATGGACGAAAGAGAAGAATGGGACGATGTCATTTGTGGCCAAGTTTACGTTCTTGGTGGAGGTTCATGAGGCTCAAGGCGTCTTTGGGGAGATGGCTGGGAGAGAAGGCGAGAAGACGGTTGAGGTTGAAGGAGATGCTGTGCAGCGGTGGGAGGACCGAGTCCGACTGGAGCCGAGTGAGCATTCAGCGTACGAGTGGGCGACGGAAGAGCAGGTGAAGTTGGGATTGGACGGAAAGGGGAAATATAAAATTTTGGAGGACGAGGGTAGGAATCTTATGAAGGCATTTCGAATGGTGGCTCAATGATTTCTAGTATGGATGGAGGCATCCGTGCTACAGTTTGAAGAACATAGAGTGATGAGAGACGTTAATGGAAACCAAGCATAATGTTTTTAGAGCCTACTAAACTATAGGTATGTACTAAGGTCTTGCTGAATTCATTCGACGGAGTGACCAAGTGCTTGGTATAATATGATGTATAGCCATAGTTACACATATTTGGAGGACAGTGGTAAAGAATATGTATCCACAGATAGGAAAGCGGGACAAGACTTTGGGTGGGCCGTGTTTACGCCTCAGAAAGATCATCCTCCAGAGGGAGAGCTCCGTTAGCTTGCTTCTCAAGAGCAATACGGTCTACTTCTTTCCAAACGCGCAGTAAGTTACCTCCTACTACCTTGCCAGCATCCTCATCACTGACACCCCTTCTGAGGAGTTCGGCAACCAAGTCTGGAAATTTGGAGACGTCGTCCAGGCCGCGAGGAACAGAGCCGATGCCGTCAAAGTCGCTTCCAAACCCAACATGGTCAAACCCGATCAGATGCCCGATATGCATGATGTGGTCGGCAACATGCTCTAAAGTAGAATTTTCGGGGACAAAGTCAGGCAGACCATTCGGGTTATTACCAGCCTTGCACGAGACGAAGTCTGGGGCAATGTTAACCATCACCAGCGAATTTCGTGATTTGACCAGCTTCAGTACATCGTCGGGAACGTTACGTGGATGAGGGCAGATGGCATATGCGGAGCTATGACTGAAGATGACCGGCGCACTACTGCCCGCCCAGTCGTCCTTGCCTGCGCCCAGCACGTCTCGCATAGTCTCGGCGCTTACATGGGACAGGTCAACAATCATCCCGAGGCGATTCATCTCGGTAACGAGGGCCTTTCCAGCTTCACTGACACCGTGCCAAAAGGGGTCAGCTTTCTTCACGCTGCCGTCCGGGAGCTCGGTGACGGCAGCATCAGCGTAACGGTTGTGGCAGTTATGGGTCAGCGTCGCATACGATACGCCCTGCGCGTAGAAATGACGTAGATGGGCAAGTGAATTCCCAATGGAGTGGAGGCCCTCCATTCCCATCGGCGAGATGATCTTCCCGTCCAGGAAGGGCTGAAGAGCTGTGGTACCATTTGGGGGCGTGGAGAAGGTGTCCGGATAGGCTTGCTGTAGGCGGAGCCATAAGTCTACCTGCTCCATTGTCTGGCGTACACCTGATAGATATTAGTCAACTGTGATTGGAGAGATACGCCGAGAACTTTTTTTACTTAGAGCGTAGTTGGCATTAGAAAAGTCCTGCCAATCTTTAGGACACTCCACAAACACGCTCCAGAACGTGCCACCAACTCTGCCCTTGGAAAGACGAGGCAGATCAACGTGTCCGGGAAAGTCACCATGAGTGAATTTCGTAGTGAAATTGTCCTGATAAATTTGGTTCCCATACATGAGGCGGATGAGAATGGGAAGATCATCATGACCATCTGCACTTTTTGCTTTAGCAAGTTGACATTCAAGTAGCTGACGGTCGTTGTATCTTACCGATCAATGGAGTTTGATGCAATATACGGTCTACTCTTTGTTCAAGGGTCAAGGGTTTATGATGTTGTGAGATGCCTATCCCTAGGGGTTCCAACCGGAGACTATGTGCAGTCATCACGAGGAAGAATGCTAGGAATATAAAGTAGAGAGCGCGCTCCATTTTTTGACCGACGGAGAGCCTTGCTGGAAGAGGTTGCGTGACGGTCTGCTCTTCGAGATTGAAGGAGTGAGAAAGGTGGGCTTTCTCTTTGGACAATGGATCACCCTTATCGCGCATCCTGCCTAGTGGACTCGCGGTGATCTATATATGTGCTGGGACAGAACTAATTTGACAGCCTCGTATTTTGTACAAAACCCTTGCATGTGCTGGTTGACGTGTGCCAGTAGTATTGCTGGATACAAATTGCAATGTAGCTAATACTGGGAAAACGGATTGAGGCGGCTATCGCAGGTTATTAAAGACCCTCGTCTTAGTAAGTATGGCGTTATCATAACTAACAAAATAGCGCTGATATACTCCGTGTTGGGGTAAAGATCGAGAAGCGTGAGGTATGAAGTTTGACTTACTCGATGGATTGACTGTCTGTCGAGAAAGACTTGAAATAACAGCTAGCTAATTTATAGTCTCACAACGCATTGGTCGATATAAAACTGTCTGGCTGTAGTCGCTGGGATGAAGGAGGAGACTTGAGCTGAACGGAAACTCCGACTTAAAATCAGGTGTCAAGGCATGCAAGGGCCCGATCTGGTAACCGTGCGGGAGCCAATCAGCGCAAAGGTGAAAAATTCCTCGTGACATCGAAGTTTCTCAACATGAACTTTTTTTTTTTTGGGATTTCGATATCTTCCTCGACTCAACCACGGCCATTCGCCAAAAACCCCCGTCGGAAGACTCTACCCATGCTGTGTCTCTCATAGTCGCAGCCATTACCGAGTCTTTTGTCAGAAGAACTTTGTTCAACCTGGAGGAATCTGCGATGTCACTGCAGGTTTCCCCACTGCCCCTCTTAACCACTCCGCTCTGAGTCCTTATCTTCTACAAAGAAGAGGCGTTGACCTCGCACGGAGAAATTAGACGAGCAAAGACTTGTCGTAGCTCGGCTAACTCATCATGGCCGAACCCTTCCTGACCGAAGGTATATTTCTTGTTATCTTCATCGTTTCACACAAACCACCTTGCTGATGAATTTAGGTCTTGTGACCCTCTGGCATTCCTACCGTCTCCCTATTCTTATCGCTATCGCCTCAGTCGCTATTATTCTGCAAGCCTATCGCAGGTTCCAACCCAAGTCCAAAGCCGTAACCGCGTCCTCAATCCCGCCATCCCCTCGGAGCCAAACTCCAGAGAAATTCGATCAGATTCGTACTGGTGAGCGTGAGACACCGGCAGTCGCGGAGAAAAGTGCTCCAAAGCCGGCTGTTAGAAATGATCCGGCCCCGAAGGTTGTATCTGGGCCTAAGAGAGTATCTGGGAAAAAGCCACTGAAGGTTGCTGGACGCCGTCGGGAGGACCAGGAACCCCCGTTGTCTTTCATCCAGCCTATCATTTTCTTCGCCTCGTTGACCACGACTACGGAGAGGTACGCTCAGATATTGCTGGAGGATCTGCGGACGGCAGCGAAGGAGAGAGCCGATCCCGAGAACCGTGAGCGTGGTCTTCTTCCTCCCCAAATCTACGACCTGTCATATATTGACTTTGACGACTACTTCACCACGGCGCCGAAGCCTCCGCCCACCTCTCCTGGCACACGCTATGTATACTGCTTATTGATCCCTACCTACAACATCGACACCGTCCTCAACACTTTCCTTAGCCATTTGGATGAAACCCACCATGACTTCCGCATTGATACCTCGTCTTTGTCAACATTGGCTGGTTATTCAGTTTTTGGGTTCGGTGATAAAGAGGGTTGGCCTACCGAGGAAGAAGGATTCTGCTCGCAAGCCAAGGAATTGGATCGTTGGATGGCAAAACTTACTGGCAAAAAGAGAGCGTATCCTTTGGGATTTGGTGACGTCAAGAGTGATGCTGAATCTGCCTTCAAAGAGTGGTCCCGCGGGTTACAGGACATTTTCTTCGACATTCTTGATAATGGTGGCCTCGGTGAAGGTGTTCCTGGTAGCGGCGATCCGCTCGAGAGTGACGAGGAGGACCTGGATGACGAAGAGAACGACGGAAAAGGCACTAAACGACGCAATGGCCAAGATGTAGTTGACCTAGAGGATATCAAGATGGGCTCTGATGGACAGACTGGATCTGGTCCTGTCCCGGTGGACTTTACCACAGTGGGCAAGTCCGCGGCACCCAGCCAATCAACTGAGAAGGAAATGGTTCCCAAGACATCGCCCACATACGCTGCGCTCACGAAACAAGGATATACTATCGTCGGCTCTCACTCCGGTGTAAAGATCTGCCGTTGGACCAAGTCCGCTTTGCGTGGCCGAGGTTCGTGTTACAAGTTCTCTTTCTACGGTATCCGATCCCATCTGTGTATGGAGGCAACTCCTTCGCTTTCTTGCAGCAACAAATGTATTTTCTGTTGGCGTCATGGCACCAACCCTGTCGGGACGACTTGGCGCTGGAAGGTAGATTCACCAGAGTTGATTTTCCAAGGCATTAAGGAGGGTCACTACAAAAAGATCAAAATGATGCGTGGTGTTCCTGGTGTCCGTGCAGAGAGATTTGCGGAGGCGATGCGTATTCGCCACTGCGCCCTGAGCTTGGTCGGAGAGCCGATTTTCTACCCTCATATTAATGAATTTTTGAACATGTTACACAGCGAGCGCATCTCTAGCTTCCTGGTGTGCAACGCTCAACATCCCGATCAACTTGAAACGCTGCATCGTGTGACCCAATTGTACGTCTCGATCGATGCTAGCAACCGTGAAAGTCTGCGAAAGATTGACCGCCCGCTTCATCGAGACTTCTGGGAACGATTCCAGCGGTGCCTGGATATCCTACGGGAAAAGCGTCACGTCCAGCGGACTGTCTTCCGTCTCACCTTGGTTAAAGGATTTAACGTCGACGATGAGGTGGTTGGATACGCGAATCTGGTCGAGAAAGCGTTGCCGTGCTTCATTGAAATCAAAGGTGTGACCTTTTGCGGCACTAGCACTAGTGCCGGAGTAGGATTAACCATGCAAAACGTACCTTTCTATGAAGAGATTCAGGAATTCGTTGTTTCCTTGAATAAGGAGCTCGAGCGCCGCGGATTGGACTACGGAATTGCTGCCGAGCATGCCCACAGTTGTTGTGCGCTGCTTGCTTCGACGCGGTTCCATGTGAATGGTAAATGGCATTCTCGCATTGATTACGATCGCTTTTTTGAACTCCTGGAAAAGGAGAAAGCCGACGGTACGCCATTCCGCCCTGAAGACTACATGAGGGAGACGGAAGAATGGGCTTTGTGGGGTAACGGTGGCTTCGACCCCAATGACCAACGTGTTTACACGAAGGGTAGCAAGAAGGGCCTCCACCTGGCTGCGACTAAGTGATAGAGCAGCTTTGCCCTGCACGCCTGAAGCTCGACGCTCTCACCAAGTGCTTATCTCCACAGCGACGGCGTTAGCGCCGTTCCATGACCACTACTGCTGGATCTGTGTAAAATACACAACATCTAC